GATTGATTGATTGATTGAGTGATTGAATGAATGAGTGAGTGGACTTGACACGTCATGTCCTGGACACCTGGACCAACATACCTGTGACCAAATAGCAATATCATAATGCTCATATGATGCTGTAAGGAACTCCTCAAGGTATGGCCTCTTCATGTTGGCAACATCTTGATCCTTGAAGTCGAGTAATGTGTGATCGAGATCAAGTACCAACAACTTCTTGTTGGCACGTGGTGCGTTGATGATGGCAATCTCTGCCTTTTCTCTGATCTTGACCAGCTTGCTCTTGTTCTCCTCGAGATGAGACAACTCGTCCGAGTCGGGAATGTAGTCAAACTCCAGATCGTTAAAGACGTTGTCGGCGTCGGATGGGGGTGGCGCCTGGATGATCTGGGCCTCTGGTGTGCCCATCATAATGATACTGTGATTGGGTGGTATGTTCAGACTGCCAATCACGGTCTCATCGGGAGGCAGCAAACCCTTTGACAGGCCCAATATCTTTTGTCTCTTTGTCAACACATTGGTCAATGTCTCCAACTGTCTCTTCAAGTCCAATATAGTATTTGTCTTTTCTATCGATACCTTAAACTCCTTTCCACTCCATTTAGCTCTAATATTTATAATCTCTGCTGCTGCTGCTGGTGCTTCAACTACTAATGTTGTATTTGTATTTGTATTTGTATTTGTAGTAGATGTAGTTGTAGTAGTATGTATTGATGAATCTATGTCCTTCTCCTTATGTTGATCAGCAATAGGAGTATCAACAGTCACCGCCGTGCCTGTTGTAGATGATTCAGTCCTTTCAGAATCAATCATATTATATTATTATTATATCTTTAATGTTATATATTTATATATATTAATGTTCTTGTATCTATATCTATATAATATATATATTAGAATGTTTATTAATTAATACACTCTTTCAAACAAGTTTAATTATAACTCCTTCACTTTCATTCATTCATTCATTAATCATCATCTAAACAAACACAACCCCAATTCATTCAAACACATCATCTCATCTTTAGAGAGAGGTAGAGGCAGTCAGATGATGCTCTTGAGGATGATGGGGTAAGTTGAGTTACTGCTTGTTTGGATGAGGGCAACACACACACACACACACTCACACACACAAAGTATAGATACTCACAATCATTCTTACCTCAACCTACTTATGATAAGAAGCCCCCACCATTGCCATTCTAACACGAAGAATGAGCACACGAATGTTACGGTGGGGTGATTCATAGAGGTCCAACAAACTTTGCGCGCACAATCTCACGCATTCACTCACTCTCACCACTCATTCACTCTCACTCTCTCACTTCACCTCTGTATTGTTATAACTACAACTACAACCAATTATTATTACTATCTACTTTATTACTACAAAACAAACATACAAATATAAACGACAATGGGATCAGCATTCGGAAAGCTCTTTGCATCATTCTTTGGAAAGAAGGATATGAGAATCTTGATGGTCGGTTTGGATGCCGCCGGAAAGACTACAATCCTTTACAAGCTCAAGCTGGGCGAGATCGTAACCACTATCCCAACGATTGGATTCAACGTCGAGACCGTCGAGTTTAGAAACATCAGCTTCACCGTGTGGGACGTCGGTGGACAGGACAAGATCCGTCCATTGTGGAGACATTACTTCCAGAACACCCAAGGTCTGATCTTTGTCGTCGACTCCAACGACAGAGAGCGCACTCAAGAGGCCTGCGACGAGCTGCAAAAGATGCTCAACGAGGACGAGCTGCGCGACGCCGTCCTGCTGGTCTTCTGCAACAAGCAGGATTTGCCCAATGCCATGAGCGTTGCCGAGGTCACCGACAAGCTCAACCTACACTCACTCCGTCAGCGCAAGTGGTACATCCAGTCCACATGTGCCACCTCTGGCGATGGTCTCTACGAAGGACTTGACTGGTTGTCAAACACCCTCACCAAGCAATAAGATAGCTGCACTACTCTCATTACTTTGCTCTTTCCTCTCAAGTCTTCTTCTGCTTCTTCATCTTATTCCTACTTATTCAAGTCCACTGTGCTCTCTCTCAAGAGTGTACTACTTACTAACCATCACCTACTCCTCCAACGTCCAATTCAAGAGGAATGTACTACCAATCGATCAATACAAATGATCAATAACAAGGACGTCCCCCGATCTCAATCAATCATTCAATCATTCAATCAATCATCATATTCATTGATAATGTTTGTTTATTTGTTATATTTATATGGTATTATGGTTACCAATACCATCCAACCATTTAAGGGGCCACAAGGTTCACTCACTCATTGCCCCTTCATCGATCAACATCAATCACGCAACACTGTTTGCTTCTGATCATTCTTTGCAAAGTTTAGGGGTTTGTTGACAAAATTCAATTTTGGTGACTTTTTGCAAAGAGTCATTCATTCATTCATTCATCATCAAAGTGAAGTGAACTCATTCATTCATTTCATTCATCATACATTATATTTGTATTTATATATATATATCTATATCTCAAAGTAATAATAGTATATATCAGCAACAATAGTAATAACCATAACAATTAAATAAGAAATGGATTATAATATAATAAAGAATTATCTTTATTCGAATCCACCAAGCGATAGAGAAAAGATACCATCGTATTATATGCAGTTGAAGAATATTTTGGCTATATTGCATACGGATGATGATGATACTGCTGTGACACCAGAGGTCAAGTCAAACAATCAGGCAATCTCAGAGACGATCGAGGCCAAGATGAAGTATGTCGAGCAGAACTTCTCAGAGATGCTGCAGTTTGCAGGTGGTGACGGTCCGTCCTCGCCCAACCATCAGTCAACTGCCACTGGCGCGCAGTCCACGACGACCACCACCACGACCACTACAACAGAGACACAGCCCACTCAACATCATGACAATGCCTATGCCTACGTCAAGACAGCGATGATCCCCGTCGGCCTTGCTGGCCTTCCCCTCACTGAGAAGAAAAGGGTAAGAATCTGCGGATGGATAGATGGACGCGACACACCCATCACATCGCATCCTAATGACTCACTCGCTCACTCACTCACTCAATCAATCAATCAATCAATCATATGACAGAGCCATCTCCATCATCATCACAAGAGCTACGGCCCTCCAGAGATCCCACCCGAGGAGATCTTGTTCGACCCAAAGGTCGATCATCTGGGCGGCGGAGCATATGGCAAGGTGTACCGAGCTACGTGTCGCAGTAAGAAGGTCGCCGTCAAGGTGCCAAAGAAACAGACACTGAGCGAATCAGAGCTCAAGTCGTTCAAGCATGAGGTTGAGATTTGGAAGCAGATCTATCATCCCAACGTTGTAATGTGCATGGGTGCCTGCACCAAGCCAGGCAAGATCATGATTGTCTCTGAGCTAATGCAGTCTGACCTCGAGAAGATCATCCATTCAGACTCACCTCCACCCCTGTACCAGCGTATCAAGATGGCCTACGATGCTGTAAGTAGTAGATCATCATTGATTGATTGATTGATTGAGTGGATGATGGTGTCACATGACTAACCAATCCATCATGTCTACAGGCTCTTGGAATGAACTGGCTGCACGGCATTTGTAATATTCTTCACAGAGACTTAAAGCTAGCCAATCTAATGGTATGGAATAACATGTTCATTGATAGATTGATTGATTGCGACACATTCTCACTCACTCAATCAATCAATCTAGATTGGCAAGGACAATACAGTAAAGATCACAGACTTTGGATTCTCCCAGGTGCTCAAGTCGGGCACGACAACGACTGATCAACGTGGACCAAAGGGAACAGCACTGTACATGGCACCAGAGGTGATGCAGAAGAAGGAGTTCAATGAGAAGGCCGATGTCTACAGCTTTGGTCTCATCCTCTATGAGTTGGCCACATGCGAGGAACTATTCCCAGAGTACACAGAGATACAACCATTCTCAAATGTAATACTGATCACTCAACCAATCAATCTATCGATCATTCAATCACTCACTCACTCGTTCATACTCGCGTAGGCCATTTGCAACCAGAGACTTAGACCAACGATTCCAGCTGACTTGCCCAAGTCATTGGCGGCATTGATGCAGAGATGTTGGGATCACGACCCATCACTACGTCCATCCTTCTCAGAGGTATCGTCCAAGATGAATGAAGTGCTGATCGATATTGCAATCTCTGGCAATCCCAATGCAGCGGCATTTTGGAAGAACTCATTCGGCACACCCGATGATGTCAAGTGGGCAGAGTTTGCCATGAAGTTATCCAAGGCCACCAATGTAGATATCCGTGACATTGATATACTATCCAACCTCTTTGGTAAGTCCCATCCTATTCTGTGCTGTTCTTTCCTGTCAATCAATCAAACTAATCACTCAATCAATCTTAGTGCTATCACCAACTAATGAGGATACAAGCAGTGGAGTGGTCAACATTGAACGATTCGAGTTGATGACCAAATGGTTCGGACCATTCTATAGCAATGGAGTGGGCGCAGCGATACTGCAAGAGATGATGGCATTGCTGAAGAAGCTATGGTTCCACTTTGACATATCGCGCGATGTCTCTGAGCGTCGCTTGCGAGGACGTGCCGAGAACACGTTCTTGATTCGTCTGAGCCTCAACGACCCGGTCAACACGCCACTCACCATCTCCAAGATCAAGAACTCCAAGCCAACACACAAGAGAGTGGCGCGTGAGGATGAGCCGCCCTCTGCCGAGTACCCGCTGGGCTGCAAGTTCAGAGTGCCCATCGATGGCCAGGACATATGCTTCAGCAGTGTCATTGCCATTGTCGACAAGCTAAAGTCAATCAACAACCTTGGCAGTGAATGTCCACACAATGAGATCAAGATACCATACGTCAATGACTAACGATAGTCCAACTAATGAGATCAAGCAATGATGTCAAGCTCATGCCATGCAATGCAATGCAATGAAATGCTCTGGTCCCTGAGTCAGCATTGCCATGTTTGCTTGTTTGCAAATGAATGATTCATCATTCACAGACGTCTGTGCCTCTACCCTACCCCTGCCCTGCCCTACCCTCTACCCTACCATACCCTACAATCACGATTAATTAAAGGTCATAGTATCGTTGTCGGAAAATCACCTTACTTGCACAACAACTCCGACCAACAACAACAACAACAACATCCAAATCGGATAGTCAATGGTGAGAGTGAGTGAAGTGTGTGGTCCTTCGTTCGATTCATTGATGCCACGATTGATGCCTTGATCAGCGCAACGACGTAATACTGGTCGACTTTGAGGATACCACCATCTAAAGCAAGACGAGAATAAAAACTCCCATTGTTTCTGATAACCAGGAAGTAGCAGGTCATGTGATGAATACTCACACAACATAGACTCGTCTTTGATCGATGCAAAGAAAACGACCCCTCCCTTTTTCAGTTATTACTCACACCAAAGTGGTGTTTGCAAAGGATACAAGGCCCACGCTGATTGATTGACATAGTTAGGGGGTGGGTGGTTAGGGGGTTGGTCTACCTTTGTACCACTCACGAACAAAGGTCTTGATCTCAGTTTAGTCAGGTGGTCCACGACACGCACTCAATCTATTATCTATTTATTAAAGTCGTTGTGTTCTACGTCAATCACAACGATCTCATTCATTCATTCAAATATACTTCACCATCTATCCATTATCTATAATCAAACAATATATATATATTACAAGTATGAATCAATCAATGTTGCCACCCAACTCGGCATACCCTTGGGACTTGATGTCCTTGTTGACATCTCTCACATCGATGATGGCAATGACCATCGCTGTCTTGTCAATCTTATTGGCACTATTCATATACGCTGCCTACAAGGCACTGATCCGTTTCCCATGGCTTAGACCATTTACACCTGGCCAAGGCGATCCACTCACAGAGTGGGGAATCAAATACGAAGAGGTCGAGTTCAAAGCTTTCGATACTGATCACCTGATCCGAGGCTGGTGGGTACCTGCCGCACATGACAATGGTATGTTGATCAATCAATCAATCATTCTTGGAACCATTCCACTCACTAACCCATTCAATCAATCAATCAATGATAGACTTGAAGATATCAATCATCGCTCTTCATGGATCTGGAAGAGATAAGCATAACTACTTCCAACATATTAGACACTTCCACGAGATTGGATTGAATTCATTGATCTTTGATTGCCGTGAGAGTCTATGTGATAAGGACCAGACTGGAAAGGGACTGGGCTACTCATTCAGAGAGCACAAGGATGTCCGTGCAGCCATCCACTACGTCAAGAACACTCACACCACTCAATCAAAGAAGTTGATCGTCACTGGCATTTCAATGGGCGCCGCAAGCGTCGTAGTCGCATGCTCCAAGGATCGCGAGCTGATTGATGGCGTCATTGCCGAGGCTTGCTACAGTCATCCCAAGGACGCCTGGCAACACAACATCGAGAGGAACCTCAAGGAGGGTGTCAAGGCCTTTGCCTCAATCTCTGCCCTCTCCAAGGTCCTGCCAACATCAATCCCAAAGTGGCTCATGGATGCTATCCTCTCGACCACTATGTCAGTGATATTGCGCTCCGAGCACAACCTACACGAGTCTGATGTGCCAGTGCACCACATTGCCAACATCAGTCCAAAGCCTGTGATGCTCATCCACAACACCAGGGACAATGTTGTTCCCTATCGCAATTCACTGGCCTTGATTGAGGCTGCTCGCGAGCCAAAGGAACTTTGGACCATCGACAACGGACAGCCACTCCACGTCACTGCCATCGAGAACGACTTGACCAACGAGTACATCGAACGTCTAAATAAGTTTATCGAGAGCATTTAATAAACGTTAGAGATATATATAGATTATACGCCAAACTAAAGTGTGTGTTTCCATGTATTTCCATGTGTTTCCACTCTGCTTCCACCCTGTTTCCGTGTGTTTCCGCTGTTACCACCTCTGGCGCAATCACCTGAATTGGAGCTCCACTCACTGTGGAGAAGGTTGAGCTGCTGCTGCCTTCTTTCTGGTTGGTGGAACATAGCTTGCTAGAGGTAGTTCATCTATCTTGCTGGCTAGAATGAAGTCATTCTCAGACAGACCATTGAGTGCATGTGTGTACAACTCCACCTCAACATTCCAATACGACTCTATCATTCAGTGAGTATCAACGTTGTCAGTAAGTTAAAGGTTACTCACTCATCTTCAATCTCATCTCATTACACTTACTAATTGACACATCTGGATGATGACCTTCCTCCTCGGCCACTGTTGTAATCTCATTGATGAACTCAACACCCTTGGGGAATGGCATTCTCCACCTCCTATATATCTTGTTTGGTTCTGACTCTATCAACTTCCACTCTTTGTTCAACTGTGTCAACATGTCTTTGGCCTGCTCAAGTGTTTGTCTATGTACATCTCCTCCCTCACTAATGAGTGACATGTGCTCATATGTCAGTTGGACATACGCCATTGTACGATTCCCGACGATGATGAACATACCATGGCTTGCACTTCTGTTTACTAAGAGAGCAATACTGTTGTTGTAATGACATTATGTTATTGGTTGAAGCAAACAATGAATGATAATGTTGTTGATTGAATGATGTTGATGTTGCTGTTGAAGTTGCTATTCTCAATGTCTTTGCTGATGCATTAGCCCAACAATATCTTGTAGTGATTGTCAACATTAATACTATCAACAACAGTATTTGTATAACTCTACCTGACATCAGATCAATATATAACAACTGTTATGTTCACATTATCTCGTTCATCTCTTTATCTAATTCATTCATTCATTCATTCATTCCAAAACTAAACTAATCTAAATGCGATTGACCAGGATCGTTGGTTCACTTCACTCCACGTATGTTGAACAGATGCCAACAATCAAAGTGACCACCTCACATATCAATAACATGTTCAAAGAGATAAGGGTTCTCCAACAACAAACAACTCGAATAGACACGTGTTCCAAGATCACCAGTGGTTGTCTTCTCCCTTTTTTCTTCCAGGCATCCAAGTTTCAAAGGTGATCACACCCCTCACTTTCAAGAAAATAAAAATAAACAAAAACACAACAATTAATAAATAAAGGGCAGATGGTCCAAATCATCCTGATGAGGCAAGCACTCTCAACCAATTGAATTGACCAGACAGACAGTCATTCAAACACACTCTATATCTTTATTATTATTATCTTTATTTGTGTAAGTTTGATTGATTATAGCTTTCACAACATCAACAACAGATTTGTTTGACAAGATATCAGAAAGACAGACAGAGAGACACACACAATATCTTCACCTTCCTTTCACAAGTACGTCAGACTTCAAAACCCCTCAACACACTCATTCATTCAACTTGCAAATCCACATTAATCATCATTGTTGTTGTTGTTGTTGTTTTGTTGTTTATTGGAAGTTGGACAACTACTACTACACCTACCTGCTATTACTATTTTGCAAACACAGATATACTAATTATCATAATACCTTTTGAATAGATACTTAATATATATATATACATATAGAACATAATGGCAGCGAACGCTAACGCCAACAACTTGGAGAACCTATGGGCTCAATGTGAGAAGCCCTTCCAAGACCTCTTCACTCAACTGAAGAGTGGTCTTACAAATGATCGTTATATGAAGATCTATACGTATGGTCATCATTCATTCAATCAATCAATCAATCAATCAATCAAATCAATCATACTAACTATTAAATAATCCAACAAATACAGTCAGGTATACAACTATTGTTCATCACAGAATGACGGTGTGTTGAAGGAGTTCTATCCAAAGATCCTGTCTTTGCTTAACGGCAAGGCAACAGAGATCATTGAGGGTGGCACTCATCTCTCAGAGGATGAGTTGTTGCTCTTCTTTAGAAACAAGTGGAATGATTGGAAGTTCTCCACCAGAGTGCTTAAGAGTTGGTTGGAACCAGTCGTAAGTTATCATCATTGTCCGCATTGATTGATTGAATGATTGAATGAATGGATATTAACAAATACATAATACAACAAATAATAATAATAATAATATAGAACAAGATACATCAGAGTGATAATAGCAACAAGAGCACAAACATTGGCAACTCTCAGAACCCACCACAGTCAAAGATCTTGCAGGATGGTCTCACGGCTTGGAAGCAAGCAGCCTTTGATAAGATGCACAACAGACTCACTGGTTCGTTGCTGAGGATTGTGAAGAATGACAGAGAGGACAGAGACTCTTCAAATCTCCAAGTACTCTCAGATACACTTGAGTGTTATGGTATGTGTTTATCCCTTTGTCCGCATACTCATACTCATACTCATACTAATAATAATACTATTCACATCAATATAGTTCAATTGGGCTCTGATAAGAACAAGTTGGATGTTTACCAAGCCAACTTTGAGACCAAGTTCCTACAAGAGACTGAAGCCTTCTACAAGGTTGAGTCCTTGGATCATGTCGCCAAGAATGGTATCCCAGCCTACATGAGACACATTGCAAAGCGTGTGGAGGAGGAGAGATCGAGAGTGTTGAAGTTCATGCCAATCTCCACGTTGGACAAACTCGACCCATTGCTCAACAAGACTCTGATCATCGACTACAAGGAGGAGTTTGCCAACAAGTTCCTCGACTTGCTGCTCGAGAACAAGGAGGACGAGCTGGCAATGATGTACAACCTCTTGCTGCGTGTCGACCATCTCGAGACACTCAGGATCAAGCTCCAGGAGTTCATCAAGTCCGAGGGACTCAAGGAGATTGAGAAGGACCTCAAGGAGGCCCAGGAGAAGCCCCAGGTGCTCGTCAAGATCCTGCTCGAGGTGTACAACCGCTTCAACAAGCTGATCAAGACGGCGTTCAACAACGACCCCAAGTTCCTCTCGGCCATGGACCAGTCTTTCTCGGTGGTCATCAACAGCAACCCCGCCTCGTACGACCAGAAGAAGAAGGAGTCCAACATCCCAGTCGTGTTGGCCAAGTTCTGTGATCAGATCCTCAAGAAGGGTCCATACCACATCAGTGACGAAGCCGAGCTGGAGAACAAGCTGTCAGAGGCTGTCTGTCTGTTCAAGTACCTCCCAGACAAGGATATCTTCATGCTGAACTACCAGAAGTTCTTGTCCAAGCGTCTCGTCGAGGATCTCTCGGCCAGTGAGGATGCTGAGGCCTCAATGATCAACAAGCTCAAGACCCATCAAGGTTTCGATTACTGCACCAAGCTGACAAGAATGATTAACGATATGAGACTGTGCAAGGATATCAACTCCAACTTCCAGAACTACCTCAATGAGGCAAACCTTACTCTTCCATGTATGTTATGATGTGCATGTGATGATGTGATGTGGATGAACAACAGATTACTAACAAACAAACAAACAAACAAAATAGATACGTTCAACTTCTACGTGTTGACTGGTGGATCATGGTCATTGACGAACAAGACCTCCTCAACACCTTTCAAGCCTCCAACAGAGATGCTTCCAAGTTTAACATATTTCGAGAAGTTCTACAAGAACAGCTACAAGGGTAGAGTGCTCAACTTCCTCTACGATTTCTCCAGAGCAGAGGTCGACTCACGTCAAGTCAGAGGCAAGATTTACAAACTCTCAGTAAGTTCCAATCATTCAATCAATCAATCAATCAATGTGATCATTAACTAACTTTGTACTCTACATTACAACAGACAACTGCATACCAGATGGCCATTTTGTTGATGCTCAACACCACTGATAAGGTCACTAGATTCCAGGTCTTGGACACAATCGGACTTGATGAGATGAACGTTCGTCTGCCACTGCTATCGTTGATCAAGTCTGGAATCATTGACACTGATGTTGCCGACCACAAGGAGTGGAACAACGAGACGACATTCTCAATCAACACCAAGTTCACATCAAAGAAGATGAAGGTCAACTGCAACATCCCCGTGCAGATCGGTGACACAAAGACCAGCGAGGGCCAGCAGACCGTGTCCAACACCGAGATTGAGAAGGAGCGTTACTTCAAGCTTCAGGCGGCCATCGTGCGTATCATGAAGTCCAAGAAGGTGATGAACCACAACGAGCTCGTCGTCGAGACCACCAACCAGATGACCAAGTGGTTCTCGCCAAAGATCCCCACCATCAAGAAGGCAATCGAATATCTTATCGAGCAGGAGTACATTAGAAGAACTTCTGACGATAACCAAAGCCAGAGGAAGTATGAATACATTGCATAGTCAGTCAAGTCAAGCCAACAATCACAACAATCAATCCAATCCAATCAAATCAATCAAACTCATCTTGCAATCCTTGCGATTCTCCTCTTCACGACTCTCTCTCTTCCCCAACTTGGCAATACAAACAACAATATCAACAACAATACTATCTTGTATTAACATTACCAGACATTTCCAAATCAGGCTTTCTCTTTGCGATCACATTAAACAAAACAACATCCAGTTGACCATTTAGTTTGCATAAGACTTGGTTTGGTTTATGACTTGTATTTGTTTGAGTTTCAAGGTTACCTCCTCGATCAATCAATGTTCCATGGGAGGATTCCAATATTGATTTATTGATTGATTAATTGATCTTGTTGTGTAGTAGTTTATATCTTTAGTTTTATAAGTGTTGTGGATTGATGTTGCCAACTTAATTTGCTAATCACCACTGAAGTAGACGACCAACAACTCAAAGCCTGCTTTCTTCTTGCAGCCCAATCATTGATTCACAACAGCAAATATTGTGTCTCGTTAATAGAAATGACTGTCATAATCGTAAAAACGATCATTTTTGCCTACATGTTCCAAACGTTGATGAAAAGTATTATGGGACAAAAATGAATACAAAATTTTTTTATTTGTTGATAAACATATCAAAATATCTACTACTATCTTCTGATCCACTATTATCATCAAATAAATTATCTCCACTGTCATCAGGTCCAAAGGTGAATTCTGAAAAGATATCGTCTTCATTTGTTATATCACCTCCAAAAATACTGGGCGATGTATCACCTTGTGTGCCTTCCACAATGTTAGCACAGACCGCGTGGATTCCAACTATTAAGAAAATAGTTATTAATAAAATGATAATAATCTTCATTGTTATTATATTCAATATGATAGTTAATTACTTATTTAATTAATTTGTTATTTGATTTTGATTCAGAACTAATTTATTCACACATATATATATATATATTTTTGTTTAAAGGTAGTCTTCCCAACAATTAAGTCTTCATTTCAATCTTAAGTAATCCTAATAATAAATGAATATTCATCACATAAGATATGATAATTGGAGTGATAATTAAGTGTTAGTGTGTTGTGTGTGTTTGAGATCGATGACCTCATTGCCAAAGTGGGAATTGATTAATTAATTAATCCTTGTAAAATCCAAAACACTTAGATTCAATCGATTATTGGTTGGTTGTCCAAAATCAAACAATTAAATATTAATATTTTTCTTTAATTGAGATAAGTCTACATTTAGGAAAATAGTTTTACGCCTGATTCAGCAACTATCGTGGACTTGTCAAAGAATATGCTGAGTATGCAGCCCAGCAACACCATGGTGACATTAATGTCACTTTGATCATCGTGCTGACTGACAACATCTCCTCCTCCTCCCCACTCCATGTCAGGTCCGTCAATCATTCCAATGTCACATTATCGATAATGTGGATAGGTCATCCTTTGATGCAATTATCATGCTGGGACTCAAATTTCCCTGCTGTGGCTGTTGTTGTTGTTGTTGTCTCACTGTTTGACAACTCTCCATCATTCACTCTCACTGCATTGCAAACTGCCACACAAGTCAGCAACATGGTCAATGCTATCAATAGTCTCTAGTTCATTGTACAACTATATATTATTTGTTTATTAACTTGTACTTCAAGATGTTAAATTAAGTGATGATGATAATTTTATGATCTGTATCTCTTTTTTACATCATCGTAAATGTTTTCTGGAGCATTAAAGTAATTCATTCTTACTCGCAAGTTTTGGCAAAGTGAGTTAGCGCAATAATGGTATCCACCGCCCGGTTCGCAATTGGACACGCAGGTGCCATGAGCATAATTAGAGTAGGTGCCCATATTGGGATCGTTAACAGCAGTGCAGTTGTTTACAAGTGTGCACCGTTGTTTGACAAAAGCTTTATACTCTTGATTGGCGAGAAGTTGAGAACATTCCTCTACTTTGATATCTTGTTGTTTGCAAACTTTTTCGCATTCTTCCTGAGGAGTTTGTTTAACAGAGAGAACAAGTCCAACTAAAAGTAGTAATAAAAATAATCTTGACATTAATTATTAATTGATGGATGGTACAAATAACTCTGAGATTCAAACCAAATAGATACTTTATATACTAATTTGGATTATAATCTTACAAATGATATGGAGTTAAATTGGTATTGTGGATACAGATAATGAATTCTATTTTTTGTAAATAGATTGACCTACTCGATGTAAATCAGGACGAGGATGTAGACAATTCTCTTGTTTTTTAATTAATAAAATCATTCACTTATCCCAGGCAATCCAGATCTTTGGATTAATTCAAACTTACAATTTAGTTGGTCATTATTACACTCAGAAGGAAAAGTGTTCTTCCCTGCCTCTAGATCAATACTGTCCAAATATCTATGTATTCCCCACTCTCTTTCTCCACCCCTCACCACACTTCCCCCTGGTGGTGAAGGTAGATTTTTTGTAAATAGATTGACCTACTCGATGTAAATAAGGACGATGATGATGGTGATGTTGATTTTGAATCCTCAGTTGTAATAGTACTCAGATCACTCTCTGTCTCCACCCCTCACCACACTTCCCCCTGGTGAAGGTAAACATTGGGGATATACAAATGATCATAACCAAAAGTGTAGAACTGGTATATATAATCTTTACAAGCTGAATTGCTCGTGTTCTTCCGAGAGGTCGACGACACCAAAAGGTAGACAAAGTCATGTAGTGTAGGTCGGTGGGCGAAAACATTGTAATAAAGCAGTGTGTATCAAAAGAATATGTTGTACTTTTATTGTGGAAATAGGCCATTCATGGTTTAACAGATCGTGTCTATACTGCCATCAGTGTACTGAGGGCAGTTCTCATCTCGGCGTATAAAAGACCAAGGTTGGTCCTATTATCTCATTGTATCTCAATCATGAAATCTTATCTCACTATTTCCTTATACCTTCTTATCTCAATTACTTTTGTCATCTCTGAACAACCAAGTTGCCAAGATCAATGCGCCACTGTGGTAACCATTCCTGACTATTGTAACGAGTTGCTTGCCAAAAAAGATTGGGTCAAACACGCTGAGATATGCCCTAGGTATTTTACCTTCAAATGCGATGATTCCGATACAGAGTATAAATATTTTGAAAGTATTTCTTTCATGGAACGTGTATGTCTTAATGTTTGCAGAGCGAATGCAAACCAAAACTTTAATTGTAGAGATCATTGCAAATCAAATCCAGGATATTATAATAATTATTATAATTAAATCTAATTAATCCTAACAATAAATCAAAAAGTCTGTTATGTGTGAGTCAGATCGACCCAACAAAGTGGGGATTAATTAATCCATGTATAATCCATAACACTTAATCTTAAATAGAACCCCATTATTGGTTGTCCACAATCAATTAAATATATCTTTTAATTGTAATTAGTCTACATTTGTTATTACCATAACTTGTAGGCCTGGCTTCGTTGCCATTCTTTTGAATATTGTACAAAGCTAATCGGATTGTTCTCATAATGTGTGAAGTAGGATGGTTGAGATAGAAATGGTATAGGGAGTGAGGGAAACGGTATGCGCAAAGGAGTAGAGGTCATGATTGGTTAAAGGTTGGCATTGATCTCCTTCAACTTCTTGTCCAAAAGACTCTTGGTTTGCTCAAGGTTGCGATGTTGTCTCCAAATGAAGAATCCACCGGCAGCTATGATGGCTGTGCCAACGACAGCAACTACAACTCCAACGGTGACCTTCCACTTGTTGTCAGTGCCACCTCCACGACCGCCCTTGTCGCCACTGCTGTTGTCGCCCGGTTGATTGGATGGACAGTTGGTGGTGACTGGAACACGTCCGGCCGAACCCGACGCCGTCAATGCGCTAAAGTCAAACTCAAAGTTCACGCTGCTGATTGGTTCTTTGTAGTTGTTGACGTCGGCAACTATGTTGGTGGTGGTGCCGTCGCGAACTCCAAGTGTGCTTGAGATCGAACCTCCATTGCCGTTGATGCTGGCTACCTGTGGCAGACGAGCGAACCATGATGTGTTGAACTTGGTCAAAGTGAGCCAGTGAACTGACGTGTTGAGTCCCTGTGCTGGATAGGCAACGTGGATGGGTGGGGCGCTGCACTCGGTGGGGAAGACATCAAACTGGAACTTGAAGCCAACATCATTGTAGCTGTCGCCCTTTGATTGGTAGGACACTTGGTATGTGAATGTGTTGTCAAAGACGTTGAGCAGGGCACCTGGACCAACAAGGTCGGCTGGTGTGCTGGCATTGTTTGGACGAATGATGACGACGATCTGTCGGCTTCCAGAAGTCCATGTGAATGAGTTGGCACGTGTTGCGGGCAGGGATGCTTGTTGCCAGTTGGCAATCTTGGTCTCAGCGCCATTCTCATAAACGGAAACGAGGTAGGCGTTGAGTGTGGTGGTAGAGTCTGGCGAGGAGATCGACAAAACAGGGGCTGTAGTGTTGACCTGGAGGGTGGATGGGATGGCGCCCTCAGAGCATGATGGTCCGGCAACATTCTTGCAGTTGCACAGACCGAAACCGACGTTGCACTCGCCCTTTGCCGAGCCACCGCATGAGTCTGGACACAACTGGATGTCGACGAATGAGAACAAGCTGTTGGGGAATGATGGTTGATCGGCCACGGCTACTTGGATGTTATGAGTGCCAGCGACAAAGCCAACAGAAGGGAATGTGCAGTAGATGATTGAGTGATTGACGTATGTGACGTTGCACTGAATCAGCTGAGCACCCAGCTGCACGGTAACATTGACAGCATTGATGTCGGTCCAAAAGTCGGAACCTGTGATGGTCATGGCGTTCTCCTTGTCTGGAGACATGGCGTTGGCAGTCTGGACGGTGGGCGCGCGGTAGAAGAAGTTTGGTGTGGTTGAGGGGTCGCTGGACAGACCCTTGATCGACACTAGCACCTGGACATTGGATGTGATGCCTGGTGGAACCAAACAAGACATCTGTTTGAACACGTCGACCGAGGTAAGGTTGGTGCATGGGGTGTTACCAATCATCACATAGGTGCCAATAGCATTTGGCTGAGTGAATGGCAGTAGGTCATAGCCAGTGAGCGTTACAAAGCCTCCAAGGGTGGGTGGCGAGGAGATCGATGTGATGGAGGGGATCATGAAGCTGTAGGGGATGGTGGCAGTCTTGAGTGCGCCGTATGTCTGGGTGAGGTAGAGAGTACCGGCACCCTGCAAGAACACTGGAGTGATACATAGCAATGCAGAGGCATTCACATTGTTGTTGTTGACAATGTACTGATCATTTCCAGAGACCATTTTAATGTTTGGCTTGTCACCAAAGTTAATACCAACAACGGTAAAGAATGTCAAGTTGCTGCTGATTGGGTTGGAGATGAAGGTGATCGATGGTTCTGGGTAGGAGAGGGTAGGTATGATATGTTAGAATTTTTGTCAAAGTCAGCTGATATTACTGATGTCAGCTGATTGAACATTGATCAGCTGATCAATGTCAGCTGACTCGAATACATACCACAACTCCTTGGGGTATCTGGTCCTTGGTAGTTGGTAAAGGTGACATTGTCAAAGATGTAGGCGGGGATGGTGAGACCGGTGAAGTATGATGGTGGGAGACAGAGGAATGCTGTGGGGAGCAAGGTGTTCTTGAGTCCATTGACAGTGGTCAGATAGAGTGTGGTGAGTCCATTGTCGAGGATGTTCTCTTGGAGTTGTCCACTGATGTTGGTGTCAGAGAGGTAGAGCGATTTGATGTTGGACGATGAACCAAACTGAGTGGGGATGGTCATGGCCAACGCTGGATTATGCATCAATGACAATGAGGTGAGGTTTGACATGAGGAAGTAGTTGTTGTTGAGTGTGCCGGTGAGTCCTAGACGCTCCAAGGCCAAACCCTTGAGGTTGGACCATTTAGCAGGTGGGACATCTGGCAATGTAGTTTGGTCCGAGAGTGTAAGTCCACTCATTGACAAGAATGTCAAAGTGTTTGGAACCGATGTGAAGAATGAGTTGAAGTTGGTTGAGAAGCCAGGAGAGTTGATTATACTATATAATGGAATTGAGTATGAGTATGAGGGTAGGGGCAAGGGCAAGGGCAAGGGTGAGGGTATACATACAATGAGGTTAGCTTTGTAGACTTGTTAATGAGGTTTTGAGCATTGAGGATGGATCCTGGCAAGACGATTGTGGATGGTTGAGAGGTAAGGATCAACTTACTAAAATTATAAACTTGTTAGTTATTGTTCTTGGTCAGATCAACATGCTTGATCAAGTATAAACACTTACAATGTTGTCATTGAACTTGTGAATAACGATGGGGACAAAATAAACTTCAGTGTGTCACTTGGACTCTGAGTAAGTGCACTGTAGATGGTCATTGATTGATTGATTGATTGATTGATTGATTGATTAGGGTCAGGATACATGGATGATCAATCATATGATATCGTAGTTACTTACAAATTATATAGATTGGTGGCGGCTGTGAGGTTGGGGAAGGTACCCAAGGCATTCTCAACATAGAGATTGTCAAGTCTCTCTGTGAATACACCTCCATTGAAGTTGGCCTTGCAAATACCAGTGATGGATCTGGATAATCATATGTGTTAATAATGAATGTACTAAAGAAAGAATGAATGAATGATCATGGACTACCTACAGTGTGTACAAGGAGCCCATCTCTGAATCATATAACTTGCTTGGAATACCTCCTGAGGACGAGAGATCAACATTGATCAAGTTACTACATTGATTGAATGATTAAGTGAGTTGTTAGTATGGTATCCTACTCATTCATATCCATTTTAAACAATAACAACAACTACATACAGTGTCTTCAGGTTGTCGATGGTACTCCAGTTGTCACTATCCAGGATGGCGTTTCCACTCAATGGACGACATAGTTTATTAGATGCTGGCGCAGCCTCCAATGTACTTTTGAGAGGATTGATGGTTAGTATTGATGTTGTAAAGTGAATGAATGTGTATGTGATGTAAGTAAGTACATACAGGTTAATAAGGTTCTGACTATTGTCACAACCAATGTAGGAGTTTAGGTTATAGGATCTGCTGCTAACAGTGTACACTCCATACACGTTACAGTCCTTCGACGGCCATTTAAATCCAAGATTACTGGCGAATGAATTGAGCACAGTCCATTCTGTTGTTGATGAAATTGATTGATTGTGATTGGGTGTGAGTGAATGAGTGTGCGTAATGGATAATCTGACACTCGTGGGTGGACCTACGTGAATCGGAAATTGCAGATGTAGTGCCAATCAAAGCCACCAACAACACTACAAGTGTAAAGGTGATGACACCTGATCGTTGAAGATTTGACATGTCTTCCTAATTTGATTGATTGATTGATCTGTTTATAATATTACAATTATTTTGATTGATTAAGTAGTGATACAGTTATACACAATTATATGTGTATGAATATTATTATTATTATTATTATTATTATTACTTGAATGATTAAATGGAATGGTGAATTGAAGAGGCAGAGTCCAGTAAGTGTAGTCAGGTGGACCGCGAACCTGTTGAGGAGATTGCATTGTTTGTCATTGCACCCTGAGAAGCGTGTGGAGTATTGTTTACATTTGTTTGGTGATTTAGTAGTCGGACTCATCCACTACCTCCACAACAACAATGCATGATCAATCAGTAGGATATAACACACACAAAACCAGGTGGTATGGTTTAGGCCTGGCAAAAGGCAGAGTGACACCAACAAGATGAATCTCCATTTATCACATTGGACACGAATGATATGGGCGGTACCAAGGGTTACTTACCTCTATTAACTGACTCCACATATTGTATTTAAACCATGCCCCCAATGAGGCCCAGAAGGACACCATCCGTCCAGTCCATCCCGAAATAACGCACCTGACTCTTGTTAAGTTTTTGGTGCAACCTACACCAAAATATCTTGTTTTTGAACGATTGTAGTTAGATATCTTTTCATTCATTCACCAAGCAAGCAAAGCAACAAGAATTTGATTTCAAAAGGATAATCTTGTTGTTCCACTTCGACAACACAACACTTGCAATTAATTCTAAAGGTGACCCATTGCTGGCTCATTGTTGTAAAGTAGCGGGTATGTTTGGTGTTGTTGGGGTATGTACTGCTGTTGTGCACCTCGATGATCATCAAATCTAAAGAGATCTATATTATCACTTCACTGTCAGTAGGTGGTAATGGCGATGTTGATGATCATTGAGGTCATATTTGTTACACCAATTGGTGTAATTGGTGAAACTTAAACCACCTCGAGTGTAAGAGAAATTATTAAAGTGAAGATAAATGTTTACCCTGGTCGAAATTTACATGTTGTAAAACATAATCATGATTGATTTCTTTGACTCTTTGATTGTTTGTTTGATTGTTCTATTGACTTGTTGTAATTGATGATCACGTGTTGTGTTGCCTTGTAATATTCCGTGCACCCTTCCATCAAAGATAGATAGATTGATTGATTCTTTACCTTCTACTACTTCTGACCTAGACACCAAATTGTTTCAATCAATCCTTCTATTCATCCATTCATACATTCATTATTATATTACAAGAGATAAAGAGATAGAGATATAACATGAATGATAATGATCCTAAGAAGTGTGTGTTTTTGAGATTGCACTTCATTCATCATCAGAGTGCAAAGATGTAGAACATGTGTTCTTGAATGAGGGGGGGAGCGTGTGATCATCACATTGGGAAACACATCCATTACTACATTATACTCTAAACATATAATTAAAGTGAGAGAGATATAATATGAATATCAATAGTGATAAGTATGAGTTGTTGGTCAAGTTCAACTTGAGAGGCAAAGACATTGAGAAGTGGAGACTAAAGAGAAGTGGTCTAGTCCTCTACAATGTAAAGGATACCAGTCCATTGGTTCATGGTATGAATGAATGATTGAATGATGAATGAATGAATGTCAACAACATCATTACTTACACATTAAATAGGCGAGTTCTTCTTGGCAACAGAGATACATAGACATGATGGATGCCCACATACATTGGAGCATCTGGTGTTTATGGGTTCAGAGGACTATCCTTATAAAGGTTTCCTTGATACTATTGTATCTAAATGCTTTGCACAGGGTACTAATGCATGGACTGCAACAGATCATACTGCATACACCCTGTCCACAGCGGGATCAGAGGGATTCCTGCAGGCATTGCCCATCTTCCTCGATCACATCCTCTATCCAACACTCACGGACGAGTCCTACGTCACAGAGATCCATCACATCGATGGCAAAGGACATGACTCTGGTGTAGTATACTGTGAGATGCAAGCCAGACAGCATAAGCAATTCTCTATCGTGGACTTTGAGTAAGCGCCAACTCAATCACACTCGTTCATTCGCTCGATCACTCATTCATTCATTCACTCAATCAATCAAACAGACTCAGACAGATGTTGTTCACCAATGATACTGGTTATAAGAGTGAGACTGGTGGATTGCTAGAGGATATACGCAAATTGGACGTTGACACAATCAGACAGTATCACAAGGATTATTATCGCCCGGATAACATGGGTATATTGGTCGTTGGCCAGGTGGAGACTGAACAAATCTTTGCCACACTAGATGCCTTTGAACAGAAGATTATGTCCAAGGGTACACTAACACCAATGGTTCGTCCATTCCAAGAGAAGCCAGTATTCTTTGACAAGTCCATCTCCAAAGACATCACCTACGGCTCAGAAGACGAGACCATCGGTGCAGTATATCTCTCATTCAAAGGTATCGAGCAATCTGAGCACAAGTTGTCCGATGCCCTCTCTGTACTCATGGTAAGTCAGGCCATTCATTGTTTGATCATGGACATTGGACCATTACTTACTCATGCAATTTGGAACATAGTCATACTTGCTGGATGGACCAACATCACCAATTGGCGCAGAGATGATTGATATTGAAGAGCCATACGCAACAGAGTCAATGTTCTATAAGTACGAGTTCTCCACATCAGTATTGGTCGTGTACTTTGACAATTGCAATGTAAAGAAGATGAGACAAGTCAAGGATAAGTTCTTCCAAGTCATCCAAGAGCTACTCGACAACAAAGACATTGACATGGAGAAGATGCATGCTGTCCTAGAGAGTACAAAACAATCAGTATGTGTCCGTCAAGCCACTCCTCGCGTCATGCCATTAACACACTCACTCATACATCACAACAGACTACACTCAGCTTTGACAAGTCGATCAAGGGCATTGTATCGGAGCCAGTTATAATGGACTTCTTGTATGGCGAGGACAAGACTAATCTGACAAAGAGCATCAGTTTGGACATTTTTGATGAGTTGTTGGTAAAGGATGAGGCATTCTGGCTCAACCTGATTAAACGATTCTTTATCGATCAGCCTGTGATTGAGATCGTTGCCATACCATCCACTGCAGAGTCCAAGCGACTGACCGAGGTCGAGACCCTACGCACTGAGAAGCAGATCCAAGAGCTTGGCGAAGAGAAGATCAAACAACTTGGTGAACGTTTGAAACAAAGTCAAGAGGTCAACGAGAAGCCAATCGACAAGGAATTGTTTGGTATGTATTGGAATACGTGATGGTATTTTGGACATGATGGCTGGCTGACTGACACTTTGGATCGATCAATCAATCAAATAATGTAGAGAGGATCAAGACACCATCGCCATCAGCAATCAAGTTCATTCCCATTGTCAGTCTGTTCAATGATGTTCCATCAAAGCAAGATGAGGATCACAGGAAATTGATGGAGCATGTACTATCCAAGTCGCCGGAGAAGGCACCATTCGATATGTTGTTAAACCGTATGTTTGAATGATTCACCAATCATTGGAATGGTCCGGAATGGTCACGTACTTACCCATTTTACCTCCACACCCTTAGACGCCCAGACATCATTTGTCCAGATACATGTACTGATGAACACCTTTGACTTGCCAGACGAGCTAAGACAATACCTCCAGTTGTACTTTAAGTTGTTCTTCATGGTAAGTCAGTCACTAATCATTCAATCAATCAATCACCAACTCACACCCAATAATATTAGACACCAGTAGTTATTGATGGAGAGGAAGTTAGCCATGAGGATATGGACTTGATATATTTGAAGACATTCATCACTTACTCTGCAACAGTCGGTATGAAGCAATCAAAGACTCCATTCTCACAGTTGTGTGTTGCAAAGTTCAAGGTCACCCAGGACAACTACTTGGATGCAGTCGGACTCGTCCGCTCATTGATTGGCGGTGACATTAGATTTGTAAACAGTCGCATCAAGGTCATTGCCCAACAGATGTTTGATGACATCTCACCCCTGAGGAACGAGGGCCAGTACATGGTGAGCGCCATGACCAAGTTCAACCTCTACCACCACGACAAGTCCAACCAATCAGTGCTCAACTTCCAGCGCCAGTATATCTTCCTCGAGGCCATCCTCGCCAAGCTGGCGGCAGACCCCGACACCACCGAGTACGTCGACAAGCTCAACTCAATCAGGGACTTTTTCAACAATCCCTCCACGACCACCGTTCATGTTGGCGCGGACCTCTACCAGCTGGACGACGTCAAACAGGTGTGGATCGACAGCTTTGATCATTGGAAAGACACGGCAGTAGCGCGACCACCAATGGTCATTCAAGTGCTCTCGGACAAGGTCAACGAGAGGAAGGTGCACCAGATGCTGCCACTGCCCGGTTCGACCAGTGGATACTTCACCCGAACACATCCAACAACATTCCGATACGACAGCATGCTGTCCAATGAGTTTGCCGCACTGTTGTTGGCCATTCACTACTTTGAGCAGATGGAGGGCCCGTTCTGGAAGGGTCTGCGCGGCGCCGGTCTGACCTACAACTACGACCTTTACATTGATCGTGAGTCTGGCATTCTCACATTCAGTTGTTCCAAGTCCTCCAGCCTTGAGAAGGCATTCTCCGAGTCCAAACGTATCGTTTGTGACGTGATATCCAGTGGCCAGTTGAATCCAGCATGGGTCCAAACCGCAGCCAGCTCAGTCCTATTCGAGTTTGTCAATGCTGAGAAGAATGTCTTTAAGGCTATCTATCAGGTATGTTGATTGATTGATTGATGGCCTGGTTTGGGTTTATTAACATTCAACTCACTCACTCAATCGATAACTTCCATCTTCCAGTCGTTGATTAGTCATGTGATCAGGAAATGGCCATCGGATGGATATAGAGTGCTGTTGGACAAGCTGTTCAAGATTAGTGAGCAGGAGATCAAGGACTCACTGAAGCACTTGAGCATCCTATTCGATGACGACACAAGTAATGTCGCTATTGTGGCCGACACTGTCAAGGTTGATGCAGTCAAGGGTCTGTTCAAGGATGATCGTCTGAACATCATATCAGTAGAGTCACACTTTGTCTGAGTGTGTAAGATGGATCGATGGATTGATGGATGGGTGGAGTGAGGAGGAAAAGGGGGAAGAAGGAGAGGAATATGATATGTATGTGTTGACAAGGGATCATTCCACATCCCATCTATATATATTATATAATAAACAAGTGCCATTCATATAGTATGTACTGCTGTTACTGCTGGATGGGCTACTTCTTCTTCAAGTCGAATGATATCTTGCAACCACATGACTTGATGGTGTTTGGATTGTGTGACACGACGAATGTGCTCCTCATCCGCTCCACTTCATAGTCTATAATTGATCCATTCATCATATCCAGTGATACCTTATCGATTATAATCTCTGCATTGTCCTTTGTGAATACACTATTATAATGTCCAAATTGTTGGATCGAAACATGTTAGCCGACCTATCAATCAATCATGTCCAATCAATCTATCAAACATACACATCATCCTCTGGTGAAGGCTTAGTGTCGAATTTGAATATATATTGGAATCCACTGCAACCGCCAGTGTCCACCATCACTCTCAACTTGGTGTCATCGGACTTTAAGTTTGTCTTTTGATGGTTGATCTCCTATGTGTCGGGGTTAAAGGTTGGTTAGTAGTGATGCTTGATCAATCAATCAATCAATAACTCACCTTTGCGCACAAGTCAGTAACAGTGATATTGAATGGATTAGTTTCGCTTGGATATGTAAGTGTGTTGGTTGAATAGTATCTGTTGTTGCTGTACAATGGTGATGATGGTCCTGATCTCTGTTGATTGAATATATATGATGAGGCAGCTGAGGCTATGTTGCTTGTTTGGTAATGTGCAAGCCTCTGTAGAGTAGATGTAGTAGTGTATCGAGCTACAGATGACAACATGTTGTGTGTATATGTATGAACTAATATCTATCTATCTATCTAGTGATGTTAACAAGTTGTATACTTGTCAAAGTTGAACAAAGTGAAGAGGTCAACCCCAGACATTCTTTCGTCTTTTGTGTGAAATTTGGGGCTCATTGTGATAAAAATCGAATAAGCATTCGGCTACAACGAATCATGATGCAGAACTTTTCACACAACCAAACAGATATTTGATTACAAATAACATTACATATATAATACATACATACATACATATAATGAATAGGAATAAGTTTAATAATAGAGTGATTGATTGGGAGGAGGTCAAACAAAGGAGGAGATACACTACAGAGACTCCACCAAAGTCAACAGCATCGACATCAACATCGACTACATCAACGACAACAGATGTTAAACCAAATACATCGACGACAAATACAAACAATGTTGAACATAGACCCCCTGTTATAGACGATGTTAATAAATCAATGTTTAATAATGAGTGGATGGAGAAACAAGTTCGTCCAGTGATATCATTCCGCACTGGCAAGTATATCACCTACATCACATGTTCACTGGCCTTCTACTTTGCACTCTTCAGCGATTACTACGAGCCAGGTAAAGAGAAAGATACTGTTGTAACTGGTGTATGTTATCCAAGATATTCAAAGACATCAATCATTCAATCGCTCGCTCACTCAATCAATCAATCAATCAATCAAACCTTGTAGCTGAGGAATTACCATGATAAAGTAATGTCTAATTTATTGGGATTTGATGTCCGCGAGTCACTCAAGAGCTTGAGGAGGGCATTGACATTCGAGACACCACAATTGCCACAAGAGGCCATAGACAAGATCAATAGATTGAAACAAGAGCAAGGTATTGCACCTGTTGCAGAAGCAGCTCCAACACAACCAACAGCATTCTCAAAGTTATTGTCCAATGTGGAACAACCAATCAAACCGATATTGTCATCCGAGTACAATACAGAGGATCAGCGAATTGATGAGATAATCAGAAGATCAAAACTGGAAACCAAGGAAATGGAAGAGAGGCTGGATAACTTTATGAATAATAATAACAAGGGGAAGTAAACTGGATCTTACTCCATTCCATTTATATATATTATTATCATCATTGGATTAATAGTCATCGTCATTACTATTAATTCCCATCAAGTCTGCTGCACTCATCATTGGCGCCACTTCCTTCTTGGGTTGTGCTTCCTCCGATTTCTGTTTCTTTTGCTGCTTCTGTTGTTGTGGGGCCTTCTGTTGTTGCTGCTTCTTCATCTCCTTGTACTCCTTCACCAGGTCATCCTCCTCATCATCGTCGAACACTGATTTGGCTGGTTTGGTTTTGGTCTGTGATTTTGCCTGTTTGTTCTTTGATTTCTTGTCCTCTTTGCCATTCGTCTTGCTCTTGTTCTTGTCATTGCCATTGTCATTGTCATTGTTGTTTGATTCGCTGCTGAACTTGTAGGCATATTGTGGCTGACTTGTTGTTGATGATTTGTTATCCTCGCCATCACTATCAGAGAATGTGACAAGTTCGTTCTTGGTTTTTGTCGTTGTTGGCACTGTTGTGGTTGGCTTTGTCTTTGATGGGGTGGTCTTGGACTTGGTCACCTTTGATCCTGGACCATCAGCCATATCGATCTTCTTGACTCTTTCACCAAAGCTCAATGAACTATCCTCATTCTTCTTCTCCTTTGTGATTGATTTGTTACTGCTAGTCTCCTCAATCGCTGACTTTTTCTTCTTTGGTGTTGTCGTTGTTGTTGTTGTTGTCGTTGTCTTTGCTGGTGCTGGTGATGATGACTGCTTCTTCTTCTCCACTAACTTGCTATCTTGTTTCTTGACACTCTTATCGATCTTTGGCTCGCTTGCCACCGGTCTCTTCTTCTCCGCCATTGACACTGGGGCGGCAACCTTGCTCTTGGTATCCATCTTTGGCTCTCTAGTCACCCTCTTTGGCTCGGTCATCTCCACATCAACTTTAGTATCCTTGGATACCAATGGCTTGGCCAAAGCATGCTTTGTCTTGTCTGCCATCAATGGTCTCTTGCTCTTTGTTTTCTCCCATGACGAGTGTACTGCCACACGTTGTTTCTTTGATGGTTGGTCATCCTCCTCCTCATCATCTTCATCATCATCTTGTCCTTTCCTCTTGATTGCTGGTCTCTTTACAATCACCTTCTTCTTCTTCTTCTTCTCATCATCACTGCCATCCTCATCATCACTGTCATCACTGTCATCGCGACTGGCAGACGCCTCCCTCTCCAACCTATATTTCTTTTGTTGCTCGACAGTCTCCCTCTTCTCGAGATTCTTCTTCCTCTTGTCCACTTTTCCAATCTTCCTGTCAGAGAATGGCTTGTTGTCCAGACTGTCCAGTGCAGGGAACATCTCCTTCATCTTCTCTCTATAGTCCTCTTGTGCAGCAATTGGATTACCAATCAAACTCAGACTCCTCAGACTCTTTAACTTTGTCAAAGGTTCCAGATCCTTATAATTACTCAACAAGTTATGTGACAAGTCAATGATCTGAAGAGTATGCAGCAGTTGTATCTTTGCATCCATTGTAAACACCTTATTGTTTGTGATCCTAAGTTCCTTGAGCTGGAATGTGTCATGTGATTGATTGATTGAGTGTGGGAGTGAGTGGAATGGTTCCATATCATGTTATTGATTGATCCGATTGAGTGGCATACCTTGGTATTCTGACTCATGTCTGGGATATGCTTGATGGTGTTGTGTGATATTGACAACTTGGTCAACTCTTTGAGGAACTTGATACCTTGGATATGCTCGATGGCATTGTGTGAGAGTACCAATGTGTTGAGATTGGGCAAGTACTCCATGTTCTCAATCGTCGATATATTATTATTATTGAGTACCAAGGCATTTAGATTGGCCAACTTCATCACTCCCTCAATCCTCTTTAACTTATTATGTGACATGTTCAACACTATCAATCATGGATGTGTCAGTCAATCAATCAACCAATCATGCTCATGAAAGATGTAAACACATACCCTTTAACTTTGTCATTGACTTGATATCGATCATTCTCTCAAGTTTGTTGGTTGATACATTGAGTGTCTCGAGTGAGACGAGGTCTTTGAGACCATACATGTTGGCAATCTCATTCTTGCTGAGGTCTAATCGTTTGAGATCCAAACAACAGCTGAGGTCACCCAACTCATTGATCTCCTTTGATGACAATACAATCGATGTTGTTGTACTGACATCAGGATAGAACTCTGATAGTTTGTTTGCTGTTAACTTCATCACTTCACTCCTATATCTTTCTGTATGTATATGTTATGTATGATCGATCGTCTTATTCTTGAAATGAAGTAATAAAATGTCGTTCGGCAATAGAATGTTTTGGTGATTTGCCCAAAAAACGAACGAATGTTGATCATATCAAAAATAATCATAATTATTGTAAAGCCAAGTCATATATTAGGTCTCATTCCAAACATGATTGATGAATCAATATTAATTATTGTAATTAAATATAGTAGGTTGTCAAGTCAGACTAGGATTGGACTGGATTGTCAATATGACCCTATCGATGGAGTTTTCAAAATCACCTTTCTACTTTATTTTATCTTGAGTTGTATGTGTTGTTGAATAAAATAATGGAGAGTGTCTGCCAGGTTAAGGTAATATTGTGGATATGGTCAACGGTAAGATAAATGAAAGGAGTCAGAAAATGGACATCTCCAATATATTTGGCCTGATCGGTAATAGTACTTCGACAACATGTCATTGGCTTAGTTCTTCGGAGTAGACACCCACTCATCATAACACACACATTATTTCAATGACAACATCCTCATTCCTTCATTCCTTCATTCCTTCATTCCTTCACTCATTCCATTGATTCAATCATTCATTCCATAGGGATAAGTTGAGTATCTTGCCATTGCACTGACGAATGAACACCAATCGAGAGTTCATTGCCACACACACACTCACACTCACCATCACTGTTACCCACCACCATCTTACCTTTGACATCATTGTTTGATTGATTGATGTCCCACCCACACTCACACCACACACTTGATCAGTCACTCATTTATCTCCCACCTTTCGTGAGTATGACGTTCCTCACATATATTGATTGCTTCGCAATGAGAGTCAGCACCATCAACAATGAATAGTGAATGGAAAGAGTAAGACTTGTCTTGATATATACCCGGTGATATGCATTGTCGGATTCCACGTGAGATACTGATTCGTCTGACCATTTTACAAGTCACAACAACACACTATGCTCTGACATTTCCATTCACAGCCACACGCCATTGGTTCAACACAGTTAAAGCGCATTGCTTCACGGTAATTTAGAACGTGCCAATCTACAATGTTTAGTTATAATGAATGGATACTTGTCACCGCGGGCCTGCACCCGATGCCGATGCCCATATTCCCAGAGCGGTTATAACCGCTACTATTATTATTATTATTATTTGTCACAGCCAGCCATGGATATTGCCGACCTTCCATCCATCCAACCATCGATCGGGCACAACTTTGAAATTGAGTGACACATGTAAAGAAGGACATCCATCTAACCATTGCCATTCATTGTATTTTCCATCCCAAACCCAGTCTGTACCGGACTGTACAAAGGTTCCATTTCCGATCCAACAATCAATCATATTTTATTTTTTAATATTATCATTCAACCAAATCAAATCAATTAATATTCCCAACCGATCGATCTATTTAAATAATTTATTAATATATTTATTAATATATATATATTTATATTATTAATATTTGTTCCATGAACTCAATTAATATTACATATATGGCAAGTCAAATCGCCGATTCATATGTACAGAGTACAGTGTACAAGATGAAGGCACTTCAATCACCGATGGCTATGATGGATAAAAAGACTGTAGACTATTTATATTTTAATAATGGAGCACAAGATGGTCAATCAACAAAGTATACTTATTATGTCCATGGATAATTAATTAATTTTAATCATCTTACTGGAATCATTCCAACATAAACAAATAATAATAATCACAATAATAATATAATCCAAAATCCGACATCTCTTGGTATAAAATTATAATAAAATAAATTGTACGAACAAATAATAATAGGTATTCTTGTGTCTCTTGTCCCAGAACCAAGTTGACTTATTTAGTACTGTTGGAACTTGGATACATTGGTGTTGAGAACATCAGTTATAATATTGCTACTAAGGTAGCTTAAACGGTGTCATATCAAAAGTAGATATATAGCTATTGTTTTTGTTTTTGTTGGAGTTTGTTGCATCTCTGAGAGTGTAAATATAGGAAGTGGGGATAGTGCTCTAATGTGAACAGTAACATTGAGTGATACAATATATGAGTGCCATCTCTTGGAGACAAGACTCATAGATAGTCTCCATCTTCTTAATAGAGTTCCTCGACCATGTCCAGCTTTGCCCCTCCATAGCATTGCGATCTTATGTTCAATATGATGAGGAAACATAATATTATCTGTTTGTGATGTCATCATCTTGTTGTGCATCAAGTTGAAAATGATCACAATCATTAGGACCCTGGATCCTGAGTCCAAGGGTGAGGGCGAGGTTGGGGTGAGGGCGAGGGTACTAGTTTATTGTCCGATCGCATCCACTTTAGAGTGTTGCAAACTGATCACAAGCCTCTACTAATGCTGACATTGTTCCTGGCTCGGATACTGAGTGGCCAGAGTCTGGGATGATCCTGAGCACTGAGCCTGGATAACTCTTGTGGAGATCGTAGGCAGACTTGGCTGGACAGACAACATCGTAACGACCTTGGACAATCACTGCAGGGATGTCCTTGAGCAGGTGTGCGTTCTTGATCAGCTGTCCCTCCTCCTTGAAGAATCCACCGTTGACAAAGTAGTGACACTCGATACGGGCAAAGGCCAGGGCAAAGTCGCCCTCCTCACCATGCTTGATCTTGTCCTCGTCCAGAATGAGCTTGGAGGTGGACATCTCCCAGCGTGTCCAGGCATCGGCACATGCACGCTTGACCTCCTCATCACTGCCAGTGAGACGGCGATAATATGCGCTCATCAAGTCGCCTCTCTCCACCTCTGGTATCATCATGCGGAATGGCTCAAAGTACTCTGGGAACAACCAACTTGATCCCTCCTGATAGAAGAATAACAACTCATCCCTTCTAAGTGTGAAGATACCTCTAAGGATCAAAGCCTTTGTTCTTGATGGATGTGTCTCTATGTCGTGGCAAGTGGCAATGTTAGATGGACTTGTTGTTGACTTTGTCGTATGTATGTATAGTTACCGGCGTAGGCAAGGGACAGGGTTGATCCCCAAGATCCACCAAAGACGACCCACTTCTCAACATTGAGCAACACTCTAATCTCTAAGTATGAATGAAGTTGGTTGGTTTGTTGTCCATTAGTTAGCAATGTTGATCATTACATGATAGTTGACGACTACACTACATACTCTCCATATCATCAACCAAGTGCCATGTTGTGTTATCCTCAAGGCATGCGAATCTACATCATCATCAACATCAAAGTCAGTAAATGAATGATTGAACGTAGGAATGAACGAATGAATGAATATACATACGGCAAACTCTTGCCACAACCTCTTTGATCAAACATAATGATTCTGTAGAGCTTGGGATTGAAGAATTGTCTGTAGAAGTCTTCACAGCCACCGCCAGGTCCACCATGGACAACGATCACAGGGTTTCCCTCTGGATTGCCAGACTCCTCAACATGCAAATCATGCACGTCAGACACCTTCATCCTATGTTCCTTATATGGTTGGATTGGTGGATATAATGTCCTTGGATAATCAAATACGTTCTTTCCCATTATCTATCTATCTATATGTTTGATTGAATGAATGATTGATTGAATGAATGCATGAAGTTGATCTCAATCTTGGGATTCTTCTTTCGAAAAAATCAAAGGGGGTCTACCCTTGGAAGAATCTTCAAACGAGTCGTGGACAAGGGAAGGATGATGGAATGAGATAACTTGTCAAGTATCCAAACATGGTAATTACAAGTTACAACAACCAAGACAACAACAACAAACTAAGATACAAGGTTATTATTATTTTAACTTATAATCGTTTAAATATAGTAATTAATTTATTGCTATATAGTTTAATCCAAGTCCTCATCTGGACGAGTTGGTCTTGGGGCGGAACCGGCAGCGGCAGATGGATCGAAACCACCTGGCATACCTCCCTCTGGCATACCACCGGAGGCCTGGTACATCTTGGTCATGATTGGGTTGACGATGTTCTCGAGATCCTTTCTCTTGGCATCGAACTCCTCCTTGGAGGCAGAGGCGTTGGCCTCCAACCACTTGATGGCCTCCTCGGAAGCATCCTCGATGGACTTCTTGTCGTCGGCGGACAGGTTGGCGGTGACCTTCTCGTCTCTCATGGTGTTACGGATGGTGTAGGCGTAGTTCTCGTAGGCGTTCTTGGCCTCGACCTTCTGGCGCTGGGCCTCATCCTCAGCCTTGTACTTCTCGGCCTCCTTGACCATGCGGTCGATCTGCTCAGCAGACAGACGGCCCTTGTCGTTGGTGATGGTGATCTTGTGCTTGTTACCGGTGGACTTGTCCTCGGCAGAGACGTTGAGGATTCCGTTGGCGTCGATATCGAAAGTAACCTCGATTTGTGGAACTCCACGTGGAGCGGGTGGGATACCGGACAGCTCGAACTTGCCCAGCAGGTTGTTGTCACGGGTCATCTGACGCTCACCCTCGAACACCTGGATGAGTACGCCTGGCTGGTTGTCAGAGTAGGTGGAGAAGGTCTGTTGCTTCTTGCATGGGATGGTTGTGTTTCTTGGGATGAGGACGGTCATGACACCACCGGCGGTCTCGAGACCCATGGACAGTGGAGCGACATCGAGCAGCAAGAGGTCAGCAACCTTCTCACCACCCTCGTTGTTGAGAATGGCAGCCTGGACGGCGGCACCGTAGGCGACGGCCTCATCTGGGTTGATGGACTTGTTCAGCTCCTTGCCGTTGAAGAAATCCTGCAACAGGGACTGGACCTTGGGGATACGGGTTGAACCTCCGACCAGGACGATCTCGTCGATGGTCTTCTTGTCCATCTTGGCGTCACGGAGGACCTTCTCGACTGGGTCAATGCAGCCACGGAAGAGATCAGCGTTGAGCTCCTCGAAACGGGCACGGGTGATTGAGGTGTAGAAGTCAATTCCCTCGTACAGGGAGTCGATCTCGACGGAGGCCTGGGCAGACGAGGAGAGGGTTCTCTTTGCGCGCTCACAGGCGGTTCTAAGACGACGGAGGGCACGTTGGTTGGTCATGAGATCCTTCTTGTGCTTTCTCTTGAACTCGTCGACGAAGTGGTTGACCATACGGTTGTCAAAGTCCTCACCTCCCAAATGAGTGTCTCCGGCGGTGGCCTTGACCTCAAAGACTCCGTCCTCAATGGTGAGGAGGGAGACATCGAACGTACCACCACCCAGATCGAAGATCAGAATGTGACGCTCGGTCGAGGACTTCTTCTCGAGACCGTAGGCAATAGCGGCGGCGGTTGGCTCGTTGATGATACGCTGGACGTTCAACTTGGCGATGACACCGGCGTCCTTGGTGGCCTGACGCTGAGAGTCGTTGAAGTAGGCTGGGACGGTGATGACGGCGTTGTTGATGGTCTTTCCAAGGTAGGCCTCGGCGGTCTCCTTCATCTTGAGGAGAACCATGGAGGAAACCTCCTCTGGGGAGAAGCTCTTGGCCTCACCCTTGAACTCGACTTGGAGGTATGGCTTGTCACCCTCCTTCTGGATGACCTTGAATGGCCAGTGCTTCATGTCGGACTGGACGATTGGGTCGGAGAACTTACGGCCAATCAAACGCTTGGCGTCGAAGATGGTGTTGGTTGGGTTCATGGCGACCTGGTTCTTGGCGGCATCTCCAATGAGACGCTCGGTGTCGTTGAAAGCGACGTACGATGGGGTAGTTCTGTTACCCTGGTCGTTGGCAATGATCTCAACACGGTCGTTTTGCCAGACTCCGACACAGGAGTAGGTGGTACCTATTTATTATTTAATAATCAATGAATGAAAGTAATTATAATGTTAGTGACATAGTTCGTTCGTTCGTTCGTTCGTTCGTTCGTTCGTTCGATCATGTAGATAGTGTACATACCCAAATCAATTCCGATGGAAGACATTATATGTGTATATATTAGAAATAAAGTATATATATATAATTAAATATATATTTGTGTATATGTTTGTGTGAGGTGGGGAGAGGGGATGAATGATGTTCGACTGACTTGAACTCGTCTGATATTCCTTTCTGCAAGTCTCAGGTCACGGTTATCAAAGCGAGTGATTCGTGTGTTTTAGGTTTTAAGTAGATCTAGATGAAATTTCATTCAAAACTACATGGTTTTTCAAATATATCTCAACTAACGAATAACGACAAAACAAAGAATAACTTTCGTTATTTCGAGTTTCGTTAATTATTAACGAGATCATCTAATTAATCTCAAAGTTCACTCAATGATTCAAGTCTGATGACATTGTATTAAACTTCAAAGTGATTGATCAATCATACATGAATCACAATAAAGCCAGTCAGCCAGTTTCCAGAGAGTTGGAACAAGTCCATGTTGGAACAGATGATTTACACAAACATTGGATCATGATATGTTAGGGACCGACATTTATTTGAACAATTATATACTTATCAATCAAACAGATATATGATTGATTCATTGTTGATGTCAACGTGGCATTGTTAGACTTAAGATATCTCTCTCAGAGTTAAAGATAGAAGTTGGCGCCAGCCCATCATCTAAATGGTATCATCATACTTTCACTCAAACAAACAAGAATAACCACCACCAAAATCACACTAATCGCAAAAACTGATCAAAGTGTAACAGCCCGATCGATCACCCCCATCTTTATTCGAGGGAGTTTGGTGCCAATACTCGATTAACAAACAACATTCCCACCTTTCAAGGTCGTCCATCCAAGTCATTTCAATCACTAATACTTAAACATATATATTGTAATACTACCTTACTACCACTCTCCAGCCAGCCAGCCAAAGCAACAACAAGTTGAAAGAAATGACAATAGAGGAGGAGAGGAGGAATGATGGACAGGACGTGCCATTGGACAATCGAGGCGCATATCATGGTGAGGCAACACTCGCCCCACCAGACGACTTGCACCACCGATCGATAATGTACTTGAGGACACCATCAGACGACTATCTACACTATGAGGACATGACTAATGGACAAAAGTTCCTCGAGAATGTATTCGGATACACAGTGGCAAACAGGAAGGCAAAGATACCGTCTGGCTACGACGTGGCATACACCGAGAGTGGACAGCCACACTTGGTGCCAACGATGGCCGAAGCCATGGACGCAACAGACATCGCGGCGATGAACGAGCACGTGAACCACGGTCTGACCATGCGCTGTTCAATGCGCCAGATCGAGGAGACCTTTGGCACGGGCATCTACCTCTACTTTGACTTTGTCAAATTCTGCAATTGGACCAACCTGCTGCTGTTGGCCGTCGTGTTGGTCAACGTCGTGCCACATCTCTACTATGAGGACACAATCGGTCAGTTCAAGGGCTTCCGCGCCATCGACTACGTGATGGTTGCCATCAACTTGCAGTCCTATATCGACGCGCGCTCACGAGCTTTTTACTACTGGAGCTCGGTGGCGGCCATTGGTCTCACATTCCTCATGGGTCCAGTCTACGCACTCAAAGTTCATCGATATTTCAAGAATCGCAACCTGACCGACTTTGAAGATGGCTTTGACGACGACAACGAGATCAAGGGAAACCAGTTGGTGTCACGCACATCCCGTCTAGTCCGCTTCATCACCTCTTACGCAATATTTGTAATACTAATCATATCATCAGCCGTATGCAATCTCTATGTCATACGCATCATCAACTCTCATCCATTCCTCACTGGACTACTGTATGTATAAGTATTCAATCAACATTGGAAATGATGGATGGATGGTTGGGTTGATGATGGCGCAGCAAATAACTAACATCCGATCATACTCCAAATCATTTAATCCAATATCACGTGACTGGATAATCAATCACATGATCAATGACATCATCGGAAACACACTGGAAACACATGGAACACTTGGAAACAACTTGATATCTAAAGGACTACATCACTTGTATCATCGATCGTCATTCGATTCTTCAATGTTATATATGACTTTTTGTGTTTGTACTTGACAAAGCTGGAGAAGCATCGCACTTGGACCAACTTCCGTACACACAACACACTGAAACTCTACGTGTTCAAGGTGGTCAACGTATTGGTACTATACCTACTCCGCAGTTGGGTATTCTCATCATACACCTACGAGATCATATACGACGCATGTCCACTTGTAGACGTTGGATCACAATTCCTCCTTATCCTATTACTAGACTTGACTGTATGTATTGTATTGTTGATGGTTGGAGTGAGCCAGCTGACACTCCAATCGATCAGCTGATATATGGCACGTGACAGATCAGTCAGCTGACTCATACCAAACCCCCCCTCTCACAGCTGCAGAACGTTTGGGAGATTGTTTACTCATGTGGAATGGCTGCGATTGGAAAGTGCATTGGCAAGCGTGGCAAGAAGTCCACGGATAGCTATAGGCCAGAGTTTGACTTGGCAGAGGAGTATCTGGAGATATTGTACAGACAGCTGATAGTGTACCTCGGTTTGACGATCTATCCACTGGTGGCACTGCTCGGTGTGCTGTGTGGCATCGTAGAGATATACGTTGACAAGTTTAGAATGCTCAAGGTGTGTCGTAGACCACACCGCATACATGGCTCGATGAAGAAATTCCTCACCATGTACCTTTTAATGACGGCTGCTGTTGCTGTGGCCACCTTCCCCTACGGCTCTGGCTGGGTACTCTTTGAGATGGGTCTAGAGCGCGGTCAACTACACGACAAATGTCCATTCCTGTTCTCACGTCAAGAGGGTTCCCATTTGATCATCCCATTGACCAACACGACAATCCCAATATAGTTAGTTTGATTGGTCAATCAATCATCAATAAATGTAATATGTACACTCAATCATTTTGGGACTTAATGGTCATATCCACTTGTGGACAAGGTAGGGACATGATCCAGTACAAGGGAGAATGGATAGGCAATCAAAGATAGACAAGTATAAACAAGTTGATTTTAAAGATCATTTATTGAACCAAACAATCCTTCTTCTTCTTTTGGGTGAATGAGTAGTGAGTGAGTGTAGGTGATGGGCAGGGATAAAAAGGTGATGCAAGAGACTGGACATTCTCAAGTGGATGTCTAGTTGGCAGGAGTCTCCTCGGCTGGGTTGGTGAGAACCTCCAAAGCCTCCTTGATCTTCTCGGCCAAGAGGTCGGATCTCTGGACAAGCTGGAAGAGGTCGTCGACGGTGAGCGAGTCGAGGAGCATACCAGTGATCTTACCAGAGAGATCTGGCTGGCTGGCGTGGATCAATGGGTACAACATCTCTCCGAGGATGGAGTTCTGCTGATCACGCTGCATGGCCTTGATGGTGTTCAAGCTGATCTGCTCCTGGGTGGTTGGCTCGGTGATGGTTGGCTCGACTGGCGAGGCGGCGGCTGGCTGTTGTGGAACGACTGGCTGCTGTCCGTCTGGTCTGGGTCTTGGCTGACCACGGTGGTTGGCCTGTGGGACACCTCCGCGTGGGTTGCGGACGGTCTGGTATGGCATTGGGTACTGACCCTGGGGTGGGACTGGACCGGTCCATCCCTGACGTGGTGGACGTGGCATCATCTGGGGGTAAACGACTGGCATGCCAGTTGGCTGTGGGTAGATGAATGGGCCGCCTGGGTAGAGTGGGGAAGCTGGGATTCCACGTGGGACGGTCTTTAGCTTGCTGTGGTGAGCCTCAAGCTGAGCGCGACGGATCTCCTTGCGCTGGGCAAGAGCGACGTACAGTGGCTTGGTACCGACCATGCGACCGTGCATCTCGGCGACAGCCTTGCTGGCCTCGTCTGGGGACGAGTAGCAGACAAAGCCAAAGCCCTTGGAGGTGCCCTTGCCGCCAGAGTCGTCTCTCATGACCTTGGAGGAGGTGATGGTGCCGAATGGAGCAAAGGTGGCACGCAGTCTCTCGTTGTCGATGGTGTCGTCCAAGTTCTTGATGTACAAGTTGACACCCTGGTACTTGGTCTCGCGGAGGGACTTGAGCTCAGCCTCACGCTCCATCTTCTTCTGGGCACGTCCAACGTACAATGGCTTGCCGTTGTGGACCTTTCCGTTCTCGGCCTCGACGCATCTCTTGGCAGCGTCTGGGGTCTCAAAGTTGGCGAAACCGAAGCCCTTGCTCTTGCCATCCTCGTCAGACATAATGGCGACGTTGGTGATTGGGCCGTAGACAGCGAGCATGTGGGTCAGCTCCTCAATGGTGACGTCCTCGTTGAGGTTCTTGACAAAGACGTTGGTGTACTTGAGCTCGTGGGTTGCACCTCTCTCCTTGGACGACTTGAATGGACCGACGTAGACCTTGAGGTTGTTGATCATCATTCCGTTGACCTTGGCGATGGCCTTCTCAGCAGACTCCTGGCTCTCGTAGTGGACGAAGCCGTAACCCTTGGAGACGTTGGTCTCGTCGGTGACGACCTTGCAGGACAGAATGTTGCCAAAGGCCGAGAACGTATCGTAGAGGGCCTTATGGTCAACAGTCTTGTCGAGGTTCTTGATGAAGATGTTGCCGACGCCAGACTTTCTGAGGCTTGGGTCACGCTGAGACCACATGATGCGGCATGGCTTGCCCCTGATTGGGTTGTTGTTCAACGTGTCCAAAGCACGCTCGGCATCAGCAGCGCTGTGGTAGTTGATGTAAGCATAGCTCAGGGAACGACGGGTGGTAGTGTCACGGCAGATCCTAAGGTTAGCAACTGGACCAATCTGGTTGAACAGCTCGAACAAGAGGGACTCAGAGACGTCTCTAAATATTTTAAAAGAATAAGAATGATTGTAATTGAATGAGTTAATAATCTTTGTACATTGATTGAGTTGAGTGAGCGTCGCATCAGCAGTAGCAATATCGATAAAGTGAGCATGGTTCGTGTGAGTGTCTGCCGAAAGATCATCAATCGAAATAACTATTTGTTCAATCGCTAATCCTGTTATCTCTTTGTTTGATCGTCGCTATATATATATTATTTGTTCGCTAGATCGATGTTATAATGCCTCATTCAGTGTTACTGTTGTCGCTGTTGTCGCTGTGGATGCTACTGCTGTTGCTGTTGCTGTTGCTGCTGACCCACGAATGGAGAGACTTACGGGTGGAGATCACCAACGTAGAGGGAGGAGGAGGAGAATGAAGATGAAGTAGCCATTGCTGTTTAGAGAGAGTGAGTGATGAGACTGAAGACTGAACGACAAACAAGACGAGTAGTGATCAACAAGAGAGGATGGTATTATTTTTTGGTCTTTTGATTTTCCTGTTTTTTTTGTATGATTTGTTCTTTTGTGCTTTTTTTTATACTGGCTTATTCAAGACAGCAGCTGTGAGCTTATATATATTTGATTGAAAGTGTAGGGATAATAAATGATTATATTATGACTACACAAAATGTATATATGCTACGCTTGCGTGTATGTTGGAATAAACGAGTCTTTTTTTTATATTTATATATATAAAGAGAGAAGAGAGGAATTGTTGTGAGTGTAAAGTGAGCGAGCAACTTGCTAAAGAGCTCACGACTCTCTCCCTCTCCCATCGCGCGTTCGTCCTCTCACTCACACACACCTAATCACACTTTCAATCTCTAACACACGCACACACACATCATATCCATTCATCATCTATCGTACAACATAAGAAATGAAAAATAAATAAATTCAAACTTATTTTCAATCTAATTAAATTATAATCACATTTAATGTAACGAGACGACCAAAAAGGAAACGACCCCAACTGATATTGGGGGTTGTCTTTGGGTTTGTGGATGTGTATGAGTTGGTTGGACTGCTTAGCAGATTGGTTGACAGGATTAGTTTGTGTGCATATGTGTGTGTGTGTGTGTGTTGATCGATGGAAATAGAATGTGTGGATGACTGGATGTGAGTGTAGTGTTTGGATGGATACCAACAACTACCACATCATCAAGTGTTGGTTGCCAAGTATCCATTATGGTTGTTGTTGTTGTTGTTGATGTTGCTACCCAGATACTTAGGTGTTGTCGACACTGGAATATGATGTTTCCATCTGTACGCCTCATTGCCATTGACATCCAACTGATTGTCATGATGATGATGATGATACAACGAGTAGTTGTTTGAATTCAATCAGTAATAATACTACCCGTCGACTTCATTCCTAATTCAAATGTTTGGCGAATTAATGATTGATTGAATGAATGATTGAATGAACAAGTCTTATTGATTGTGTGTGTAAACATACTCGCGGAACGAAGGAACTACAGATTGTCCAGGTCTTCCTCTATCTTGAGTAATTTCTGTGTGACTTGGTCAATCTTGGAGAGACAGGCATCTTCCTTTTGGAGATAGTATCGCCTACGCTCGTCAAATCTCTCCTCACCCATGAACTTGATCCACGAGCTGCTGTTCTCGACCAGATTCTCTAGACGCTGGAACACTTTGTCATACTCCTCTTGTAGCTCCTGTCTCTGCTCCTCCAGCTCCTTACGATCGTCCTTCAAATCGGTCTTCTTGAAGAACTTCTCAATGCTCTGGCGCTGCAGCACGTATCTATGCTCCTTGATGATGCGCTCCACGGCGTGCCTGACACGCGGCGAAGAGAAGCTTACGAATATCTCGTATGTGTTGTCCGTGCTGCATAGTTGCATGCCAGTGTGTTGCTGTCGCATCCAGAAGTAGACCATGTTGATCTTGAAGTACTCCTCCAGCTCCTCAGGCTGCTCATGGAACACCCGCTCAATCAATTCCGTGACGGGGATGTACGGTCGCTCGAGCAGTGTCTCGAGCATCTTGAAGTGGCGCAGATATCGCTCAAAGATGGCCGTCTTGTCGCTGTCGGAGCTGGCACCATTCGCCTTTTGGAACATGGCATCGATCATTGAGCCCAGCTTCTGTGTCGTCTCGGAGAGGAACATCTCGATGACCTTTCCCAGCGGCTCACCCTTCTGCACGAGGCCAACAAGTGAGTCAATGTCACGCATCTGCCCGCCAAAGTAGTGCATGATCATGTCGATGTCCGCCTGCGTGAATGCCAGGCGTTCCTTCTCGTTGATCAAGGTGTCCAGTGCACGTGAATGTGATTGTGATTGGGTATTGGACTGTGTGGCGTGTGCATGTGCATGGGCATGGTCGATGTGTGGCGCACTTCCAATCCTCATGTCCACATGTGATTTGCTCACAGTTACAGTATGTAGATACTCTCTTATATCCGACTCCTCTGGATATGTTATGTTGTACAGGAATCTTCTCTTCTTGAAGCTATGATCTATGGATGTTCGTGTTAAGAAGGATCAGCCCAAAGTGGCGAATAATTGATTGATTGGTTGATGGACTTACTAGCATCAAGATGGAAGTGGACGAATTGGGAAGAGGTGAGGAAGACTATGTTGGCCAATTTGTTGTCGGTGACTGATATACACCAGTCCAGGAATCTGGTAAAATTGTCTGATGTTGGCAATGCCTCAATGTTGGTGATCACAATAAGTGGGACCTCTTTGTACTTATCCTTGATCTTGATCAATGACAGATATATAGTGTCCAATCCTTGTATGATCTCCTTGACATTGATCGCTAATTAAGTTGATTTGGAGGGTAAGTATGATGGATGGCGCCATCCATTGAGCGAACAAACATACATTGTTTCTTGTCACCTTTGAGAAAGAGTGACGAGATCATGTCGTCAGAGGGCAAGAGGTAGCCAAGTCTGCGCACGAATGAGAGTAGTAGCTCATCACCACTTATGACAGCGTTTTGACGCATGTCCACTAGGACATTCATCGTACGATTTGATATGACCTGCTTGACAATATGAGACTTGCCAGCGCCGTCGGGACCGACCACACATAGCGGGCCGACTGGCGCCGACGCCAAGAACGATGTCAAGTACATGCGCTCAACCGAGCGGTCAAAAGACATCTTGTAGACCTCGGGTAGGTAGTGTTCAAAGTGCTCGCGTGTCTGGAATGTCTTAATAATGCGGCTGACCTGGCGCGGCGTCCATCTGCGCATGAAGAACATGAATCCGACCACAGAGAATCCAAGCAGGAACCTTATTCCCCAAGTCGATACCGATCGTCTCTGTTGTTGTTGCATTGTTAACGCCGATGTAGAAGTGGCTGAAGTTGTAACGCCATCATTTTGCTGCAGCAAGTTCGTCCTGCTACCAGTCATCAGTTGTTGTCTGAATAGTGAATGAGTTTGAGATGGAGATTGATTGATGCCATCAATAGATGTCAACGATGGTTTGTGGCTATGTACAGGTGATGTTGTTGATGTCTTGGATGTCGTTGCAATCGTTGGGGAATGTGGCAGCATAGTATGGGGTGACAGTGCAGCAGGTAAACGATGTATCTGCAATGATCTTCTAGCCACACTATTGCTGCCATTATTGCTACTGGCTAGTAGGTACCTGATCATTGCTTATATGTTATGTTATGTTGTTATCTATTATATATACAGGTTATAACTACTCATTGATGGTGAGTGAGTGAATGAATGAATGAGTGAAAGTGTGATGTTCATTTGGGGTTCGGCCTGGTGATTGATCGATTATGACTGACACGCAATCAATCGATCAATCAATGATCAAACAATCAAACAATAAAGACCAAGATGACATGTCGGTATGAATAAACTGTAATACGTTTAGTTGATACGGTTAGGTAAGGTAAGGTAGGGTGGTAAGATGTGGACTCCAGCTGACGACATGCCAAGGAGATGGCGTATCTTGGAACAGCATGTGTCACACCATGGCGATGTTGGGATGGATAGATAGACGGCTGAGCGAGGGGAGGGAGCGGTGAGTGAAGTGCTGCGCAGGTGAATTAGTTGTTTCTTGGTTGTTGTTGTTGTTGTTTAAACGGCAACTGGCTCTGGTTTAGCCTGTGCTGCTTGTGGTTGTTGTGGCTGCTGTCCCTGTGGCTGCTGTTGTCCTTGCTGCTGACCACCACCCCTGCGTCCACCTCTGCCGGCGGCACCTCCTCTTCTTGACTGCTGGCTTCTCGAGTCGTTGATGCCCACCAGGATCTCAATGCCACGGTTGAACAGGCCCTTGGTCTTGTCCATGACCTGACGGTAAGCATTGGTATGCTGTGAGAACATCTTAATCTGATTGTTTGCCGAGTCGATCTTGGCAACGAATCTAGCGTTTCTAATAGCTTCCACGATCCACTTCTCTGATGACTCTGGGTTTATACCTAAGTTGTTGCACAACAAACTATTGATTGATCAATTGATTGATAGTGTTAGTTCAGTCATCATGGAATCATTCCCGACTCGGCCTTTGGCCTCTCGAATGGTACATACTCTATATCGATATTTTCGTGAATATTACAGTAGGTCTCAAAGATGCAAGCGCGAGAGCTCTCCATGAACTCATCATAGCATGACGCCAGGAAGTAGTCCTGCTTCAGGACTTGCTCGCAAAGAGACAGCTGTGCCTTGGCATCCTCAAAGTTGAACTTGACGTAGAGGCTCGAGACAAAGAGGGTGATTGGGTCGCGGTACGTGTAGGCCTCCTGCTCAATGACCTTGACCAGCTGGTAGATGGTCTGTGGACGTCTCCTGTTGATGATGACGGCCACGGTCAAGTAGCGAAGCACGTGTGGGCAGACGGTCTGGATGGCATTGAGGTACTTGTCGTCAAACAGCAAGTCGACCAGACCTGCTCTGTTCTCTGTTTGATTGAAATAGACAAAGAGACTTCTGTGGATGAGCCATGCTCTCTGATGCAGTTGCTCGACTGGTGACGAGCTCTGTTGTTTGTGTATGAGTGAGTGAGTGTGAGTACGAGGTGGAATGATCCCAATCAATCAATCAAAGATCAAACATACGTTGCTATCAATCTCCTCTTTCAGTGGAGCAATGTCTGTGACGGCGACAGCCCAGTTCTGGCTGAGGATGTCAGACTCGAGGATACCCCAGAGGGCGCTTAGTGTCTTCTGTCTGTCGTTGGAGAGCTTGGCGTAGATGGCCAGATATTCCCTGGCGATCTTGTACTGACCTGTCTCAAAGAGCAGCTTGGAGTATCTGTACATGGCGTCGATGATCTCTGCGTTGATCTTCTCGCGCAGCATGGCAAATGTGAACGACAGCTTTGCCTGCGACTCTGCCTCGGATGTGGCGGCGGCCTCCTCGTCAACATCGTCGGGGACGGTGGAGACGCCGGCAGTGGTCGTGGCGGGTGTGCTGCCTGCGGCGGCAGTGGTCGCTGCTGGTTGAGTCTGCTGATGCTCCTTCTTCGCGTTGAGGTATTGAGTGGCGACATCGCATTGCACTCTCAAAGTCTCCAATTCGTTGGCCAACTTCTGCTTCTTCTCCTGCAGTGCGCTAGTATCACGAGCGACATTTTGGCAGGCGGCAATAGCCTCATCACATCTACCAGTCTGTGTCAAGATATCTGCTTTCGCGCGATTAACGTCATCCTCTGGATATCCCTATATTATATCGAATGAATTGAATGAATGATTGATTGAACGATTGAATGTTGGTAACATGTTCGCGTTACATAGTGTCCTGTGCTGCTTCATTATATGATTCATGTCCCTGTGTTGTATGTATGCACATCTGTTGCTACATGATCGAATGATTGAATGATCGAATGAATGATTGAATGAACCTACCTTGGCAAAGTCCACCAGTTGGAACAACAAATGAGCGTCGAGGAATGTGCTCAACTTCTTTGTTAGATCGTACTCCATTCTATGTATGTATTTTGTTGATAGTATGTAAGTAATAAAGAAAGAAAGCTTGTTTGAATGAATAGTAGTCGAGTTGAACTAGCCCTCACACACCATCCACAGTCACTCTCACTCGAAGGTTTCATTCTTCATCACACCGTACACCCATCATCAGCATGAGCTTCGCGTTCGTGTTGTTGAGTTCAATGTGAGAAATAAAAAAAAATGTCAAATTTGAGTTGATGGAACTTCCAAATAATCTTTCAAACAAATAAACAAGGATGATTGTTGATTGATTGATTAATTGAGAACTAACATTCATTGTCGTTGGCCCATTGGATGATAAAGATGTGTGTGTTTATTTGATTGATGACACTCAGCGGCAGGTATAATGATGACCATCACCCCCACACACACTCATTGACACCCTTTCACACAATTATATGATCAGTCGGTTGGATTCACATAACAATGATGGTAGTATATATACATTTAATGGACTTTGAGTAGTATAAGTTAACCTCTACTACTACTAATAATATTTATACTTATACATATTTATAAACTAACAAATAATGAAATTAAAGACCTTTATACCTTTTATCAAAGTTCCAAAGAGATCAATCAGAGTATTGATGGTCGGTTTGGAAAAGTCTGGTAAGTTCATACCTTTATCCAATTTACTTTACATCTTAACTAACATTGTAACTACATGCATGTATTTAATAGGTAAAACAACAATATTATATAATATAAAGTTGGGATCATTCCTTGAAACAATACCTACCATTGGATATAATCATGAGAGAGTTAATGTTAATGGATCATCGTTTGATATATGGGATATTGGTGGATCAAAGGATACAAACAAATTACCATGGAAACTAATGGTACATAGAACAACAACTTGTATAATATTCGTTGTTGATGTATCAGATCGAGAAGGACTTGCCTGTTCCAAGGTCCAACTTCAAAAGATACAAGATGATAAAAGATTATCACATATGCCAATTCTTATATTAGCAAACAAACAAGACCTACTACCTCAACCTGCTCAAGGAGAACAAGGAGAGTCGTCCATAAATACACCGCTCACAACTACCGAGTTATCTCAATTACTTGGTCTTCCAGAGAAATCCATGGACAAACAATGGCACATCACTCCATGCACTGGAAAGACTGGCGAAGGAATATCAAATGGATTCGAATGGCTTTCCAAGCGCAAAGGGACCAAGTCGGAACAACGATCAATCACTTCACAAGAAAGATCATAAAATATTGAAGATTGATCGATTGATCATGTAAATATTACAGTGACAAGACATTAATATATGTATATTTTTTAATATATATTACTTAATGAACAAGTAAGAGGAGAGACTGTAGTCCTACTTCATTGAGTTGATCAATGAGTTGGGCAGAGGTCTATTTAACGACCAGTGTGGGAGGACCACAGCTTGTGGTGGTGAGAGTCGTTCAAGGTGAGGTCAGCATTGCCATGGAGATGGAACTTGTAGGGACCATGACCTTGGCCGTGAGTGCAGGTGGACCATGTTGGCTGGTTGTGGCTGTCGTAGACGACGGCGTTACCATCGTGCTGCATGACGAAACGGAATGGACCGTGGCCCTTGCCAAAGGTCTGAGTGGACCAGATGGCGTTGTTGGAGGTCCAGGTGCTGGAGGTGTACAGGACCAAGTTGCCGTCGTCCTGCATGACGAGGAAGTAGTTGCCGTGGGCAATGGCGTTGTTGGTGTTGGAGTGCAGGGTCTCCTCGCTTCTCAAGTTGTCGCCATGGTGGAATGTGCGGCCTGGCTGTGGATGAGATGGGGTGTGGTGGTGGGATGGCAGGATCATCTGGGTGGCGTGGGAGCCGTTGGAGCTGTATAGGCAGCCAGAGTGGCTGTCAACAACGTGGACACCTCCCTGTGGTGACAAGTAGCAGGTGTGTGGGCCGTGACCCTTTCCATGAGTAGCGGTAGCCCATGTTGGTGCGTTGCTGGCGTCATAGATAACCAAGTTACCATCGTGCTATAGTGAAGTGAATATGAAGGTAAAAGGGTTAGTGATTGTTTGTTTGATTGAGTGATCGTGTTGATCGAGTTAATGTAGTCAAACTCAAGCACAGTCGATTGAGTGATGAATGAGGACTTACCTGCATGGTCAGACGGTATGGGGCATGACCCTTGCCGTGGGTCTGGGTGGACCAGATGGCGTTGCACGAGGCAAAGTTGTTGCCACGGTACACAACCAAGTTACCATCTTGCTGGAGGACCAAATAGAAGCCTCCGTTGGTGATGTAGTTGACTGGGTGGTTGGAGTGGATGGTGTTTCCGGCAGTTATTCTGTCAGTCATTGTGTATATGTGTATGTATGTAGTAAGGTAAGGAGATAAGATAGATAATCTTTGTTATTTGTTTCAAACTTTTGAAATTGATGATGGTGAAGATGGACAAAGTGGAGGCCTTTAAATGTCTTTGGAATTTTAATTACAGGGTCAATAATATCGTGTTTTGGTTCTATAAAAGATCCAACTGATGACTGATTGATAGTTATTGAAGACTTTGTGGTTCTTCTTTGCAGGGTCCATTTCAGGTCCCAAACACACACCCGACCGAGGCCTAATCATCATAAAAAACAACAAACAAAAAGTAATCATTCACGTGATGATGTAACCTTTGATCACAGACCAGATAGACCCTGAGTGCCCTCTTTCAGGTAACCCACCTTGTATACTTTTCATTCACTGATCAATGATCTTGACTGACCAAGTGAGTGGCTTGGTCCCGCTATTCCAAGGTTGTGAATCACGTCAGAATGATAGACACAGCATAGCATGCATTCAGAGTTTACTTCTCACGATTGGACACGATGGCGACGACGGCGAAGTGGAACACTTGAGCTTGGGCAGCTGTTCCCCGACCATCTTTAGCACCTCGTTGGCACATCCCCAGCTAACAGTGAATCCACTGCCACCATGACCATAGTTGTGCACCAATAGCTTTCGGCCATCCTGTTGTAATTCACTCTCCAGTCGGATCTCGTAGCGTGAAGGTCGCAGACCAACCTTTTCCCCAATGATCTCAATCTTATCCTATATATTAGTGGTGATATGTTATGTTAATATGTTTGATTGATTGATTGATGTTCACAATCATTCATACCCTTGCAAACTCTGGCGATATTGTAGCCACTCTGTCCAGGATCTCCTTGGTATCCTTTGGACATGGTTCAAGGTTGTAGTTATGTTTCTGATTGGTACCGCCCAGAACTGAGTTGGTAACTCTTGGTATTACATATGCTATCTTTGTATCTGTTTGATTGATTGATTGGTTGAATGGGTGAGTGATTGAGTGATTGAGTGATTGATTGAGTGATTGAGATGGGTGACATGGTCTCGCCCACCTCCTCACGCCCCGCCAAACAAACATACCATCCTCTTCATCAATGAGTGAACGATCGCGAGAGTGATTGATTACAATGATCTGTCCACGAGATGGGTATACATGTCGATCACCAATTAGCTCACGCGAACCTATTCCAGTGCAGTTGATGACAATGTCCGAGTATATGAATGGCTCGCGAATGTCTACAACGACACGCTGGTCCACTCTGCCACCCAACTTCTTGAACGACTGCACCAGCCAGTCCATGTAGATATCGGTGTCCATGACAAAGCCATCGTCTACAGCGTATCCATCGACATAGCCTGGCAACAACTCGTCTGGTTTGATGCGTCTGAACGATGGGACGAACGGACTCCAGTCAGGGTTCTCCGCCTTGGGCACGCGGAAGAACTCGTTCACCTTCTTGTATAGTGTGCCAGTGTCGCGCACGTCCAGTGGCAGGATGTGTTGTTTGAAGTAGTCCATCGTCTCTTGTGACCATCGACCCACTTTATCCATTGGCTCCGATAAGAATGGATACCACAATGCTGCTGCCTTGTTTGATGTAGTGTTTGGAGGTAGATCCTTTGCCCATATCTCCACATCATATCTCTGTGTCTTTAACAACAATATTCCAGTGGATAAGCCAATACAGCCACATCCAATTATGATTACCTTTGTCTTTTGGTTTGATTGAGTCATCCCTCCCTCTATCTTTATTTCTTTGTTTGTATATATGTATGATTGTAAGATTGAATGAATGAATGGATAGATGGGTGGGACCCACCTTTTGATCTGGGGGTGCCCCAGATATGCCTCACCTTATGATCAAAAAGATCACAACAAAAATCAAGATTAGTTTGTGTTGTTGCAAAGTTCTTCTTTACACAAGGTCAATAATAGTTCCCCAATCAGTGGACATTTACCAGGTTGAATGAATAATGAACAAGGTATCCTTCTATGTTAAGGCAAAAGATTGGACAGATCCATGGTATGTTTTCTTCGCTCTACCGACTGAGCTAACCAGGTTTCCCTGGTGCAAGTTTCGATCTTGCCGCCTAAGAGTGGAATTAGATTTGTTTGCTGTAAAGGACCTTGTTATAATAAGGATGTAATCATATACTTAATCATTGATACAATTAAACAAATATTCTTTATGGTTCTCTCGAGTGTAAATGATTCAAATCAATCATAATTCTATTTATTTTCTGAAACTATTCCAACATGGAATTAGTGAACTTGGAAGAAGGGTGGCAATTTTTGGACAAGGAATGATTCCCCTTGATTGTCTCCAAGAAGAGATATTCGTTGGCCACTATGTAGAATATGTTCTATAGCAACCATGTCGATCATAATCATCAATAACAATCACATGTCTTGACAGTATTCAAACAGATATCTCCAAGCACTAACACTTCATGATCAGTACTATCAACATTGCGAACAACAAATTAAGCTAGTGATTGGATGAGGTTTAACGATGGCATCTATAAAGTTCGTTTTATACCTCTTGTAGAGTATGTTGGTTTGTTTGTTGATCAATGTCCAGACTAAAGACATGGTCGAACTCACTTTGGACCGATGCATCGTGGTCCACCACAACGATGGACTCGCGCTCAGGCAGTTGACGGAGTAGCTCACAGATGATGGGCTTGATCGTGGCATCCAGGTGATTGGTAAGCTCGTCCACGACCATCAGTGTGACGCGTGAGCCAACATGGTTGAATATGACCTCGCTCAATGCGAATGGACTGTATGACAACTCTACGCAGCGTCGTTGGCCGCCCGACAACTGATAGAATGAGCGCGGCTGGATGATGTTCTTGCTGTCCAACTCAAACACCTCGATGGTCAGCTCATCCTGGTGCATGGCAAGCGTTGTGAACAGCTTGCCCTGTGACAGGATCGAGAGGTACTCATTGGCATAGCCCTCCACCTCTTTGATCACCTGGTTCAGCGCCAGCACGGATATGCCGTCGCTGCCAAAGCCAGCCTCCCAGAACTGCAGTGTCTCCAGTCTCTTTGTTTCCACATCATCTAGCGCGCTGTCAATCTTCTCAATGTCCTTGCTCAACTGATTGATCTTGTCCTCTTTTAGTCTCTGTTGTGTCGCGAATGGGTTGCCAGGGTCTTTCTCCAGCTCCCTGATCTGGGACTCGCGCTCTTTGATGCTCTGCTCCAACAACTCAATGCCATGCTTGCTTGTGTTGCCCAACTGTTGGGTAACGCGTTTGATTTGATCCCTCAACTTTGATCGCTGTTCATTCACCGCCTGTGTCTGCTCTCTCTTGGCTCGTGCCAGACTCGCTCGCTCCACATCCAGTGCCTCCAGCTCCTTCTTCTTCTTGTCCAACTCGCCCTGCAACGCAGCCATCTTGATCTCGTTGTTACAGGCCAATCTCTGGTGTACCTCTGTATCCAATGATTGTCCACACTCAGTACATGTGGCGGTAGTATCACTCTCTTTGGCAGAGATATATCGCTTTGCTCGCTGCAGTACATCCTTGCACTTTTGAATCTCTCGTTGGATGTTTGTCAATGCATGCTGGCCAACATTCCAGTCGGTGTTGGTCTTGATAGTCTTTGCTGATTGCTCCTTTGTCCACTCATCATAGTCATACTCCGCGCTCGCCAACTCATTCTGTGCGTTCTCTCGTTCCAGCTCCAATTCGCTAATCTCCTGGCCAGTGTTATGTCCCTGATCTTGCTTAAGTTGCTCTAGCTTGTCCTTGTACAGTTGAAGTTGTTGTCTATGCTCTGCCAACTGTATCTTCCTGGATTCACTCCATTGTGCCAGCTCTTGATCATAGTCGATGGCAAGCCAGGTGTCCAATGATGCAGCTAGTTGTGCACGCTTCTGTTTCATATCGCCAACCATGGTCTCCTGCTTCTTGCGTGACTCTTTGGCAATCTTGGCCGCAGGTATACACATGCCCAGGGAGAATGCACGTGAGAGTAACTCCTTGCGACGCTTGTCCGTGTCTGTTACAAAGTTTGAAATGGAGCCCTGCCCAAGATACACGCACATCCTAAACAGATCATAGTCCAAGCCAATGATGTTGTGTATCGCTGACTGCTGGTCTGCGATACCCTGGCGATATCCATCGTCCAATCCAGTAATCTCCACCTTGCTTCCATGTCCACGTTTCTTTGATCGTGATATGCTGATCTCTTTGCCATCGACATCCAGCCACAAGGTGACTGTAGTTGACTTGGAAGTGTCGTTGATCACCTCATCACCCTTGATCGATGCACTCGAGGTGGCTTGTTTGCGAGGTGATGTCGCGCCATATATCGCCCATACCAAAGCCTCGAATATACTGCTCTTTCCAATACCCATGCGTCCTTTGATCATCACCATTGTCAGACCCTCCAATGCCAGCTCGAGGTTGCCTCTAATGCTACAAAAGTCTTGAATCACCAATCGTTTGATTGTGACCTTTCTGCCCAATGGTGTGACGGCGGTCTCCTTGACCTGGCCAAGTATCTCCTTGCCAGCGGCCACTATCTCCTCGGTCTTCTCGGGTGTCCAGCCATGTGTCGCAGCATTCATCTCGACATACTCCTTTAGGAAGTCCTCCAACTTGAGATGTCCACGCTCCCTCGAACCAGCCTTTGACGGGCGACTCTCGCCATCCTCCTGTGATGCTGTTGGGTCGTCTTCCTCCTTTGATACCATCACCCTACGTAGCTCAGTGAGCAGGGGCAGTGAGTCAATGGCGCCAATGTATTCTGGTTGGCGCATTATGTCCCTTGTGGAGCGAACTTCTACAATGTCCTTCTCATTGACCAATGATGACTTGCCAGTGTCCTTCACGAAATCAGCTGGATACTCCAACTTCCAATGTCGAGGCATTTGATCTAGATCAATGAAGTGAGGATGAATGTTGTCGCCACTCTCGACCAGCGCGATGCCATGTGGATCATTCATCTCGCCAAAGTTCTGTTGATATGGACTGCCAATGTACCATGCGTTGGTGGCCACTTGCTGACGACCATGATAATGGCCAAGGTAGCATGCACGCAGGTTATTCATGCCCTCGTCATCGATCTTGCCTGTCGCACGATGTCCACCGTTGGAGCGGGCACCCTTGACCTCAGCATGCGCAAACACCGTCCACTTTGGCGCGGCTAAGGGATGCACATCGTCCAGCGATCGGAACAACTCACGTTGTGCATCCTTGCCCTCGCGCCAGGGCAGGTAGGCACAGCCCTCGTCTCGATCAAAGATGGGCTCAGTCGCCACACGTATGTTGTCAAACAGTCCAAACAGTTGCATGCCGTGCACAGCGCCATCCACAGACACTTGGTCGTGATTGCCCGGGATGAACACCGCCTGCACACCATCACGGCGCCACTCATCAAACTCTTGAAGCAATCTATCAATGTGTCGTACGTGTAGTATGTTGCGCTGATGCCAAAAGTCGCCCAAGAACACGACAGGACATCTCTCTGACACTGCTCTCTTGCGCACTGCCTCCAACACACTGAGCGTCCTATCCAATGTCTTTGTAGAAACATGCAAGTCTGTGAACAATAACTTTCTCCATGATTTGCCATCGCTCATTATATCGTTGTTGTTGTTGTTGTTGCCATTCGATGATGAGTATGGCCTACTACTTATTGTGGAACTATTGATGAATGATGGTAATGGCTTGGTCCCATGAGCAACAGACGTGAGAACAGTATTGAATAACCTGTTCATTGTCTATGTACTCTCTCTATCTCTATGTGTATCTGTAAGTGTACACAAGAGATTGAATGAATAAATGAAGAGTGAATGAAAGAGGGACACCTAATGATGTTGTAGATTGATTGATTAGTTGGTTTTCAAAAGAAGAAACAACATGCTTGGCTTGGCAAAGTCTATCCGCACATGATGGGATGACTGTGTTTATTGATGGATGTTCAGGGTCCAGTCAACCATCACTTGAGAGGATTGTTGTTGGGGAACGAACTTGCTTGATACTTGAGAGGGAAGGAGAGGACAGGCCAGCCATAGCCACTGTTGACATAACTTGACGGCTTGAACGTGGAAGAGAAAGGGAAGGGAAGGGAAGGGAAGGGAAGGGAAGGGGAGAATACATATGTATGTATGTACATTGCGTTGCGTTGGAGGGACGAATCTGATTTACAAGGGGAGGGAGGAGTGAGGGAGCGCTTTGATTGTTGTGACTAACTGACTAATGTAATTGATTGATTGATTGAATGATTGAGCGATAAGGGAATGAATCCATCCTACTTGTGAGCTGGGGCAGCGATGGGATGACCAATGTCCTTTCCTCTGAGCTTGACACCCAAGACCTTCTCCATCTTGGCCAAGATGGCAACTGATGGGATTGCAGTGCCATTCTCATAGTCGTTGACGACTGATTGTCTCTCGTAGATCTTGGCAGCAAGATCCTTCTGTGTCATCTTGAGATTGACACGGGCTCTCTGTATAGCCTGTGGTACTGATGCCTTTAACTCTGGTACTCTAATTCCCTCCTCATCCTCCTCAATCCTCTTGGCATTGATTCCACTCGATGCATGGTTGGTACCAGCATTATCTGTATATGTTTGATTTCATTTGATTGATTATTCGGTTATCAATCAAGATTGAATGAGTGAATGATTGAATGAATGAATGAGTGAGTGAGCTAGTGATGATAGTAGTATTCAAGATTGAATGAATACATACACTTCTTGACAATGTCAGACATGTTTGATCTAATAAATAATGATAGATAGAGAGATAATGAATGTGTATATATGTATATGTATACGTTAATGTGTTTGGACAATGATGAACTGGTGAGTCTTCAACATTGTTTGAAGTTGAGAATGATCCTCACCCCCACCTTCAACCCACAATTGATATGACCCATAAACACAATCCAACTGATCGATAAACTGTGGGAACCCAACTTACATTATTGTCTATGATTGATTGTAAGTGTCTGATTGAATGGCTGCCAATCATTATAGTTGTGTAGAAGGCCTTGATGATTGATTGAGTGATGGACCAAATGAATGAATGAATGAATTGTCATGCCAACCCAACTACCTTGGGATGGCTCCATCCGCAATGCATGAGAAGAAGCCACACGGCCGCACAATGTGGAAAGATTATTAATCATGATTGTTGTAAGGAATAAAGGTGTGATAGGTGGTTTATTATTGGGAACAACGTGACCGACGTCCGCCAGAAGCTTATCTGTATCTTCTGAAGACACGGGTGTTTCTTCTCTTGTAGTTGGCGCGGACGGATGGTCTGGCCTTGGCGGCATGACGACCTCCCTTCTTGTTGAGACCACGGGCCTTGACACCGGCGGCGGTGAGACCACGGAGCTCACGGTGCTTGTGGACTGGGTTGCAGATCCAGTTGTAGCGGGCGTCGTTGCGGATCGACTGGTGGGAGTGGTCGAGCAAGATAACCTCGAAGTACTTGTAGGTGGAGTCCTGGTTGACCCAGTACGAGTTGAGCACACGCAGGTTGGGGCATCTGCGGGCGACACGCTCCTCAGCGACAGAGCGCAAGTTGCGGCTTGGCTTCAGCTCGTTGACACCGTGGGTCTTTGGCTTACCACCGGTGCGACCACCTGGAACCTGTCTCTTACGGCCTCCGCGACGGACACGGATGCGATATACAACAAAACCTTGAGTGGCCTTGTATCCCAAGCGTCTAGCCTTGTCTGGACGGCTTGGGTGAGTGGCACGGTGGCACACTGGCAGGTTTCTGTATTCCCAGCATCTGACTCTGAGAAGGAAGCGAATAGCGTCAGACTGCTTATGCTTGTAAAGCTCCTGTAAGTATTTGTAGGCACCTATTATTGTGTTTGTTTGTTTGGTTGGGTGTTAGGTTCGTTCGTTCGTTCTGTTATGTTATGCCATCTCTGAGTCACTCTCTCGCCTGTCACTCAAACATCCATCGATCCCATCCATCGACTATCCATTCAATCAATCATCTATCTTGTCGATGTCACAAGAGTATCGTGTCATCCATCTCCATCAATGACTTCCTCTGTCGCGTCGCCAATAGAACCAATGATCGCATTGTAGTTGGGATCGTCGAGATGATTGATTGATTGATAGGTTGGTTGATGGATGGATTGATAACTGCATGTTGTTGACTAATGTTGATTGATGACTAGATGATTGCTGATGTATAGATACACACCCATTTCCTCACGTTGTTGTCCAAAGAGTAATCGTATCAAGTATCAACAGTGGATAGAAATTGCTATGTGTCGTGCGTGTGCGAGTTGCCAGAGGGTTAGCACACCTCTCGTCTCAGTCCCAAGGTTGATCGTCTGAAATGAAAAAAAATTCAAATTAATTCATTTTTGTTTGGTATGGCTAACCTTTCACTAACAACGAAGTTCCTTTTAGAGATGTTTAGCCGTGAAGTTGTCGTGGGTGAGTCATTGAGCTACCCATTCATCTGAATGTACATAGAGAAAGAGGAAGTGAAGTGAAGTAAGGAGATAAGATAAGACAGGTTGATCAAGCAAGTAGCATTTAATATAGATATATACTAAATAGTAATAATAATGGTTGGTATCTGTTGAATGAATGAATGATACATGTGCAATGACATGGACCGAGTCTAACGCTCCCTCCTCACATGAATGGTAACAACAGAGTATTCTTGACAAGGGTATCAGCCTTTCAATGGTGTTGTTCAGCATCAGTGTATTTGTATATTATACAGCATGGGTCATCGTATCTGTAAGTTAGAATGTGTAATGGGATGCTATTACTAGTATCACGTTGATTGTCTAACGTAACATATGATGTATATATATATATATAGCCATTCATGGATAGCGATCATTGGATGCATCAATACTTCTTACCACTGGAGTATGGTGTTATCTTGCCTGCCATTCTACTTGTTGTTGGACTCGCTGCAATTGGCTCATTCCTCGGCATGGTAATGTTGAAGACAAAGAAGAAATAAACAGTACAACAACAACAGCAATAACAGCATCATCAAAGACATGTGGAATCGATACGATCAACAATCTCATCAATCAATCAATCAACGAGCGACAGACGATGTTTGGGTCAGGCCGAGAAGCATTGAGTCGACAGATGTTTGGCGTATATGTGATGAAGAGACGTCTCTTTATTCATTGGAGGATGATGGATAGATAAATAGGATGGATAGATATATACACGTGGATTGGATTGATGGCTATATACAGGCGGCAGTACATCGTTGCCGCGATCGAGTCATTGATGATGATGTTGGAGGCTCCATAGTGTCACACATATTGAGCAATGACCTATTGCAGTGCGACGATGAAGCCATTGGACTCGAGTGTGGATAGTACCATGCCAATGTCCATTGTCCCGCTGAGTATGAGACGATCTTCATCCGACAGGATCTCATACTTGTTGATGCCTTTGGCGTTGGTGAGTAGACGCGCCACCTGATCCTCGCAATGCTTGCACATCAGACCTTTGACATCGATCGTCGTGGTCTTTGTGGCAGGTGTGGCGCCGTCCTGTGGCGCTGTCGTTCGCTTGGCTCGATCACTTGCGCGTTCTGATAGGTGGCGCACCCAGTCCTTTGCCTCATCCACTGTTGGCGCTTGCATTTGATATACACGGCCTTCCACCGACAGTTCGATCAGCGTCGCGTTGTTTGTCGGCATCTGAACCATGTTTGCCAATGATATGATGTCAATGGGTTCGCGATCATAGTTGCTCTTGAAGTAACACAGTTCATTATTATCGTACAGGACGAACCATCTTGACTTCCACGACTTGATGACTCCACCCTGTTTGACCAGCCATCCCTCCTTGACTGTTATCCTCTCGCTAATGTCGAATGCCATCTTAATTGAGTGGGTGAGTGAGAGTGGCAAGCGAGTGATTGATTGAGTGAGTCTATCTCTATCTCTCTATCTCTATCTATGTATCCGCTCAATGTTTGTGCTTGAGAGCAGGATTGAGTAATCCTCATCATAGGGTAATTTTGATCAAAAATGTGTGATTGTGGGGTGATCATTAAATTTTGATTAAGATGTGGGGTAATGGACCCTACCAGATCTTTTTTGATCACTTTTTGGTCCAGCCCAAAGACCAAAACACGACCAATTAACCAAACAATTAATAAATACAAATACAATACAAACTTATATGTTAAAATACATGTCCATGTCCAATGGACAAAGATATAATCGATCGGATGTTTACTTAAGCTTTGGTGGCAAACAGAAGTAAGGCAGATTGGAGGAGTACATCTCGTTGGACTTCTTGGTGATGAACACTTGGAATAGGTTGTATAGTAGCATGCCAATGTTTGATGTCATCAATGACACTCCATAGAATATAACAAATACACTAATGGTCACTGTGAATACAAAGGCCTTAGTCACCATGAAGTTGTAGTATCCAAGATGGAAGAAGAACAATGAGCACAGCAACACCAACATGAGGAAGCCCCATACCTGGATGCCAAGGCTCTCCACAATCCTATCATAGTCCCTGTTGCTCTTGATCTTGAATCCAAATGTGAATCTAATTGATTGATTGAGTGAGTGAGTGTTAGAGAGTGATTGGAATGATTCCAGAGTATGATTGAATGAGGACTCATACCTTTTGTTGAACCACTTGCGGACAAAGAGTGCTGGTGGACATGGGTTGGCAAACTTGATGAGGAAGGCACCGAGGAGGAAGAAGTATCCGAGCTTGTGGAAACCCATGATAAAGCCAGAGAAGACTGGCATCGAGGGTGGATCGTAGACACCTGGCACATAGATGGCAACATCGCCAATCTGGAAATTCATCTTCATGGACTTGTAGCACGACAGGGCAATGCTGGCCAACAGCAGCACGACAAAGGGCAGGAAGTGGTCGGTGATGCCGGCAAAGAAGTTGAAGTCTTGAAGACTCAGCATGTAGATGTTGTGGCTGCTGCTCTTCTTGTTGCCATAGTAGCCGCTCTGACAGCGTTGGTAGGCCTGCAGGATGGGGCGGACCATGTTGAACAGCTTGAAGTAGAAGATGTTGCTGATGCAGTAGAACTGGGGGATGACGAACAGAACCAAATAGAAGCGCTCCTTGTCGTTGGACAGGAAGAACAGCATCATAGACAGCGGCAAGAAGATGTCGGCTTGGAGGTAACGTGGACAGAACATCAGAATGAATGAATGCAGGCCCAGGATGAGATAGATTACAAATGCCAGCTTGGGCATCATCACTTGACTGGTGCGCCATGATCGATCATAGATATAGATGCCAAGAAGAATGAGGTAGTACACAGTGAACTTGATGTACAATGGAGTCATGAAGCCTCGTGGTCTTGGCGTGTTTGGCTTGCGATGTACAAAGTGTGCTGCCAGCTTGCGTCTCTGGATGTACAGCTCCAAAGTCAAGGCCATTGCCGCCAACATATATGATCCCTTATACAAATGCTAAGTATGATTGATTGAGTGTTAGTGAGTGTGATTATTGAGGTGGAGTAGTTCCAGACTTACAACTAAAAGGAGCTCTTCCAAGGGGACTGTGAGGAGGTACTGGCAGACAGCCATGGAGAATGAGAAGAAGGCGTACTTGATCAACCATTGACCGGCTGGCTTGTACTCATAGGCAAGGTTGGTGTTCTTCTGGACGAGTTCGTCAGAGTCGGAGAGAGAGCGAACTGAGAGTGATACTGATGCTGGATGATCGAGACTGATGTCTGGCGCAAGGACGAATGAACCTGTTGATCGCAGAAGTGATGACTTGGATCCTCCCAATACCTTCTCCTTGAGCTCGACACTGCGCAACAATTGCTCGCGCTCACCGCCCATGGGCGGGGTGTCCTGTCCATTGGTGATGTTTACATTGGGCTCGGTCTCTACAAAGGCTGGGAAGGTGTCCATTGTGATTGGACCCGGGGTCTTGGCGCCAGCAACACGTTTGATGTTAACAGAGGCATTGGGCGAGTAGTACATCACCAGGGCGCACAGCAAGCTGGCGACATAGACGTGAATGGACTCGTTGTCGTCGTGCCAGTAGAGCACCCAGAATCCAGAGAACAAAGCAGTGAGACCAAAGATGACGATGTATGGCAGGATGACCAAGGCAAAGTTGTTCTTGACCTCGTCGTAGAAGTGATTCCAGGTGCCATACTGCTTTTTCATGAGCGCCATGATCAGAATGCCAATGGCGATCGGGAAGAAGACCACCTCAAACATGGGGAATCGCTTCAGGTTGAGGAAGGGCACCTTGAGGCCGTTGATGTATGTGGTGAACAGTCTGATGCCCTCTTGAAGGTCGTCATCGCTGGCGTCTGCGTTGGCACCAAGTTGGATGGCGCGATTGTAGTCGCCTTGGTTCATTCTGTATCTCCAACGATTGCCCAGTCTGTTGAACTGGTCGGCGTTCAACTTGAGCAGCTTGTAGACCTCGCGGGGGTCCGAAGTCGTTGGCTTCACCATGCCAATGTTAATCGCTGGCAGTGACACTCCTCCAGCTGTAAAGTATTGTGATATTGTGCTACAAATGTCGACTGGAGAGGAGTATATTAGTAATCTGTCGGTTTGATCAAACTTCCAAATATGGGACATACCTTGGTCAATAAATATATCTTGCTTTCCAGCTGGTAGAGGCTGGATGCGTGGGTTATAGGTCATGATGAAGGCTTCGTTGCCATCATTGTTGCGGCCATGGGCCGCAGTCTCGGACTTGAGCTTGCCACCATGGTCACTAAAGACCAGCAGCAAGTACTCGGGATGATCGTCGATCCATTGTTTGATGTGACCCATGTCCTCGATCCAAGTCTTGATGATCTGCAGAGTGATCGGGTCGTACTTGTCGCCAGTCATGTGATTGCGCTCGTCAACAATGTCGCCCGAGAAGAAGATGCTGGTATTGCGTCCCGTCGCCTCGCTATTCAGATACTGGTTGGCGCACAGCTTGGTGTCGTTGAGCTCGCACTGGAACAGCGTCTGGTACAGCTTGGACGACTCGGTCGTCGACTCAAGCGTCACGCCGCTGGCAAAGTAGTTGCCCTGCTCCAGGACGTCGTAGGCAGGCATTCTCGTGCCGACGTACTTCATCTGCTTGCCCGAGTTGGTGAGTTGGTACAACAGGTTGTCCTCCATGATTGGCGCGCCCATGAAGTTGGTGGGCGGACCTCCGGTCATGTACGACGTGAACACGGCGTAAGACGCGGGGAAGCCCTCGTTCTGGATCCTGAATGTGTTGGCGTGGTCGCTGAATGTGGACAGCAGGTCATCGACCAGGTCGCGCGCCAGGCCGTCGTTGTAGAAGAAGAGTACGCGATCGAATTGCTGCGTGGGATTGGTGAGACATGCGTCGTTGGCTGCGCCTTTGGCGCACTCGTTGTTTGAAAAATCGACCAGCGTGGACTTGTTGTCCAGCATCTGGAACTTGATGATGGCGCCGGACAGCAGGTAGCACAGCAGGCACACCTGGAACACGACAAGAGTCTGGCGTATCAGCGGCCACTGGCGCAGACTATAGAATGATGACATGATGTTGTTGACGTAGCAGGCGACGGTCTTGGCCGACATGCTCAGCTTCTTCTCCAAACAGACGCGCTTGCGCTCCAGCTGCAGCTTGATGCAGTCAAAGTCAATGTCGTCGTGTGATGGCAACTGTTGGCTGCTGGTCGATAGTCGCGGTGTCTTTGAAGTCTTGGAGTAATGTTCGTTGCTGTTGCCAATGCTGCTATTGCTTAGTTTAATATTGATCGAGTCTGATGATCGACTGAGGAGATTATCGGAAGAATGATTTAAGTTGTTGATGTTGATGTTCTGTTGTAATGGATGATATTGAACATATTGTTGTTGTTGAAGTGATGTCGGTTGTATAGATGATTGATCGTTTGATGTAGTTGATGTTGTAGTAGTGGGCTGTTGCTGTTGTTGTTGAAGTTGCTGGACCGTTGCCATTCTATTGTGGAATTTCATCACAACTCAATTGTTGAGTGATGCGCGCAGTGTGGACAGTGGATTGTTGACACGCAGGCAGTAGCTTTGGATGATGGATGATGGATGATGGATATCGGCAGGCAGTCAGGATTGGAATGAACTTAATCAATCAAATTGAGATGTAGCAGACAGAGTCAATATCACTCAAGTTACAATCAATTATTCAAATCAAGTATAGTATTACTATTCTTATCGAATGAATGAATGAATGAATGCTGTGGATGGTGATCGATGGATGGTAACCAAGTCCGGGCAAATGCAATCACACAATTGTAAAGTGCGATGGCAGTGATCGAGTGTGGTGGTAGTGGTGATGGTGGTAGTGGTTGTGTTGGCGATGGATGGATTGGTGTTGATGTGAGGTTGTGTGTGGTGGCAGTGGTGATGAGGATGTCGGTTCCTAATTGTGATTAACACACTGACTGATTGAATGACTGACTGACTGACTAGGTGTTTGTTATTATTAATAAAATAATGATTATATATTGTGTGTATGATAGTCGAGTTACTTTAGGTCTTGTCTAGTCAATTGGCCTTATTTGTTGTTGCAGGATTGTGATTGGCCAAGGTGATGGTGATGGAGTGTGAATAAGACCTGATGTGATGTTATTGTTTGGTTGATTGATTGAGTGAGTTATAAATAAATAATATATTTTTAATATGGTGAAATACAATCAAATAAATGAAAGTATGAATATGATATAATTGAATGTTATAACTTTAATTATTATTATAAATTATAAATTATCTCTATGTTATTATTTGTTTCTTTTGTCAACAACATAGCGTGACAGATGTTGGATATATAATGGACGACAACAACGTTGTCGGAAGTATGCCAACAATAATCCAATCCATCTAAATTGCCCTTCATCGCCGCGACTCGATGACCCAAAAACAACAATGCAAATATTGGGTGGCGTGTGGGGCAGTAAGGCGGGACTTTGTGAAGTCTCGAAGTCACAGGAGTGACCTACCAGCCTATCTTTACTCAATGAATGAATGAATGAATGACAGGCTACCATGCTAGTAGTATTCAAACTTCACTCACTTGCCAGATGCGTACATTGGGGCCGAACTGACTCACTCATTCATTCAGATGACAACACCACTGAGCGATAGAAGTGGCACCTTCTACCACCAGTGAGAAATCGACGTCCCGCCATCGCCCCCACATGCCGCGTATTTGTTTTACAGCATGGCGTGGGAAGCGGAGGGGGTTGTTTTTTCTTGCTTCTAAACACACATTGTATTAGTGGGGGATTCGTTTGTTTGCGAATTGATTCGTCGCGTCCATAAAAAACGGGTCTTGGTGTGGTAGTGGTGAAATCAAATTGAATGATTCATGTGATGCCATTCTTGCCGTCCAAGGAATCATTATGATGCATAAACGCGATGCTGATAGGTGGGGGAGGTCGATGGGTGGGTCTATTCCTATGAATGAATGATTGATTGAAGATGTTGATGTTGTCGTGGTGATCATGATAATATTATGGTGGTTGTATTTTCGGCTGGATTGATTCATGAATAAGTGATCCAAACAAAGTATCAATGATTGATTGGACTTGGAGAATCCAGTTGAATGAGCTTGCTTTGTTCCACATATTCTTGACAACCAAGGATTGATCATAACATGGTATTGTCAATGACTAAAAATGGAAGGTAGCGTAACCAGGAGGGTGGTGAGATGATTGATTCTGAATCACAAAGTCTGGTTCGCCGACGTCTAACCTATACCAAACAATCAATCAATCAATCACTGACCAATCCAATCATTCATTTCTGATAATCCAGTCGATGATAAAGTAATATCACTGTGATCCTTGAGAGCGGATAGGTCGATGATCTTGATGAGCTGACCTTGTCTGGGACGCGTGGCACCCAATACACAAAGTGCCGTGGTCATACCAATCATGCGAACGTGGACAGATGATTCATCACTGTTGCCACTGGCATGATACGTCCTGGCCAGTATGACCCTGGTCATCACACTGACATAGTGCATCGAATCCTGCACCAGCTTGTTCCAAGTGTAGCCAGCCACGGGGTTGTCCAAATGCATGGGTATGTTGAGTTGTTTGAATCGCAGGTCACAGTCTGTGGTGATCATGTCACTCGCTCGGTACCTCGCCGTGATGTTGATGATCGTTTCGTCAGGACGAAGCAACATCCTCGCGTATTGAATCTGTCTCATGCGGTACAGGTCCAGACATCGTATGCCGCTCGAGAGGACAACGTCGCGTGAGGGAGGCGTGAAGTCATAGCCCAGCGACAGTCTTGTGAGTGAGCGTGGCAACACGCCAGCCCTGATTGGACGACTGTAGTGCATGCCAAAGACCAGCCATGTCAGAGAGGTGGGCAGCATGCCCGGCTGCAGTATGCTGGATGTGAAGCGACTGAACGTGAGCTTGGTGAGTTGTGATGGGAACACATCACTCTTGTACTGATCGTCATATGGATCGATCTCCAATGTCTGCAGGGTCGCGGGGAATGTGTCACGCGTGAGTGGATGCTGATAAGTGTTGGCCAAGCATAGTGAGGTGAGGGATACCGGGAGGTCACTGGCCCTGATCGGCTTGGCCTCGCGAGACCTATCCTCAGACGCGCCCGCGGTTAGGAAGCGCAGTCCGGGCGGGAGACAGAGGTCGGCGAAGGGCCGGTCGTACCTCACCGACGTCGTCAATGACGTGAGTGAGTTGGGTAACACGCCCTGGGTGAATGCGCGACTGAACATCATTCCAAAGGTCAGTCGCTGAAGTGAGTTGGGGAGTGAGCCTGGAATGATGTCCTGGTCATATGTGCGACCATAGTTGAGTGTGATCAGAGTGTTTGGCAGCACGCCAATGTCCAACTGGAGATCAGTGTTGTAGGTAAGCTCGGTGAGTGCTGGCGGGAGCTGTCCAGGCTTGAGCGGATGATTGAATGCCGGCGATAATGTGAGTGTCTCGAGCGAGGCAGGGAAGCATCCAGGGAACAAGGGGAGACTGAATGAGGATCCAAATGTAAGCACCTTGAGTGCTGGTGGCAAGGCATTTTGAGTGATTGGTTGATTGAATGTGTTGCCAAGTATTAACGTGTGGAGTTGATCAGGCATGGACCATCTGACCAGGGGCATCTTGGTGTCATACTTCATCTCCCTGATCGTCGGTAGCATCATTCTTGGCATGATAACATGTTCAAAGTTCTGATCCAGTGTCAACCTTGTGAGTGATGGCGGCAGTACTCCAGGTGAGTGAATGGTCTTGATCGGCCCAGTGCCAACCACCATCTCAGTGACCAGTGGGACGGGGTCATTGTCTGGGACCACGTGATCACTTGCAACTCGTAATCTTGTTGATCTTGACAACATCAATGTAGTTGGCATACGTCTATTGATCAACATATTCATAAATTTCTTTGATGTCCATGCTAAACATGCTGCATCCAACAATCCATTGTCAATCAGATGATCATCCATATCCATATAATAACCATAATATATTTTATCCTCTATCGTTGTCGACAAAGTTGTAGAACCATCCTTATTTAACAAATGATTGAATATAGTTTGTAACAGATAATCAGATAACTTGTCCATTGTTCATTAGTCGTCGACTTGTTCGATTGATTGATTGAGTGTCTCTGTGTTGTGTGGTGGGGGAGTGTGTGTGTGGATATATCTAAGATCTAAGATATAAGATCTATCTGTATTCTTTGATTGATTGATTGTTTATATGTATCAAAGACATTGAATGATTGTTAAACATGTGATCAAGTGAGATGAACTAAATCCTAAAATATCTAATTTTGTCAAAAGTGTCGTTTGCATCGAATTCCCTGAATAAGTTTGAAGTTTCAACTTCCCGAGCCAATCCCATGGTGTAGTTAGTCGGGAGAGACACAAGTAACTTCCATTCAATCTTATAACAAAACATAACATACATATACATACATATACATATAGATAACATATAGATAACATATACAATGACAACATCAACATCATCAGATACACCAGGTTTAGCAGATACACTACAAGTTGGAACAATAGATATAACTACGACGTCAACAACAAGTACAATACATAGTAGTAATAGTAGTCCTACTCATAGTAGTAGTGGTAATAATATAATGAATGGAAGTTATGATAATAATAATGGATATGATCACTCTGTAAGCGTGAACAATGTGTCACTACTACGCAACAGCTTGTCGAGTATGTCAAAGGTTATACGTGCATCTGTCTTTGTCATATACACTGGTGGCACCATTGGAATGAAGCGCGATCCCATCCACGGCACACTCAGACCCGAGCCCAACTACATCGAAGAACAACTCAAACTACTTCCCGAGATGAAGTCATCCGAGATGCCATCCTACAAGCTTCATGAAGTATGTTTGATCATTTGAATGAATGAATGAGTCGCACTCACTGACTGACAACTTGATGTCAAGTTCGACCCTCCCATCGACAGCTCAGACATGGACCATGATGAATGGGTACGAATCACAAAGCTCATTGAGAAGAACTATTATGATTATGATGGATTCGTTATTATACATGGTACGGACACCATGTCTTATACCGCATGTGCACTGTCATTCATGCTGGAGAACTTGGGCAAGCCAGTCATTCTGACGGGCAGTCAGATTCCAATTGGCGACGTGGTCAACGATGCCAAGCGCAACCTGATCACCGCCATCATGTTTGCCGGCAAGCTGGACATACCCGAGGTGTGCGTGTTCTTTAACAACATGCTGCTGCGAGGCAATCGCTCAAAGAAGGTGGACTCGTGGAGTCTGGCGGCATTCGAGTCGCCCAACTGTCCGCCCCTGGCCACACTTGGCATGGAGATCAACGTCAACACGGACATAATACTCAGTCAGCCCAAGGGCCGCTTCCGCGTGCACGAGAAGGTCAACAAGAACATCCTTGTCCTGCATCTCGTGCCGGGCTTCTCGGACGACTGCGTCGAGAACCTGCTGCGTGCGCCACTCGAGGGTCTCATCATCCAATCATACGGCTCGGGCAATGCGCCCGCCAAGAAGAAGCGATTCCTCAATCTCATAGTGGACGCTGTGAAGCGTGGCGTCGTCGTGGTGGTCACGAGCCAATGTCCGCGTGGCACCGTCAATCTCAAGCACTACGAGACGGGCAAGTCCCTACTTGACGCCGGTGCGGTCAGTGGACATGACATGACAGTCGAAGCAGCCGCTACCAAACTTGGCTGGTTGCTCTCGCTCGGTGTGCCCAAAGATCAAGTTCGCCAACTTATGACCATCGACCTTCGCGGAGAGCTGTCCATCCAGCGACCCTACAACAAGATGACCTAATCAATTGATAAACCTTTATTATTATATTATCGCGACACAATGGGTCGACGTTCATTCACCTTTCGCCCGAATCGAGGAAGTTCTTTCGACGCGGCAACACGTGGTGGTTACCCTGAGAACTTCGCGCACGTCATTCGTTCGTCCTTCATCAAGTACATATACATATACATAACATACATATACATATAATATAACAAACGATGTATCTTGGATCAGCGAGATCATTGGTGTTCACAGTTCGACCTCTTTATCGAAATGTAGTGACTACATCAAGTAGATCTTATTGTTCATCAGCTGGCAATGCTCATCAACATGAGCATGAGCATGAGCATGGACCTGGATGTCAACATACAGATAAGAATGAATCTATTAGAGTTAGATACGCACCTAGTCCAACAGGATTGATGCATTTGGGTGGTCTGAGGACTGCCTTGTTCAACTATCTCTTTGCCAAGAAGCACAATGGTTCATTCATTCTACGTATCGAGGATACTGATCGCACTCGTCTCGTCGAAGGATCGGCCCAGAACCTCGACGATTGTCTCGCCTGGGCTGGCATCCCCTACGACGAAGGACCCAAGCGTCCCCTACCCGACACACCATCATACGTTCAGGTAAGTCGCGCGAAGTACACAGCAGTTGCACTCACTCATACTCACTCACATGTACATGGTGTAGTCCGAGAGACTAAATATATACAAGGAACATGCAAAGGTGTTGCTTGACTCTGGCGCAGCATATCATTGCTTCTGCACAGCAGAGAGATTGGAGGCACAGCGAGCATTGTCAAAGAACAAGGGTCCGGTACAGTTGTATGACAGGAGTTGTTTGAAGTTGACAAGGGAGGAGGTCGAGCGTCGTCTGCAGCGTGGCGACAGCCATACAGTGCGCCTGAGGATACCTCACGAGCGCGCTCACACCAAGTTCACAGACATTGTCAAGGGCAATGTGCAGTTCCTCAATCAACAGATCGACGATCAGATCTTGATGAAGTCAGATGGCTTCCCAACATACCATCTGGCATCAGTAGTGGACGATCATCTCATGCGTATATCCCATGTCATTCGAGGAGAGGAGTGGCTAAACAGCACGCCCAAGCACATCATCCTTTACGAGGCCTTTGGTTGGAAGCCTCCACACTTTGCTCACGTCCCTCTCCTTCTCAACTCTGACAAGTCAAAGCTATCCAAGCGTCAAGGTGATGTCTCCGTTGACTCTTATATTGTATGTAGTCGTGCACGCGCGGTCGATGATTGATTGAGTTAGTGGGAGTCTGACACAACTTGCCTGGATCACATCTAGAACAAAGGATACCTCCCTCAAGCATTGGTCAACTTTGTAGCTTTGCTCGGATGGTCTCCATCAGACACAACCAAGGAGGTCTTCACATTGGATGAGTTGATTGAATCTGTAAGATGGATGGACCTGAGGTCAAGGCGCGATCATCAATCAAACACTAACTCATCCAACTCTCATCGAATGTATAGTTCACTCTGGAAGGCATTAACAAAGCTGGAAGTGTTGTCAATATGGATCGACTGGATTGGCTTAATGTCAATCATATTAGGATGTTATTGAGTGATGATAAGACTTTACCCTATATTGGCCAAACAGATCAAAGAGAAGTTGTCCAAATCACTTGAAGGCAATGTCATTATAGACGATCAATATCTGAAACGAGCGATACATTGTGTAAAGGAAAGGATACATGTCATTGATGATTGTGTATCATTGTTGCGACCATTCTTCATGTCTGCCGATTTCTCAACAGAACAAGCCAAAGCTATGCGACAGAAGGTGTGGCATGGAGATCGTTCAGTTAACAATGTCAAAGTGATCATGGAGGAGTTGTCCAGCATCGATGGTTCATCAGATAACTTCACTGCCGAGAACATCTATCAATCATTTCAACGTGCCTGTCAAATCATTCATCCAGACTCACAAACAGACAAAGAGCGCACAACAAAGACCAATCAACTAATGTCACAACTGCGATACCTACTCAATGGCAGTCCATCCGGTGGCGGAGTGCCCCTCACAATCGAGATACTTGGCAAAGACAAAGCTCTCGTACGTCTGACCGAGGCTTTGGCATTGGCTCATCAGGCACAATGAATGAATGAAGTCGCGAATTAATGAAAATGTATTGATTGATTGATTCTCGATCATAGTTTGTTGGTGTAGCCTTGGTTGTCAAGGTATGTCTTGTGTCATCCAGATGTGGACGAGATGAGCCCAGCCTTGAAGACGACAACCCAGGTTGGGCCAACCCCACTCCCACCCATGTCCAATTTGGATCTTTCAATCGACTTCGTGTGTGTCAAAAGGAAGTTGAGATTGGTCCAACTTCAACTTGTTCAAACTAATTAGTTCATTAAAAAGATTAATTGAAGTACTTGTACAAAAACATATATACAGATACAAACAAATATATATTAATACATAATGGTACAAGTTGATTGGGATAAAGTAAAGAGTAGATCGAGATGTGTTTGCTGTGCTATATTACCATCGGGCATTAGATTGTTGATTACAACTGGTATAATTGCATTGGTTGCAGTGACCAGTGTGATAGTGTACAACTCACCACCGTTCCAGTACACCGCCGTCAATGTCGTGCTGAACTGGTCGTTCGACCCGCGTCCAATGGCAACGTACGACTCCAACTTCACGTACAACGTGTTGCTCGACCCGCATTGCCACACGACCTACAGCGATGGCTCACTATCGCCCGAGCAAAACATACAATGGCACATTGACAATGGATACAACGCCATGATAGTCACCGATCACAACAACATTCAAGGTTCAATCGTCGCTCAGCAAATTGCTATTGCCAAGTACAACGATAAGATCAAGGTTATCACGGGCATGGAGTGGACCAATTGCAGGTAAGTATGTTCAATCTATTCACGATGGCAACCAACTAACAATGTATACATTAGGGTACATCTCAACTTTATTGGAATCAATGAGTCAGTAACACCAATCAAGAACCCGACAGACTTGGAGATTCAACAGGCTATCAATAGGACTCATGAGTTGGGCGGTCTGGTCATTATGAACCATCGTCCATGGGACTACTGGAGCAACATGGACACACCTTCAATCCAAGATTTCGCTGCTTGGGGCGTGGACTTCTTCGACGTGGCCAACGGCCACTACTTTGACTTCCAGACGCTGGTCTATGCTCGCAGTCAGAACATCCGTGTGGTGACGGCCAACGACTATCATAGCGGTGGTTTGGGTGCCACTGGCTGGACTGTGCTCAACATACCAGGCGTCAATTACAATCCCAACGCATCAATCAGTGCCGACTACTTCACCACCGACCAGCTCTGGAACGCCATCAAGTCACAGCCCACCTCATTCATCTACGACGTCGTTGGACATGGCGACGATCCATACTCATACGGTGGCACCAACCCCAAGTGGCTTCGTCTCTATCCATGGATTCAAATGGGAGGTATGTATACATCATTCAATCATCCACGATCATTTAATCAAATGCTAACAACATCAACATCAATTTAGCATTCTTCCATTCATTCTACTACATGAACAGAGGAATGTACAGCTTTGTCAATGGAGAGAACTGTGGCCCACAGTCAGTCGTCGTGCAGAAGGATCCAATCATCTCCACAGTGCTGTGGGTGTTGGGTCTCTTTGTCATTGGTGAGCTCATCCGTTGCCTGGTCACCTTTGTCATTAACAAGATCAAGCAGAGATATGACGACAAGAATGATCGTAGAGGTGGTCGCTACCTCAAGGAATGGGAGTCTGAGTTTGGAGTAGTTGACACGCCATTGCTCAATCAGAACCTGTAGACTACTAACCCCTTCATTGTACATTAAATATAGTCGTCGTCCAGTCGTTTATTTTATATCAGACCGAGGAGTGATGAGCATTGACATCTTCATTCTCTACACTGGATCCATATACTTCGATTGATTGAGAGGTGGTCTGTGACATTTGGGACATTTCCAAGGACTTGAGCTTGGATGACTCTACGCCATTGGACTTTTGTGATGGGTTGTTGCTTCCTGATGAGTCAGTGTCAATCATCTCGGGCAGACCCAACTTTAGACGTATAAGAGTGGCAGTCTGACTTCGACCCAATGTACCAATAACACTATACATATTGATCATCTCCAAGAAGAAGATACCTAGATTGATCCAGTCCTGGGGAGGCTTCTCGATTCCAAGCTTCATGTAGCAAACATTGAGTACCCATGCTGATGATCCAATGAAGCCCACTGTGAACATGATTGCTTTGATCTTGCTCTTGAGTAATTCGTCAAGACCATTGTTGGACTTTGACAGCCTATACAGCAACTTTGATCCAAACAGGAACAAGACTGAGACGATCAATGCGACCACTGTCAGGAAGAATCCTCTCCATGTATGATCCCATCTTATTCTATTGTCATGTGATATACCTATTATACCTTCAGCAATAACAAATGCAGTATAGAATATGAATGAAATGATAATGGCTACGTAGACTATCCAATCGATTAACTTGGCGCGACCCATTTCAACATTTCCACTCTTTGATTGAAAGACCAACACCAACTTGATCCAAAGAAGTCCAATAAAGTAATATTCAATACACATGAATTGGATTGCCCATGAATAGAATCCCATTGTGACTCTATCTCTATGTGTAGCATCAGAGTCATAATATAATGCTGTGAATCCACAGCATATCCTGGCTATATTTTGGAAATTAGATTATTAATATTTGTTTGATTGAGTGAATTAGTGAGGGTGGATGTTGGACTTACCTATACATGCCCATGTCATTACAAAGAATACTAGGAAGGGGATTGATTTGAGGTACATATGTTTGATTGATACATTTAAATTCTTTTTAAATACTTCTATATAAACATGATATAATACAATTATTAAAGTTGGAATATAAGCCAATCCCTCAGCAAAAAACATCCATGTTCCACGTTGTCTATCTAACATCTTATAAATATATACTATTTATCTGTCTTTCTGATGTATAAGTTATTGATAGATTGATTGAATAATTGTATGAGTTCAAGTAATAATAACGTCTGGAATTTGATTTGAATGAATTAGCCGTTCTCAAATCAGATGGAAGGTGTAGTGGAATCAGTTGATTCTGGGTGCGTCCAAGTCTAAAGGATTAATAATAGACACTCGTGTCTGTGATATACCCATTCAAAGTGGTCAACCTGTGCTCCTCTGAACCAGAAAGGACACATAAACGAGTAACTCACCATTCTCATCATTCACTCCATACACACATAAGACATCAACATCAACATTAACAACTCGCGATTATTATTAATAATACTATGAGGATCTTGATATCATAACAATGTTATCCATCATCAAGATTGTGGGGGGCCTAGATTCATTCAAAGGCCACTATACCTTTGCAGACAATCGAATTAATTTAGTTTAGGTCCACTTCCAATGTGTTTGCCGTCTACATTCTGGATTGTTTTTGCGTGTGGGACGAGGTGGGTGTTACCAACGTTCGGGACCTGGGTCCATCCATCTTTCGAAGACTCCCACTGTTATTCGGGTGGTCTCTATTATTGGACCAACGATCGACATGATAACGCAACTGTCTCAGTCTATAATACCAACCATGATATAATTATAAATACACTCCGTCAAAGCGGAGGAGTAGTAGCGCAAGAGGAGTTGGTTAATATAGACGTGGATGTATTCCCCTTTGAGGGTATATGTGTGATACTACTCAAATACACGTGCCAACATCATGTCTTATTCTAGACTGTAGCATCGCCAACAAGAGATAAATCACATCACATTGATTACCACACTACCAACGAACCAAACGGACTACAAGACCATGGATTCTCTATACAAGGTATACCGTATCGGTCTCTTATGATTATAGTCGTTTGCTAGATGCTGTCGTTGTTAGTGATCATCTGGCCGGCCTGCTTATATAGTTGCTAATATATACATTCTATTTATTCATCTTGGTGTCTATCTAAGTCCCATGGCGTTGCCGTGGAGGTAAAGTTGGAGGTCGGGGAGTAGTGGGTAATAGGTTGCTGCAGTAGATCTGATCGAGCATATTGTCGATTGTGTGTCATCGTCGTCGTCGTCGTCGTTGTCATCGTCTTGAAGGAGCGAGCGTACATGCATTAAAGTTAAGTTGATTGATTGATTGATTGATTGAATGAACAAGGTGTTTGATGATGATCATTGCTTCTCCTTCTCATTTGAGAGGTTTGCATCACAAGCTACGATCTTGACATTGTCCACCTTGATCACTTCATTATCAGTCTTAAACTCTGCATTCTCCAGAATGAATGTCCAAACGCTATCGCAGAACCTATATGTGTGTAAGTCACCCTTGAACGTTGCTTTGTTCCTAACTGTGTTGGCCAGTGCCTCGTTGATTGACTGATTGAGATTATAGTGAGTACAAGATCATAGGTAACATATGAACTACTCAATCATATAGTTACTTTATCAAACTGTAGAACAACTTTATCATATAATTGTTGACTGATATAGTTGTTGTTGGCCATATCATCTAGTGTATCTGTCAGTGCTTCACCAATTGTTGACTTCCTGTACAGTTCATAATATCTCATCTTATGTTGTTGCATTTCTTCTTATTATTATATTATATTATCTTATCTTTACACTACTTGCATTAATGAATGAATGTTGGTTGATTGATTTGATGATGACCATCTTTATCTCAATGTGATAGGTGCCACATCAAATTAAAATCGAAAATTGTTTGTTTATGGGTTTCATGCCTCAACTATGTCTTGGTTCATGCATCACTCTTCAGGGAAATGAGAAACGAGGACAAAAACACGACATATCCAATTCCAAATCATTAATATTATTATATTAGATATATGATAAAGATAAAGATAATGTCTCTATTAAACAATTTTAAAGAATCAATCGAGTATATTGAACAATTTGCAAGTAGTAATGATAATGGTGCAGATGTATTCTTTACCAAAGATCAACTGGATTTGCTTGAGCAAGCACTTGTTTGTCTTGGACACAATACATCGAATAATTTTAATTATATTCAAATAATTAACTCATTTCCATCTTTGACCAAGGTAAATATTATCAACTAGAAAATTGCAACAAAAGTTAGTTAACACCACTCATTCAATCAATCAATCAATATTATAGCTAAACACTTTGGATAGGTTACCTGCCAAGTATAAAGATATAATAATGACCAGTTTGATCATTGGTCAAACCCCTGATCGAATACGTAATCACATTTGTTACCAAGGTCCAGGCTCAGGTGACCTCAAGATTGGTGACTACGAGGTGGCACTGGCACATCTTAGTTTGAAATATGAAAGATTTGATCTGAGTCCATTCATGTTGGATAGATCATTCCTGGCTCCATTGGTAACCAGTCTAGTTGATCAACCCGATAAACAACATAACTTGTTGTTGCAGTACCTCAAACTTCTTCGACTCAACTTTGAACGACCGAATCTCTACGAGATTATCAAAGAAGTGTTTGGTGCAGAACGAGTTGAGAGCGAGCTCAATCAATGGTTCCTTTCGCCACTCAGTCGGGGCTATGTCTCCAATCATCTCGAACAAAAGTTCAACTACCTCTTCACATTGCCAAACAAGTCCGCTTCATCATTGTTGATCAATCATAAACAGGATGTGTTAAAGTATGTCTAAAATCAATCAATCAATCTATCAATCAATCACTCACTCACTCACTCACTCAATCACAGGTTCATTTGTACATCATTCAACCATTGTGACTTGACCATAATGAAGTTGTCCCACAACTTGTCCTTAGTATTGACCATCATTTTGATCGATGATGGAGATATATCAGATGCAAACATTCAAGCATTGATCGATATGTTGAATAAGGAGAAAGATAGAAGAGATAGATTCGATCAAGTGTTCATTGAAGTACAATCATTCATCAAACCAATCGACACCTTTCTTCAATTCTTTGATAAACTCAATGCCAACAACAAGAGCATCATCATCACTCACTTTGGAGCATCATTCCTACCAGTAAGTCGTTCATTAGTTCATTCTCTGAACTGAACTCACTCACTCAATCACTCACTTACTCATTAATGTTGTGGAATCATTCCAATCAATCAATCAATCACTCGTTAGCATTACAAGAGATTTGAGACTAGCATACTCAATGAGTTGACAAATTCCAAGAGCATTTCTTTGGTGCGTAGCATATTCAAATGTTTTGGAAAGGAAGCCAACATCAACAATGGTCACTTTATGGACATTTTCAAACCAATATTGAAAAGGTTAAAGAGAATCAAAGCATATTCATCTCATCCACTCATTGCCGATGATTGTCTGGTATTGCTCCTCACCATTGACCTCATCAGAAGTATTGGTGCTAATGACAATGGCAAATTCAATGGATATCAAGATATCTTGGATGGCTATGAAATCGAGAGACACCTGGACTTTGCCATCTGTAATATATTGATGTTACCCGAGTCCTTATTTGGAACACAGAATGAAGAGGATCAATTCATTGAAAAATATCGACAGACACTTGAGAAGTTGATTCAATCACATCGCATACGAGTGGATCTCTACTTTGCCCCAGTACCAATTGTCATAGCAATGGCTCGTCACTCAATGTTGGATGGACCATTGATCACAAGTATTATTCAACGTCATTATGATAATCATCAACTTGGTCAATTCGTCAACTCATGTCCAGACCCCTGCCAAGCATGGATCACATACATTGACGTCAAGCTCTCACATTCAGGTGGAAGAGATAGACCTATATTTCTAATATCAGAAATATTCTATAATGAGATTGTCAAGGACTGCTCATATGTGGCAGCACGATTCCACTTGCTAAAATATCGACACAGCAGCAAATTGTTCACTCCTCACCTTCGAGCCGAACATATGTCAAAGACCATGCTACTTGAAGACATCCGACATCATTCAGAATTTGATCATCATCAACAACTTTACAAACAATTCAAGATCAATTCTTTGGCAACGACATATCCATACTCAAACAAATCTCGACGGGTGGAAGGACATGGAGGCAATACATCAAATACTAACATTCCAACACTGTTGATCAATCAAATAATTGGATATCTCGTTGATTCGGACTCCAAATGGTTGGTTGAGTTGTCAACTGTTTCCAATCAATTCCATCGTGCAGTATCCGCAACGCTGTGCAACACTATCATTCCATCACTATCAATAAGGTCAAAGATTCATCAAATGGGCTCCAAGTACTGTCTGTTCCGTACTCCACCACTCCATCTCAATGCATCTGACCTTGATCACATCCCATCAGAACATTACCAGCTCTGTCTCAATCGTTTGGAGTCACTAGTAGTTGAGTTCTACGTTGGAGACAAGCTCGAGTTTGATGTAATCAACGCACCAAATGTCAGACACATCAAGTTCATAGAGACTAACGTTATTTCAAAGGTTAATCGAGTGGAAGTGGGACTCGATCGTGACAATATACATACTGACCAAGAAGAAGATAACAACGAACCATATTATTGTTATATCTATCAACAAACATTCAATCATATATTCCAACATTATAATATCATTCAATCACAATCATCATCCTCAACTTCATCTACATCATCAACATCAATTCATTCAATAGACATACTATGCTCATCACCTTTTGGACCAGATCAAAGAATACTCGAGCATCTCTCTAACACCTCTACCAAGTTCAACTTCAAATGGGATCCAGATATAGAACATACACACTTTATCGAAAGTTGGATCACTTCCGACAGTGATAACTATGAACTGTTTATCTATATGACCTCAGACAGACTCCAACATCTCACTTCAATGGTATATCCATCAGAACTATTAATAGAATATTTATCCAAGGCCAATCAAGTTAGAGAGATCACTCTGAAACGTGATTCATATAAAAGAGGAAAAACTCTCAATCAATATTATATCCAAGATATCCAAGCATACTACGACAGTGCCGTCCAACACTTGACATCACTAACTTGGATACTTCCAAACTTCAATAATGCAATCCATGTGATGCCAGGTGTATCCAACATACTTGATACCATCGAGTTACGAATTACTAATCTTCAAGAGATAGTAATCCAAGATATTTGTGGAACATCCAACATAGATAACCACCCTCTGGCACTATTGTTGGATCACCTTAACCAACCAATATTCAGCAAGCTCACCAGAGTATCAATCATGATCATTCCTCGAAGGGGAAGAGGCAACCATCTACCTCGACCATTCCTCTTCAGATCATTTCTTCGATGTTGTCCAAGATGTCCTCTTCAAATTGTAATACCACAACAATAATAATATATATATATATAGTTTATGATTGATTGATTCAAAAAAAAAGATCATTTATTATTAATACACCAAGTCATACTGGATGTCATGCCAAAATATCATCATCAAGATGGGATGCTTGTGTCCAAGTGTATTGTTGATTGGTGGCGAGAGTTGGTAAAAAGATGATATTCCAAACTGATTGATATGATTGAATCTAAGTTGGATATTTGTTGCGTTATTACTATTATATATTATATATACATATGATCAATCAAATGATTAATCTAAATTAATATTATTATTATTGGGAAGTTGATGAATGTTTGATTGCAGGTGGAGTTGGATATTGAGGGTTGGTATGTGATGCGTGATGACCAAACATGCAGCCACGAGGCAGACCTGGATTGGTCCAGCCGGCTGGCACCATCAGATGCTGTTGTTGTGCAACTTGAAGTTGTTTTAACAGTTGTTCAGTGTTGGATGACTGCCATGAGCAATCGACATTATATTCCATTGCAATGTCGTTCAGGTAGTGCAGCATGAGTAGGGGCTCTGGTATGTAGCTGGACAACTGTTGGATGATCTTTGGATTGACAAAGCATTGACCATGTTGACTATTTACATCATACTCCAATTGTCTTCCATATTTTCCCATCAATTGTTTCTTTATCAAAGCCAACTCTGGCATCTGAATACGTTGTGATGCATACACCAATGAGTATATAGATCCCTTTAACTCTGTTGGCATCTCACTATAGTTATAGTTAGTGGATGGATGGTGGAATGGTTCCATCATGATGATGTGGGTGGGGGTTACATGTTAGTGTCGATCAATCATTGAATGAATGAATAATGAATGAACATACGTTTGTAGATCAATGAGTAATATTCTGGCAAACATTAACTCACATAGTACTTCAATGATGTTGAAGCACTCGATGGAGGACTCATCTTTGATGACCATTTCTACACGGAGACGAGCATTCTCCTCACTTCTATTCCTCAACAACTCTGCAATATGTTTTCTCTCATCTCTTACAAGAGTTGCCTTCTTATTCTTCACAATCTGTATACGACTAACAGCCAACTTTAGCTGTACCTTCCTACATATATTCATAAACATAATGAGTTAGTGATGTGAATAAGTGAGGTCATACATAGTCAATGAACTTACAATTGATGTTGATCATAATGTGGACCGAATGGGAACATTGTGTTGCTTGTTGTAATATATTATATGTTTGAATTTGATTGATTGATTGATTGAATGGTTGGACATGTACTAACTACTACTAACTACTAACTACTATTAGTGAATGGAGGGGAGAGTGAGAGAGGGACAACAACAACAACAACAACAACAACAACTGGTCTCGGCGACGGACATTCTTGAGGTATAGAGCGTAATCACTTGAGGAAGGACGCTTTGCCAGGAAGAAATTGAATGATTTGTGACATGATCGCAGGAGTGTGTGAGTGTTGCCAAGAGGAGGAGGATATAGGTTGGAATGATATTGGGGTGCGTGAGCGTGTCAATCTTCGCCGGACAAGAAGACACAGAGAAACTAGACTCACCCAACCCAGTAAACCAAGAAACTTGTTCCAACTTTTGAACTGCACCTCTGTTGTTTCTTGTTTTGAAAATAGAATTCGTCTTTGTTTGTTGGGATCGAGTGAGAGACTGGTGAGTGAGAGTAAGGGTGTGATCTGAGGTGAATTGGTGAATAACTGGGAGAAAGAATGACTCTCTCTTCTCTGTTGATGTGTGTTTCCTTAACGTTGCTACTGCCAAGGTGGGTTGTTTTGACTCCTCATTGTAAGATTGTCTTTGCAACATGCTATCTCCAACTTTGGTAAGAACAACCATGATTGCCTTGAGATCTAAAAGTATGATTGAGTTTGATTGATTGACTAATCGGATCGATTATTACATCAATGTTTGAATGTTCACGCAAGTAGCACAAACTACTTGGGGTGTTAGTGGTGAAGCCCAAAACCGACAAAGACGAAGAAGACGATGACCCCCAGGGCTCATTTCAATCAATCAAATACTTGTTATCTTGAATACATAGATATATATATCAACATCACACACAACATCTAGATAAACAAGATGTATATGAGATGTCATGGACTTATACAGAGATGGTCAACTTCATCATTGACAACAACTACTACATCTCGTCTTTGTAACACTACCACAACTAATGCAGCATCATCACCAGTTGTTGTTGGAATCAATCAGTTGTCAAGACACTACTCAAATGCTATCAACAACAACAGATCATCAAACATAATCAATCGTGTAACAGACTTGTCAATGTCAAGACTGTTCATCAATGATCAAACTACATCAACATCCTCTGTTGTCCAAACGACCAGACATTACTCGAGTAGGTGTCATTCAAACAAAGATTAAGATGAAGATGAATATGACTTGTTCTCATGCATACGATAACATATTCAATAGAGAAGGCACCACCTGTTCAAGAGAAGGTGGTCATGTCATTGGTAGATGTGATGAAGAAGTTGGATGATGGTCGTGTGTTGCTAAAGAATACATCATTGTCATTCCTTTCAAACTCAAAGATTGGTCTGCTCGGCGCAAATGGCTCGGGAAAGTCAACGTTGATGAAGATTTTGGCATTCGAGGATACAGAGATGGAGGGCGAGGTATTGCTATCAAAGGGCATCACAGTCGGCTACCTGCATCAGGAGCCTGAACTCGACCCCGACTTGACGGTCGAGGAGAACATCTTTGACAGCTTGACCGAGGAGAAGGAGATCCTCGATCGTCACGATGAGATCACAGAAGAATTGGCATCACTCACACCCGGCAGCAAGGAGCACAAGGCCTTGACAGCCGAGCAGAAGAAGCTGGGCGATCGCATCGACAAGGAGAAGCTGTGGGACTTGAAGCGAAAGATCGCCATTTCAATCGATGCCCTTAGGTGTCCACCAGGTGACGCATCAGTCGTCAATCTGAGCGGTGGTGAGCGACGTCGTGTGGCCCTCGCCCGTCTACTTATCACAAACCCAGACATCCTATTGCTGGACGAGCCAACCAATCATTTGGATGCCGAGTCGGTTGCATGGCTCGAGCGCTTCCTCAAGGAGTACAAGGGCACTGTCGTGGCAATTACTCACGACCGCTACTTCTTGGACAATGTGGCCAACTGGATCCTCGAGGTCGATCGTGGCAGCCTCATCCCATTCAAGGGCAACTACAGTGGCTGGCTGAGACAAAAGGAATCGCGTCTCTCAATGGAGGCCAAGAAGGAGGAGGGTCGCAAGAAGGCAATCAAACGTGAGTTGGAGTACCTGTCTGGCGGTGCCAAGGCTCAGACCAAGAAGAGCAAGTCTAGGATTACAAAGTACAACGAGTTGGTAGAGGCGGCACCCGAGCGATTCAGGGAGGCTGGCAAGATTGCCATCCCGCCCTGTCCACGTCTTGGTGGCATTGTGATCGAAGCCAAGAATCTCAAGAAGGAGTTTGACGGCAGGCTGCTGTTTGACAACCTCAACTTCAGTATCCCACCTGGCTCCATCGTGGGCATCATCGGACCAAATGGTTCGGGCAAGTCCACACTCTTCAGAATGATCACTGGTGATTTGGAACCCGACGAGGGATCGATCAGACTTGGTGAGACAGTGCGCATGGGTCACGTCTCTCAATCACGTGCATCATTGAACGACGACAAGACTATCGTGGACGAGGTCAGCGGTGGCGTGGACTTTATCAACATGGGTACCTATCAGGTTCACGTTCGCGAATATCTCAGTCACTTCAACTTCAAGGGTCCCGAGCAGGACAAATACATTGGTTCACTGAGTGGAGGTGAGCGAAACAGAGTACATTTGGCAAAAATGATCAAGCGTGGATGTAATGTGCTGTTGCTGGACGAGCCTACCAACGATCTGGACGTCGACGTGCTGAGAAACTTGGAGAATGCTCTTGAGGACTTCCCTGGCTGCGCAGTGATCATTAGTCACGACCGTTACTTCCTCGATCGTCTGTGTACACATATCATCTCATTCGAATCAGAAGGCAACGTCGTAGTCTTTGACGGAAACTACACCGAGTACGAAGACGATCGTCAACGACGAACTGGCAAGCGATACGATCCCTCCAAGCTAAAGTTCAAGAGAATACACACAGTCTAGATTATATAATAAGCTGAATGATGGATGTTGATCCAGGCCTTTACTTTATTCTCTGGAAGTACTTGTCAAGATGTGATCTTATCTGTCGGTTGTAGTTGGCCAACTTTTGCTTGGCCTTCTCCTCGAGAACGCCACTCGCTAGTATCTTGTCCATCTCCATCAAGAACTGATCAATAGTGTTGTAAGGTAGATTGACAGACATCATTGATTGCTTCTGTTCAACATCATTCTATAAATATGTTTGAGATTGTTAGTTGATCATTGTCACTATGATTGATTGATTGAGTGAGTGATCACTTACATTGGTAGCCACTAGCATGTCCAGAAGTATTTGTACAGCTTCTTCAATCCTTCCATATCTAAAGTAGAGCTTGAATAGGTACTCCTCACGACCGTTCTTGAACCATTGACGTAGCCAGTTGGGAATGTCCACTCGTTCATTGTTATCGGCAAAGGATAGGATGGTCTCGACGACAAGCTCGTGATATCTTGACTGACCATTCTTGCAGAGCACTCTGATGGCCTTGAACACTGTGCCATCCTCCTGCATGGCACCCTCAACAATGACTGGATAGCCCTCCTTGGTGAATGGTGGCATCCTCTTGTTGTATATCACGTCAAAGAAGAACTGATTGGTGTCCGACACTCTGAACATCGTGCCGCCATCAGGCAATGACTTGATGCTCTCTTTCACAATCACACCGTACATCTTGACCGTGTTGGCATTGTTGCTGTCACTGCCAGAGGAGAAGGTCTTGTGGAGTTGCGATGGAGTGACACACTCCTTGTTCTCGTTCGTGTCATATTGTTGTAGATAGTTCTCGAGGAGCTTCCAAGCAATCCTAACATTGTCATTGAAGAACTGGAACTGTGTGGTCTCCAACGAACATTGATTGGCGAATGGATTGACCGAGGGGTTGAGCTGGAACTCGACGCACTTGATGGCGAACGCCTGGAAGATGATGCCAAGGTCAATGTCATTGATGAGGGCCAGTGAGAATGCGGTCTCGATGAGTCCATGCTTGAGTAGCTCGACCAGCAGTTGTTTGGGAGAGAGATGGTCGCTAATGGATGAGTCGAATCGGCGAAGAATGTGGCACGATTGGTAGAAGATGTACTCCTTCCTGAGGTCGGTGAGCCAGACAATCTTGATCGCAGTGTTGCTCTCGCTGCTCATCAGCAGCTGGCTGTCATTCAATGAGAGCTCCATTGGTCCAGATATTGAGGATGAGCCAATGGGTGGGGACGACGATGAGTCGGTCAGTGCGCTGCTGCTGGACTGTTTCTGTTGAGGTGAAGAGAGACTGCCAAGCTTTCTCTTTGATCGTCTCTCGGTAAAGTTGGAGACATCGACAGGGATCCACTGGTTCTTGTCGTCTGGGAGAAGGCTGAGGGCATTGATGGCCAATGCCAAGTAGTCCATCTTGACCTTGAACAGGGTCTCAATGTCAAAGCTGCCCTTTCTAATGCTTGGATGCGACTCGATCAACACTCTCTGTGCCTTCTCATAGATGACGATGGCCGCACGTCGATAATTGTTCCTGCTCATGTGCAATGTGTAGAGTATTGAGTAGTAGTCTGGTGCCAGGGTGAGGTCTTGGCTCTTGGCCTTTAGGAGCAACAGCTCCTCGACATCATGGTAGACGCCTGTGAATGGAAGGGAGCAAAGTAAGGCCACCTTGTTATTCTCGCACAGTGAGACCACCAGTCTATTGAGACAATCTGATGCGCCCTCCTGGTCAGGATTGGCCACAATAGCAAAGTGTGCCACCTCATACTGTGATATCTTCAAAGAGTACTTGAATATCGTGGCGTAGAGTGATGACTAAATTGATTGATTGATTGAGTGAGTGAATGAGTGAGTGAGCGAGCATGTGAGTGAGTGGATGAGTGTAACATACAATCTTTGATCTGATCTCAAGGTTGTTCTTGGCCTCTGGACTGTCTGTCAGACACATGACAGCGAGGAGTGAGTAGTGGATGACGTACTCAAACTGATTGCGCAGTTCAAAGATTTTGGAACATTTGAGGAGGTACTTGGAGAGGTGCTTGACGTCGAGATACCTGTTGGCAACATCCTCATCGGCTTGTGAGCGATCGAAAAAGATGGATGGGATCAACTCCTCGTCGGGCAGATCCACGATGCTGAGGATGTCAACGTCCACGTTACCATTGGCAATGAACTCTGACGACTTGACCAAGTACTCACTGGCCTCCTTGTACTTGCCAAAGTGTGAGAAGCACATGCCCATCAAGTAGTAAAAGGCTGCCATGCTCGACGAAGGGTTCTCCTTCACCATGGTGAGGATGATTGACAACTGCTTGTACTGGCCTCTCTCGGCGAGATAGGTGGCCATGGGGAACACACTGCCCTCTGGGGCAATGAGCTCGTAGAGTTGGCGAAGCTGGCGATCGATCCTATCAAAGAAAGTGAGGTGATTACCGCCAACAAACTGCTTCTCATTAGTCATTATCAAGTTGTGCATGATCGAAGTCTTGGGAATATGTCCATCGCGTGAGTTGCTGTCGCTCAAGTGCATCTTGCCCATGTCCACTCTGTATGTTTGTGTATGCACGAGTGTGTTAGTGATCATTCAATCAATCGATCAATCAATAAAGGTTATACTCACTCTGATGGAGGGGAATGCTGTGATGACAGACTGGTGGACGATGGATAGTAGACCTGGTTGGTGTACCAGTAGGCTGTGAAGTAGGACTTGAGAAGGGTGTGGCAGAGGGGCACGAGTTCTTGTTCATAGACTTGGAGCTGCTGGATTGAGATGCGGAGGTAGGTGCGCAGTCTGGAGATGAAGCCCAAGAGTAATGCAAGCGAACGCGCCAATTGATATCTCAATCGCACACTGGAGGCGAATGATGATACAATGATATCTGCGTACATATCACCGCTGCATGCACGTGCACTTGATGACGATGACGCACCGCTCTCGTCAGCAGTGGTGTCTGTCTTGTCCACACCAAGAGACAGTCTGTTCAAAAGGAACTTGATGGCCTCTCTTGGATTACTGATTGTTCTAAAGATGTTGGCCAAGTTGTTTGAAAAGACCTGCAATGACACGGTGCCCTCCTCATTCTGTACCATCACGCTGGACACAGAGTTGTGTATCTCTGTCAGCAATGCATTGTTCACAGTTGACTTGAGCAAATAGTGCTCCAATGATGAGTAGTCATTCTTGAACTGGTTGGTATGTTGTTAGTTGGGGCTGATGCCTGGACATGGGATTGATGGGACGGACTTACACATTCAGAGATGAGACCAAAGCATTTGAATAGTTGGTCAATGTCGTTGATCAGTTGTTCACTAATTGATTGACTGATGAGTCGCATTGGTGGCATCAAGTTGGATTGAGGGTTGTTCGAGTCATGTCCACAAATAGCCTCAAGTGCAGTCATTGGCTTCATAAATGATAACTTGTTCTGTTGTGTGATTGAGTCAGTTAGTCATGTGATGCCAGTGTCCAACCAATCCAATCCAATTCCATTACATACTCTCTTGATTATAAAGATTAGGTTGGACTCTGTTGCAATGTATAGGCCGACAGGTTGAAGATCCAAAGACACTTGCTCAATGCATATCGAGTAGAACTCATTCCATTCGTTAAATGTCAACAATTCAACTGGTGTCTTCTTGTTGTTGGATGTCAGGGCAATCTTTGGATGGAGGAGAGTAAGTAAGTGAGTGCGCCAGCATCATCCATTCAATCAATCACTAACATACCTTGTCTCTTAAAAGAGATTGAACTTGTGTCTCTAGTGGAGTGGAGTTGACTTGGTAACCAGGTTTGTAGATTGAGAGTGCTGATTGAATGGACCTGTTAGTAAACTGTCCTCTGTTAAACAGACGTTCAATATAATGATGCTCGATTGCTTCCTCTGACGCTGCCTTCTCCTTCACCAATCTTGGTATCATCTTGCCCTCATGGAATCGATTGAACTCCATGTTCAAGTCGTCACTAGTATAAGGAATGTGAGTGAGTGAATGAGTGACTGGCATTGCAAATGATTGATGGAAATACATACGACTCGAGATCACTGATGTGGATGTACTTGAGCATTGAGAAGGAGTAGTCCTTTGATGGCCAGAGTGTGTAGAGGTGTTCATAGTGAAGATGGAAGTCCACGAGTCCCTTGGCCTTTACAAATACAACTCTTTGGAGTTGCATTGTGATTGATGATGCTGATGTCAATGTGTTCTCAATTGAGCCAGTGAAGAATTGGAACTAGAGTAGGATGGAGGTGAGTGAATGAGCGAATGATTGATTGAATGATTGATTGAACAGCGACGGTCCACTTACATGTGAGTCTTGCTCCAACTCTGCATAGAGTACCAGAACAAAGGATGATTGATTGTTGCCTCGTTGATAGATCTTGAACCTGCGAATGCCTGTGTATGAATCGATGGGGAACTGACTCCAGGACTCGGTGATGATGGGGAATGTCTGAAGACACATGCGGTCCACGGGAGACCACACTCGCATGTTGGAGTCCTTCTGCAACACAAACACCAGTGGCGACTTGTCCGCACCGATACTGATCGTTCCAATGTCGGCCACGGCGTCGCCGCGCTGATTGCTCTTGGAGCCCAAGAACGAGAGGAATCCACCCTCGCGCAACTCTGTCTTGCGTGCACTCATGTCGCCACTCTGTCTCAGATCGCTCAACTCGATCCACCATGCACCCGAGTTTGTCGTGCCCAGTGCCATCTGCGTTGGCGAGTGATACTTTATCGAAGACACCTCGAATGCATCCGGGATCAATGCTCTCGTACGTGACCATGTATTATCCAACTCTGTCACCTGCAACGATTTGAATATACTCCTATGTTTGCGAACTGATGGGTCGCCTTTACGTTTCGTTCCAACCTTCTGTTTGATTGATTGGTGAGTGGGTTGTGTGATCGAGTTCGGGAGAATGAGTGAATGAGTACATACATCGTTGTTCTCAATCACATGGGGATGAGGTAGGAGGAAACGATAGAGTGACTTTGAGGTCGTGAGCACCATGATCACAAGATGTTGCTTGTTATCAGTCTCAAAGATACCAATGTCTCCCACAAGATTGACGTGGAAGTTGATCCTTATACAATTGTCCTCAAGTGTATGATGAAGATGCTTCTCCATCAACTCCAACTGATTGTTATTGACTCTCCTACATCACACAATGATTGATTGATTGATTGATTGATTGAATTATTGAATGAGTGAGTGATGAGTGATCATAGTGATCAAACATTGACATGACATACCATAGTATTATCCTTGATTGTTGTGACTGTTGTGACTGATGTGCGTAGGAGAAACCACCTGATCGTGAGGGTAGTTGGTAGTTCATGTGTGGAGGGATCATGGCGGAGGAGGACGACGAGGCAATGTTGAACTCCCTCCATATGTCAAAGGAGTCGCTGAACGATCTAAGATCAACCTCACACAGATTATTTGTTCGTCTACTATTCTGTTCATGTAGCTCTGCAACCAACATTGATTCAGCAGTGGTCGAAGACATCATTGATACATTTGACATTACAGATGTATCAAGTTGCATATTACTACTACTTCCACCACTACTACTATTATTATTATTGTTGTTATCCATTGCTATGAATGTATATATATGATCATATACATATACAAATATGTATTTAAAATCGAGAATGATCAGAGAAGTGGATAAAGCGAAACTTGAACCTCAAACAAAAATGTCATTTTGTTTCGAAAAGGGCGGCATCAAGGACTGACACGACACACCTTCAACTCATTCATTCAAAACAAGTTCTTTCAAACATACATTGACACACAAAGAGATAATATACGTTCATTCAGTATCCATATATAAGTTGAATGAATGGCTCTGTCAGCATGGCCATCAAAGTCTGTGGAATCGTCATACACCAACAATGAACGGGATATATGTTCGAGTCAAACTTGGATCTCGTTGTTAAGGTGAGGGCAGGCAGATAGAGGATATCTATCATACCTCGAGGTCCAACACCACCGAGCACCACTCAGAAGGTTGGTTCGAGGCGGTGATGTGAAACGAACGACAATGAAGTAAGGTCGATTGATCATTGATTCATCTTTGTGGATGGATGCATTAATGTGGAAGAGATGTGGTTTGCCCCGAACAGGAGTTATATTTACTCTCACTATTCTTTCGGTAAAGGTCGCCAATGACATAAATTAATATCTTTGAAGGAGCCACTTTATGATATTTGAGGAAGATTATAATTTACACTTTATCCAAAGCAAAAACACGAATGATCTTGATGCCTTCACCTTCAGTAGGCTCACTCACACTGCCCATCAAACATATCATCACAAGCAACACACACTCACACACTCACTAGTTCATGATCACTAATCTCATCACCCACCAATAATAACTAATAAAGATATTTTCAATGATTTGATCCAGATGTGGGGCTTTGCAATAGTCCGCCATACCTTATTGATGGTTGTTGTTGTTAGAGTAGTGGAGGTGATATACCCACACATAGTAACATAGTTAGTTATTGGATGGGTGGGTATCCAATCCATCAATGTTGGATGAGCAAAGGTCCACGTGATGATGGACACCATCTCCTTTCTTGCTTTTGTTGGGCAATACCAAACATCATCATTCAAACAAGCAACACAACTTTGTTCAAGGTTAGTTTACTTCAACCTTGTCTTCACCTTGTCTATCTATCTATCTATCTAATCAATCTTGTTTGTTTGAACTTGATCACTCATACATCATCAAACTTTTACATCTACATCTACAACTACAACTACTACAACTACAACTACAACTATATATCTTACTACTTTAGTCAAACACCTACACCATCATAAAGTAGGTGATATTATTTATTTATATTTATTATTATTATAAGATGTCTTGGTTACAAAAAACACCAAAGATGAATAGTAAAAGGATGGATGCAGACTTGGATAGACCATTAAGGAGATCAGATGATAATAGTCTACATCCACCTCTACCAAGCATTGTATTAATAGGTGGTGCCCTATCAAATAATAATCTAACTATTAATATCAATCATAATAATACAAACTCAAATCCAAACTCAATCACAAACCAAAACACAAATACAAACTCAAATTCAATCAATTTTGTTGATATCACAACCACATCTTCAACTACATCAACTACATCATCTTCGACGACAACACCAACCGAGTCACCATCAACTACACCACCAACTACATCAACAACGACGACACCATCCTCACCTGTATTAAATGCCATAACTCCAAAACCATCGATGATCCCTGGAAACAGTGTAAAGCCAGATTCACCACAGCCCCTCTTCTTCTTGAGAGCTCCAAGTCCACCAACTCCTATGCCAATGTCCTTGTCCACTCCTCAGACCATCACGCCAGCGTCCACGCCATTATCCACAACTCCCCTGTCCACTACCACTCCCACCCCAACGCCCCAGCAGGCAACCGCTACCACTGCCCCACCACCAATACAACAAAGACCGAGGGTATCAAATGTCCCTCCAGCAATTGTAAAGTTGCCACCTCTATCCATGAGCAACAACAACAGACCACAGCAACAACAACAACAGCATCAGATTGGTGGTAGCCTGTCCATGAGACAAAGGACCACACCCATTGTACACAACAACAGCATTAACAAGTCAGCCACACATCCCTTAACATCAACTACGACAACTTCAACTTCATCATCTACAATGACATCATCACCAACATTCAAGTTACCTACAATCAACCAAAGAACTCCTCAACGTGGTTCACCAGGCACATCCGGATACCCCCAGATGAGAGGTCCAGGAGGTGGACTTCATGCACGAGGACGAGGAGGACCAAATGGTGACAGCAGACGAAGAGGTATCACAGTGGCCGACTCGGACAAGGAGACAGAGACCAGAAAGATTATTATGATTGGACAGGGTCAGACTCGTCCACGAAGCAAGTCACTAGAGGTGCTCAATTCATGGGACTACCAACCATGGGAAGCCCGAAGAGACTCGGCTGACGAGGCTCAGCCAGTGGCCCCAGAGTCGCCACGTGGTGTATTGGACCATGATTCATTCATGATGGTCGACGAGATGACCAAGAAAGGACACAAGTCAATCCATTTCAAGAGTCCACCCATTATGGACGCAGGTGGCAGTGCTTCACCTCGCACAACACGTGACCGTGCCACACCATCACCCAATCGACCAGCCACACCCAGCATTGTCTTTGAACTCAACGATGAGAACCAGCCCATAGTCACATCTGGAACCAAAGATCAATTGATGGATTATCTTTGCAACAAGAACAAACTTGGTAAGTTAGTGTGTTTGTCTGTTTGGTGGGGCTGAGGCTGGAACTATTCCAGCCCAACATGATCAATCAGCTTATTAACATCATCATATCATCAAACAGACTTACCATTTGTATATAGTTTCATGTTGACCTTTACATATTTTATGGATCCAGAGGAGTTGTTTGACTTCCTCATTCGTCGTTATGAGAGCAACAACACAATGGACAGCCTATCACTCCAAGCCATGTCCATTGGCGGATCCTCTGCTGGCCAGTCCAGTCCCGTTAAACTATCAAACTCTGAAAACAATACCATTGATAGTATTAGACAAAAGTAAGTGGTTGAGGCTGGAATAGTTCCCCAGGCCCACACCAGACACTAACAATCAATCAATCAATTAATCAATAATAGTGTAATCATAGTGTTCCTTGTATGGATTGACTCTAATTATAGCGACTTTGATGATAATGAATCGTTGGCACAAAGGATGGTACAGTTTAGTTTGCGCCAGAACTCAAAGTCGTTGAAGGAGGCCATCGACAAGCAGAAGATCCTAAGGATCAATACCGAAGTACTGTTCGACACGATGCGAGCAGACCTATTACACACTCCACATTATTCACATTCACAGAATGGCGCATCATCGTCATCTTCATCATCCATATCCGCATCATCATCATCCACATCCATATCATCATTATCATCCAACTTTGCGCCAATCAATCAACCAATCAACTATTTGAACAACAATATCAAACTTCAAACATTCTACGCACATCAGATACAGGAGTGGACCATGCTACACTTGGCCGTGGGCGCCAATGCCGCCGACGTGCTGATCCAGAGACTGATGATGCTCAAGAAGATTGTGGTGGTGAACCCCGCGTCCAAAGAGTCCAAGACACGACTACAGCGCGAGGACGTCCTGCAGCTGCTGGCACCGGCACGTGAATCCTACCCCAAGTCCTTCCTCGACTACCACCCGCACGACCTCGTCAAGCAGCTGACATTGATCGAGTTCACAATCTTCCAGCGTCTGCGCATCAACGAGCTGTACAACAAGAAGTGGACCATGCCCAAGACCAAATTTGAGCAGAGCCCCAACGTGATGGCCCTCATCACAATGTCGAACCGCGTGGCCAACTGGGTAGCGACAGAGATCGTCACGACGCCTCATCCCAAGAAGCGTGTGGAGGTCATGAAGCGCTTCATCACGATGGCCGAGTACGCGCGCAAGATCAAGAACTACAACACCATGATGGAGATTATTTCGGGCCTGACCAACTGCTCGGTGACACGTCTGCGAGACACGTGGCGCGCACTACCATCGCGCTACTACAACTCATTCCGACAGATGGCCGAGTTCTTCAACACCAACGAGAATTGGAAGCAGTATCGTGCCGCGATCAAACTGCGCGAGCAGCCATGTCTGCCCTACCTTGGCCTGTTCCTGCAGGACATCAACTTCCTCGAGGAAGGCAATCCAAACTTTGTCCAACACTTGCAGCAACAGACTACCATCATTGTGGATGATGATGGAGATGAGGGCGCGTCAACACTGCCACAGCCATCACCATCACCATTGACACAACATGTAAACTTTAAGAAACTGACGATATTGGCCAACTTCTTCAAGAGTATCATCTTCTTCCAGAAGCATCCATACGCCAGCTTCATCAACAACACCAACGCGCAGTCATTCCTTGACAATGACATGCTGATCCTGCCCGAGAAGGAGCTCAACGACTTCTCCAAGTTTGTGGAATCCCCGACCAATCCACTGAACAAGCTTAACAAGTCCAAGTTATCGTCCATGATATAAACTGACTGATCATTCATTCTTTGTTTGTTATTATTGTACCTCTTGAATGTGTCTCTTGCCCACTACCTTGTTCAAGGTAGTTGAGTATGTCTGTGTCGTTTCCACCAATGATCACTACATCAATTCCCATATGAGCAATGTTGAATGCAGATTGAAGCTTGGCCTTCATGCCACCAGTAACATCATGTTCCAATGTTGATGATGTTGACACTTGATCATGTTGATTTGACGAAGATCCTGTTGACAAGTTGATCAAAGGTATGAGTTTGGCGCCATGTTCAGATGGTGTACGATCAAATACACCATCTACATCAGTGATGAATATCGCTCTACTTGGTCCATTGTGACGACAAAGTTCTTGAATGATTATATCTCCACTCAATATAGTACATCCTTTAGTCTTGTCCCTTGATTGATTGATTGATTGATTGAGTGAGTGGAATAGTTCCACCGACTATCTGACTTAGTGAGTGGATACTTACAGACATACATCACCATGTAGTATTGGCATCAAACCCATTCCAAGCATTGTTGTAATCATTGATGCATTGTGTTGAATGACTTGATTGTTATCAGTTAACCAACTGTCAAATGGTGATACTGGCATTGCCTTTATACCACGTTCCAAACAAGCCTGCGTAACAGCCATCAACAACCTAAGTACACTATGTCTTGTCTTTACCATACCCTCTGCAGACCTATATTCTTCATCATTGTATCCAGATGTTATCTTGTATTCCCTTTCATCATGTCGAGTTAGTATGTTTGATTGATTGATTGATTGATTGTGGCACTACATCAACAACATACTTTGCTTCAAAGTGACCGAATGATCCTGCACCAATGATGAGTATTATGTTGTATTGTTGTAGTTGACCATTGTTGACCTTCTTGTTCAATAGAGTATGAATGATGGATACCAAGTATGTTAGGTTGTCATTGTTCAAAGTATGTATTGTACTCTTCTTGGTAAGATATGCACCTCCACACTTGATAATAAGTAATTGTTTATCCATGATGGTGATCATCACATCATTATTAATAGACAACAATGACTTGGGTTCCAATTCCCCAAGGTTCCAGGACCAAAGTTGTGTCGCTCCACTTGTCAAAACTTCAAAGTTGGATTCGAAGTTTCGATCAACTTGTGTGTTTGAGCTCATTCACATTCATTCAATCATTCACAATCATTCAACTTGTACACATATAAATATAGGTAGATAGATAGATTCAGATATGTCAGGTGCATCAGTTGAAGATGTATCTTTATGTTACTTCTATATATTCAATCCAAAGTTGGGACAGAAAGAAGGAAGAGAGCATGAGAAGATACTTTACTTCTATCCACAAGCCAACTTCCCAATAGGTATACAGACAAACTTTGTAGGACTAACAGAGGCCTATGTACTATGTACAAAGTATGCATCATAATGTACATCATATGTTGTCACACTTACTCATTCATTCAATCAATCAAACATAACAACAACAACAGACAATTCTCACCTGATAAGCCATGCGATTCAATACATACTATGAAGAATACAATTTCATTGCTTCAACCTGAACCAGATATATGGATGGTGATCGCGTTGAATAATGCATCGGGAGTGGTCAATGGAAAGAAGGAGTATGTCGAGGATGATATTGATGACCTTATCCTGCAGACCACCCTGCGTCAGATCTACGACCTGTGGAGAATCTTCAACGGACCAATGATGGAGATTGCCAAGCGCGACTCTTTCGACGTGTTGAAGAAGCGATTGGACTCCTTCATCAAGCCCTACATCCAGCAGATTAGCTTTGATCAACTCGACCTGTTCACGACACTCGATGGCATTCAGTTTTTGCCCGCCGACAAGAACGTCTATCTCAAGCTGCTGACGATGATCAATGGCACTGAGATTGCATTCCAATCGGCCTGTCCATCCTTCCGCTTTGGCTGTCTCTTCTACAAAGACAACCTACTTTGGAGCTCACTACAACAGCACCAGATCAGGATACTCAATCATTACCTCGTTCAACTCGTCAAGATTGGCATGGACCGTACTGCCTCAAACTCAATCATGGTCATTGGACTTGATGGTGAAGTAGTCTGGTCAACCAAAGGGTATGAACTTGGGAATGATTCCAATCATATCAATCAGTCGACCACTCACTGACTCAATCCAATTACATCAAACAATCATTAGACAAAAGTCAAAGAGTGGATACTTTACAGAGAATGCTAATAATGTAAAGGCAACATTGCCACAGGTACATCTGGGCGACACAACTAGCAACTTGATAATCTACGAACAAAGGGATGTTGTATGTATATTTCTAGTGGACAATGAAGATCTTGAAGCTCTCAAGCTTGATGAGCTACGCGAGAATGTCATGCCATCAATCGATTTCATATTCCCAGTCCTGGAAACAAACTATTCAAAGAAGACATTGTAAGTCCAATCATAATCATCCACGTCCATTCAATCATACTAACATGGGACAACTACAACTTTAGCATGGAGGAACAATACAAGTATATCTTCTTTAATCAAATGAACTTGGCAATCAAGGCATCATTGAAGTTAAAGGGAGGTGAGATGACAAAGGAGACTATCAAGATATTGAATGAGATGCATTCCGACTTTGAGAAGAAGCCTGATATCACAGAGGCCACCGTCAAGACACAGAACGACCGTTGGATCGTTGGCAGAAAGACAGACTCTCGTGAGTTCTACGTTATCTTTGATACAAAGAACACAAACCTCATTGAGATCAATGGTAAGTTGCTCAATGAATGAATGTGGTGGACCAGCCAACTGACTCCCCAACCCTATCCCCATCACGTGCCACCAGACGAAATCAAGACATTGTCTACAACATTCCTCAAGAATCACTTTATCGACTAGACTAGGACTAGACAAGACACTGATCTAGATCAATATGCATACGGTTTGGACGCCTGTCAAACCAAGTCCAAAAAGGAAAAGGACAAGAGGATGGATGGATGGATAGGTCCATTGTAACATCAAACGAACGAATGAATGAATGAACATACATCACTTGTAAACTCCAACAGTGATGATTGATTGATTAGTTGATTGAATGTTGGACTGGATGAATAATTGATTTACTGATTGTTCGACTACAGAGGATGAGATCATGGAAAACGAAGTGGGTTTGGTCGCAAAAGAATCTGGACAAAGTGGGGGTGGGCCTCGACCGAGGCCTTGCGCAATCTAGCAAACAACCGGTCCTTTGACTGGCTATGTGGATGACTCAATGGGTCCAATAGAATGAGACCATACTTAATTCATTCATTGTTATTATTATAACATACATAAAGATATATATTAGAAGGAGAGATAGAGATCAAAAAGATGTATATACCTTACTTCATCACATTGTTGATGATGTTGTTGTTGTTATTGTTGGTTGGCAACATTGAGGGCCAACAACAAAGTATATCGGATAGAGTGGCAGAGATATCAAGACAACACTTTGATCGTCTAATGAATGATATAGACAGTGGCACAGTGTTTAGAACATTGAAGCGTGATGAACAAGGCATCATCAAACATATAGACGATGAGTACAACAAACTATACTCATCACTCACTTGGAAGTATGGACAAGGTTATGAATGCATACACGACAGGATAATGGAGAGACATAAGCGTGGCATCACATTTGACAACACGGAAACACCTCTACACTCACAATCACAATCACATGCGACATCATCAGTTGGAGCATATGGAGCAACACGATCACCCATACGCATATTGTTCAATACGACATACATCCAGAATACGAATGATGTGTATGCATGTCATAATGTTGGACAGTTGGTGTTTGTGTCGTCAAGTGACAGTGTGCCAACTGATGACACTGCGGATTGTAGTGGCACAGGAACAGAGTCGTCATGTACCTATCTATGTAGGATGCAGGATCTGCTGACTGACGACCTGTCCAGAATGATCAATGGCTATCTACTGCCATCGATCAACCAGGTGCTCACAGATCTGATCATGGTGGCTCCCTCTGACAAGCTGGTTTTCAACGCTGAAGTGTACAAAGACAATCATGGACAATGTGACTATGGCATTGACATTCCATTAACCTACACAACACTCAATGGTGCCAAAGATGGAGTTGATCTGATCGTCTGGGTCACAGCACGTCCAACAGTATCCAATTGTAAGTTTACAATGATCATTCATTCATTCATATTATTCACTCACTTACTTAATCAATCCTGGAATGGAAACATTCCAATCGATCAATAAATCAACTTAGCAACCATCGCATACGCTATTGTGTGCAACTATCCAAAGAGTAGAAGTGGCGTTTATGGAAGACCGTATGGAGCCAATATCAACTTCAATCCAATCTACTTCAGCAGGTTCATTGGGCAATCAAACATATCATTCACATTCAATGAGTTTGTTCGTGTTGGCATCCACGAGATGACACATGCACTTGGCTTCAGTGGCATGTTCTACAACTCATTCATCTACAACAACAATCCATATAGTAAGTGATACATCTTTGATTGATTGGAATCATTCCAGCTGCTAACACCGCACACCCCAATCAATCAATCAGCTGCCAGTGCATCAGTCACGCGAACAGGAAACACACCGAGTGGATCATCTTATACATATCGCAAGAGTGCAATCACATCACAGGCAGTGGTCGGCTTTGTTCAGAAGCATTATAATTGTTCATTGATGGACTATGCAGAGTTGGAAGACTCTGGATCAACTTCAACAGCAGGCAGTCATTGGGAGAAGAGAATGGCCAATGAGGAGTATATGATTGGCTTTGTGTCTCCCATTGCGCCAATCACTAATCTGACGCTGGCACTACTCCAGGACACTGGCTGGTACACGATCAATCGTACCGACGCCGACAAGTTGGTTTGGGGCAGGAATGCCGGATGCGACTTCACAGACAACTGCTACATAGATACATGGAACTACCAGGGATACTTCTGCACCAAGCATGGCGATCAGTCTTGCACGGCCACTCGCATGGGCAAGGGTATATGTTTGATCAACTCATACAGCAGCAACTTGCCAGGACAGTTCCAACACTTCACATCGGCGCGTGTTGGTGGCCAGGACTCTGTTTCGGACTTTTGTCCATTCTACCAAGTCTACGGCACACTACCAAACACCTACTATTGCACCGATCAAGACAATCAAGACAGCGCCAACCTACGCATATTCGAGGTCTATGGCGCCAACAGTCGATGCTTCGAATACAACATATCCAGTACAAAGACTGGCATGGCTTGTTGGGAACAAAGGTATGTTCAACTGGTTGAGTGAACTGAATGATCATGTCGACTAACTAATCAATGAATGAATTAATCATTAGATGTAATGGTACCAAGGTCGAGATAAAGGTTGGATCGATATGGGTACACTGCAATAATCCAGGAGAACAGATTGTTGTGAATGGAGTCAACTTGATATGTCCACAAGGCTTTGCTGAGTGTGGCGCCACACCATTGCCAATCAAGATCCAGCCTTGGTCAGGGTCTTCGCCATCAACAGCACAAATGATGTCCAACAGTGCACTAATACTATTGATAACATTGACGACGTTGATGACATCATTACTAATGTAGGTGTGGACATGTCCTCCACATCATAGTTCGTTTGTAATATAAACATAGATCAGATCTTTGATTGATCGACAGATAGATTGATTGTAATTAACTTAATGACTGGAGAGATCAATGCTGTATTTACATAACTGCGTGATCTCTGACTGCAGCAGTTGTCGTAGAGGTGTGCCATCGAGGTTGTCCACCCATCGCTTTTCGCTCATATCGTAATCGAATCGCTTTGGTCCACTCACAGGTGATGACCACCATATCTGACGATTGGGTGTCTGTTTGTTGATGACATAGGTGCCCAACGAGCCAAGCTTGAGTGTCAACACGCCGTCCTGTTGGTTGTAAGTAGTAAGTAGAGGTGAGCTAAGTACTCTTGACCTAAAGGTTGATCAACACATACGGATGTCTCAATGTCAATGCCATCAATGTCGTCCAGTGTCTGAAACATTGACTCTAACCTGTCAGTGAACAGTTCTAACTCTTCGTCAACAGCGTGATGGAATGTGTGCAGTGGGAAACTAGATGTTTGTTTGAATGATTGATCGATTGATTAGACATGACTGGCGAGTCGATTGATGTTACACCAATGTTGATGTGTAACTGACATACTCTGTCTCTATTGATGACGAATAGTGTCGCAGACTTGTCAATGAACCTAATTGATTATGTTGATTGTTGTTGAATAGTGATGATTGTTTGATAGTTGAGGTTGCCTCAATTGATGTAGAACGAAGCATCAACATTGAACATGATGACACACCTCTTGCTGATATTCTAGCAAGAATTGTACATGTACGTATACGATGACCCAGTAATGATGTTATGACACTTGACATGGTTGTTGATAAGATGGCAAATGACTTCAAAGAACCGAATGACTCATCTTATGATTCGAAATGAAAATAAGGTTGTAGTCGATGTCGATGTAGACATGTCTAGATTTGAGTTGGTGATCACAGTATCACTGATCTCCAAGTGATATTACTGTGAATATATCTTTAATAATGCAAAGTGTATCCTCTGTTGATGAGATTAGAGAAGTACGAGTGGATTGGTGATCATTGTACAATTCCCCTGGCGGACCCTAAGGGAAATAACTACTATCGCATGAACCACAAACTACTGGACCAGAATATCCTTGCTGCTCTTGTTGGGGGACAACTATGAGTGTGTATGATGGCATCATACCTGAGGCGACTCCAAAAGCAACCTGTATCCAAAGGATACCCCAATCAACGATCTGATGGGAGAGGACATACTGTGTAGAGCCTCCGCCTCCCGCACTGAGAATGGATGCAGCCAGACCTATAAGGAATGAGGCAATCCTCTGCTGCTGGGTCGGTACCTAACATTGATTTCTCTGCTCTTCTCATTGAGGGAATTGACTGCCCTGGTGACAATAACAGGAGAATCATTGTAGTTTCCAAACGCCTCGGAGGCAGTCCCTGGTGCCAGTCCCTTGTTACCAATAAGGCAATAGTTGATATCGGTGGGAGTTACATTTGTAATTTGTGTTCCTCCAAGCTTACTAAATGCTCTGCGCAACACTGGAGATGGCTGCTTCAAGGGTCCAATGACCATGATAGCTACAAACATTCCAGTGGGGATATTATCAATGAAGTTTGAGACTCCGACATCATCGTTCAGTTCAAAATTGTAACAGGTGAAGGGAACTGTGATTCCGGGGAGGTTCAACAGCCACATGTTGATTCCCTCTCCAGTTTCCATAAACTGAAGGAATTGATTGCCGCCGAACCACATGAACTTCGAAGAGTCGCCGTCTCGGGCATTTAAAGTGAGATAGAGGTCGATTGAACCAGGCTCGATTGTTTCCATTGTTTGTTTCCTCTTATTTGTTTTATTATAATAATTATATATATATTTATTATATTATGTTGTAATCTATATTTGTTGTATGAATGAATGTATGATAAATGAAGTGATTAATGTAATGTGAAAAACTAACGAAGGATAGGTGAATTAAATTAAATTAATTTTAAATCGGTTTAAAGAAAGATGGGAGACGAGGAAAGGGAACAACTGATGATCAATAACAGATCATCAAACGGTTTGTGACCCCCCACAACAACAACTTCCCAATTTTGGACAACTTGGTCATGTGTGAGTTGAATCTTGCGCATGTGGCTATGAATAGGTGACATCCCCTTACTTTATTACTATAAGTGTTGTTACTTGTAATGTTGTTACTCTATCTATCTATCTATCTTATCTTGTTTGTAGAGGTACCTCCCCACGAGTCCATAATGACCACCTCTTAGAACACTGCCGTGCTGATTGCTAGTGTGCATGCGACAACGACGACAACAGCAGCAGAGAATGGAGCCAAGGAGAAACCAGTGTTCTTGCCATGATCCATTGACTCGTCGGCTGGTGCAGCGTATGTCTCATTCTTTGGAGTTGGAGTTTCGGTGACATTGACTGTTGGTGTCTCAGTTGGCACTGGCTTTGGTGTGTGGATCACTGTTGGACCGGCGATGATCTTTGGTGTGGTGAGGTTGGTTGGACAGGCGGGCAACCACGATGGCAGACCACACTTGAACTCCATTCTCAGACAGCTGGCGTAGTAGCATGACATCTCTTGGGCACACTTCTGGACGCCACATGACTTGGGATTGGTCTGATGGCCGTCGCCTCTGAGTGTGACGTCGTCCTCGTACGAAGTGACACAGTTGTTCTCGGTCATACACTTGCGGTACGACACGTAGAGGTCCTGGCACTGATAGTTCTGGTTGTATCTGGGCTGGCATGTCGAGTTGGACTGATCGATGCGACACTCACACGAGCCCCACAGCTGATCACACGACTCGCCTGAGCACTGCTTGGCTGTGTACGAGGTGGGCAGACAGGAGCTGACCAGACCGTTGGTGGCGGGGCACACGTATCCCTTGGTCATGTTACACTCGCCAAACTGGGAGAAACACAGGTCACCGGCCTCCTTGGCAAACATCTCGGTACACTTGCCAATCAATGTCGAGGAGTCCTGGGCCGAACAGATGTATGGGTGATTGCAGAGATCCTCTGGGAAGGTACAAGCGTCGTCCTTGCCCAACTTCTCAATACAGACATTCTCCTTACAATACTGGCTCACGGGGCAGTCCTGGTGGACATTACACTTCTTATCATTGAGCACACATACATCCTCACAGACCAACGATCCAACACATTCATAGTTGAATCTACACTTCTGGCCATTCCTATAATATTTGATTGATTGAGTTAGTGAGTGAGTGATGGCAATTTTATGATTGATTGATTGATTGATCACATCACACATACATTAGGAACTTTGCATTTCTGCACTTTCTGTTGTTCTCACTGTTGACACAAAGCATTCCGGACTTGCACTCTCTGTCGTCGGCACAGACATCACCATCCTTCTTTCCAGCTACACATGTTGTGTTGTGTTTACAAAAGAATCCAGGTGCACAATTACTCCTACAATTAATAGTTAGTATATAGATGTTATTATTAATAGTATTAATGTTATTACTTACGATGATTGACAATGACTTCCTTCAACTCCACACATATCAATCTGACAAATGTCGTTTGAGGCATAGGCCATTCCAAGCCATGCCACCAATAATATTATGGCAAATATCTTCATTTTATCCAACAACAACAAGTATAAATAATATATATATTAGGGAACAACAAAGTATATATGTATCAAACTAATGACAAATAATAATGTAATACAGACTTATTGCCTGGCAATGGTTATATAGTCAGATGATGGACAACATAGCACAACTTACTCTTTCCAGACTTTTCCGAAGGTGTTGTGGTGGGTTCACACATCCCAACTTGAATGTCTGACATTTGATTGATTGTGTTTGTGATTGATTGATTGTTCGATTGATCACTGATGTAATGAGTGTGTGAGTGTGGTGATTGAATGAAGCACTCTCACATGACAATCCACTTTACTCTACAACATGTTGAGTTGACTATTCTTCTTGTTGTACCACCGTGGATGGGATGGATGACGGTTGTGATAGATCTGAATGTTCGGCAACTAGCCTCAGGTGGTGTAGTAAGACGTCCAGTCATTCTGCCATACAATGAGATTGATGATGATCATCATTCACATAACTGTTTGCAAACAGTGTATGATTGATTGATTGATTGATCATGTGTCCATCAATGACATGACAACGACCCAATTCAATGGGTATGTTATCCTGATTGCTACTTCTTCTTCTTCCTCTGTTGTTATGTCCTGCTGATTGAATGGCTGTTTGATTGATTGATTGATAGATTGATTATAGTAGTTTGAATGTAGTGATAGTTTGTATCACCTAATGTTACTAACTAACAAACAAACAAACAAACAATGACTGCAACAACAACAACACCTTTTGCGCCAAAGAAGGTATCTATCTCGCTCTCTCGCATTTATTGAGAGGTTGTGAGTTGAAAGAATAAGTTATTTAGAGTATCAATCCTCTTCAGATCATTCTCTTTATCTGTATGATATACCAGTGTCTGTCTATCGTTGGTCACCTTCAACACTATCTTGCTATCTACATGTCTAAACTTGAATGAATATCTTGTCTAAAATAGTCGTATATATGTATGATTGGACCAAGTAAATATGTGTAGTTCATCATCATTATCATCATCCATGATCATACCCGTGATGGATCAGACCTATATAATGTCTCAGCTCTATTATAAAACTCATCAAAGTCGTTTATATATGTCATCCTGTCTGTGTATTATATTATGATATGAATGTATATTAAGGCTATCACTACAGACTGTTTAATGTTGTCTATGTGTATATCTATATGTGATTATTTGTACAACAATAAGGGAGTGATGAACAATCCTTTGACTTCATCTCACACTTGATCATCGCAAAAATGAAGTGGCAAAGGAAACTCGTTGACCGTTCATTGACACGTTGATTGACGTTGATTGATTGAATGAATGAGTAGACAATGATATGATATGTCTACAAGACACAAGACTCAAGACACAAGAGAGAATAGAATAGAAATAGAAAGAGATATTCCAATCAAGTTCCTTATTTTAATTGGGTCGATGGCTTATGATGGTTGGGGGCTGAACCAACAAGCCCAGCCCAGCCAGCCTGGAGCAAAGTGGATGAAGTTACAAGTTCAAACTCTGACGAACCTTCTCAGCGACGGCCAATTGAGAACGAGTCAACGATGAGATGTAAACGATCATCAGAAGATCCTTGACGCTGTTGTTGATGACCTTGTCCATGATGTTGGAGCTTGACTTGGGCAGCGATTGGATTGTCTTGGCCAGGAAGCGACCGATGCGGGGATCGCCCTGGATTTCGCCCTTCTCGACGGCGCTGATATATTGATAAACGTTGTCCAGGATCTGGTCCAGCTTGGCCAGCGAGCCCTGCAGCGACTCGAGCTCCGAGAGCATCGACACGGACGACGTTGGGTCGTCCTGCTGCAGCTGTGCACTGTTGGCGCCGTTGCCCGTCAGGGCGTCGAGACCGGCGTTCTCAGCCTCGAACGTGAGGATCTCCAGTGGCAGTGGGGCAAAGTATGTGCCGAGCGAGGCCTCTGGGTGGTCGGTGAGGGCGTGGGCGTGGTAGGCGTGGATGCCCATTGTGTCATTGGTCAAACCAGTGTCCACTGTCAAATGGATTGGTGTACCATTCATTTCCTCGCGATAAAAGTTATTGATAATAACAGAGTTCTCATTGATATCGCATCCAGTTGCATACCATCCAATAATAGGTTCACGAGGTGATGCCTTCATATGCAAGTCCAACATCTTTCTATGAAACTCCATCTCAACTGCAATCTATAATAACATTGTTGAATTGTACTTGTTAGGTGTCTTGTCCTATATGATTGTTTGATCAATCACTCACTCGCTCAATCACTCAATCATAACTCATTGATTGAATGAATGAATGATTTTGGGTATTACTGAGACATACTTGATCACCCTCTGAGTGGACAACTGGGAAACAGTTCTTTATCTCGATGACACCATCGTTGTTGTATCCAAGCAATGTACCGATGACTCTATCCTGTCCTTCATTTCTTCTAATGTAATGATCGAGTATATTGAAGATGACCACCGGATGAATCTTAACAGAAGCCTGTGATGGCAAGAATATCGACTTTTCAGCTTGCATTATTCTATCTCTTTACCTGTATGTATATATGTATATATATTATAATATATGATTGATGACAACAATCACTCTTCAATCAAACCAAGTCTGTGGCGCACACACACCCTCATTGGCACATCCTCTTTCTCAGGGTTATCTTCAACCCTTGTTGTTGCTCGGTCGCCTTCCTTTCAAAACTTGAAGTGTGTAATTAAAAAAAATTAAAAAAAGTCGAACCTCATTGAACTCATTCATTCATTCACAAGACTCTGATGATTCAAGCAAAGTGCTCAATCAATCGCCTACCCTTTCCCTCTTAAGACATCACGTGACTTGACTGACAAGACAACATCGATATATCGATCAATCTATTGGTCCGCTCATAGTCAATCAATCAACTACATATATTATTAATAACAAGTACCAAGAGAGAGTGAGGAAAAAAGAAGAAGATGAATACATTCTCAAATGATGGTAGCTTCTTGGAGCAGTTCTTGAAGAAGCAGAAGACTGGTCATTCTGATGACCCAGCTGCTGTTACTTCAATACCAACAGCAGGTGTTACTACAGATCAATCGGCAGCAATGACTGATCCATCGGCAATGCAACAACAACATGCTGTTGATCCAAGTCAATATTATCAAGGTTATGACGAATCATATTACAACGACCCAGCAGCATACGCTGCATACTATGCACAATATCAACAAGCCTACGCAGCAGGTGGAGGTGGAGGAGGAGGTAAGTTCATCTTGATGCATGCATCATCCATTCAAACTCATAATCTAACTCTAACTCGATCGACCAATCAATCAATCAAAGACTACTCACAATATGCTGGTATGGGAGGCTTTGGTGCTTCTGATGCAAGCTTTGGAAGATCAGGACCAAGCTCAATACCTTCAAAGGTGATCTGGGCACATAATATACCACAAGATACCAATGAGGACGAGATTAGACAAGTGTTTGGAATATATGGATATATCAAGAATGTCAAGTTCAACATGTCCAAGCGCTACGCATTCATCTCGTACGCAGAGATACAATGCTCGAAGCAGGCACATAAGGAGCTCAACGGACATCAGATGCGCGGTGTCACTCTGCGTCTCGGCTTTGGCAATCAGGGCAAGGAGATGCCCGGCCAGATGTCCGAGCCCCAGAACCCGCCATGCAGGAACCTCTGGATTGGCAACGTGGCGTCCACTGTCACAGAGGGCATGCTGAGGGATGCCTTTGAGACATACGGACCCGTGGAGTTTGTGCGCGTGCTTCAAGGACGCCAGTGCGCCTTTGTCAGCTACCACGACACTGAGACTGCCATGCGCGCCAAGGATGGCATGTGCGGCTACAACTTGGGCGGTCTGAACCTGACCGTCAACTTTAGGAAGCAAGACGACAGGGATAGAGACAGAGACAGAGGAGACAGAGGAGACAGAGGCGACAGAGGCGACAGGGATCGCATGATGATGATGGGCGGCCCTGGCGGCGACAGAGATAGAGAGAGAGGCGACAGGGATCGCATGATGATGGGTGGCGGCCCTGGCGGCCCCGGCGGCGACAGAGATAGATTCAGAGACAGAGATAGAGACAGAGACAGAGACAGAGAAAGAGAATTCAGGAACAGGGATCAGAATGGAAACCCATTGCCTGTGCCGCCCCCATCCAGTGCCGCTGCACAGACTATTATCGATAAGATGGCGAGCTTTGTCGCGAGGAATGGTCCAAGATTCGAATCATACACACAAGAGAAGCAGTTTGACAATCCCAACTTTGAGTTCCTAAGGCCATACCATTCTCATCACGATTACTACCGCTGGAAGTTATTCATTATTAAGAACCCAGATGGTATGTCATGCGCCGGGAATAGTTCCAAGTGATGGATGTACTAACCAATCAATCCAAATCAATCAATCAAATATATAGCTCATTCATCAGATAAAGGACAAGCTGGCGATCAATTCGTTCCACCAACTCAATTACAACAACAACAACAACAAATGATGCAACAACAACCAGAACAACCATTCATTCCTCCACCTCAACAATCATATTTGAATGATCAACAAGTACAAGAATTCAAGACAATCCTTGAGGAGCTGACTCCATCCAAAGGATCAATCACTGTATGTATACCTCATATCATGCTTGGGATTATTCCATGCACTCACTGACACTCAATCAACCACTCTCAATCAATCAGGGATGCAAGAACTGGATTATGGCACATGTTCAGAATGCACTGGAAATCATATCGATCATTACAACGACACATCAGAAGGGCGACCTGCAGTTCACTCAGAAGTTGAGCATGCTGTACGCTTTGAACGATGTGCTGCACAACTGCCTTCATCGTAGAGAGGCAGGCGATCAAGGCGACATGTTTGCCAACGCCATCAAAGACTACCTGCCCTTTGTAGTGGGCTCGACAGGCGCCGGCCAGAACGCCGAGAACCAGGACAAGGTTGTCAAGGTGCTCAGCATCTGGGAGAAGGAGAAGATATATCCAAAGGATCTGATCGACACGCTGAAGCTGGCCGCCACCGACGACACTCCGCTCGATGCACAATCTTGAAGCGAGTAAATGATAATAATAATAATAACAATCCAATATCCGATCGACTGTATCCTATAATCGTGTAACCTAAATGATGATGCCACCTGTTGTTGATGTTTGGATTGTCTTGAAGTTTATACAATATGGTTTATTCACTTGAGTGATGTGATTGGTTGGTTGGCTTACTGGATAGTTGGGGAGGGATTGATGGATGGGATGATGGATGGAGTGAGTGGCTACTTGATGCTATACGCTGTATCGTTGACTATTCATGTTGTTGGGTTGGCAATCTAGTCTGCGAACATGTTGTCGACAGATATCTAGAAAGTTAGAGGCATGTTGAACATCGCTATGTTCGTCTACCCTTATGTCTTAATGATCACTGATTATATACGGTTCAGTTGAGTTGGTGGTCGCTTGTAACCTAACGTGTTGCGAATGTAGCTGGTGAAGAATGACAGTGCAAGCTAATATGTGGTTCGAATCATCAATGTTAGATAAGACGGTCGGTCGGTCAGTTGCATGTAAGAGACATCTTACCAAATAAATAACTCTGAATACATCGAGGATGACGCCTGGATAGAAACCAATGTGTGATACTCTGTGCTTGGTCTTGTAGAGGATGACAGTGACAGCAATGCCAATGACCTGTATGAATGCCAGTCCAATCAAGATCCACATGAACACAAACAGATTGTTCTTCTTTCTCTTCCACACTCCTCTGATGCCCAGCAGCATTACAACAGCCAATGCCACACCCAATATAATATCCAATACCTGTTGTACTAATCCCATAACACCTAGTGTCTATTGTATTGTATGATTGATTGAATGGTTGGTCTATTGATTCATTTGATTGATTGATGATGCAGTTCATCTACCTACACCTAGGAATGCACAAGCAACTATGTAGAAGTACTGATTCTTTGAGAGAGGTACATGTTCACTTATCATTTTATAAACGTTGTTGTAGTTATAAATAAATATTTATATATTTATGTGTATGTATCAACTTGTTTGAATAAAAATTAATGGTTAACTTTTGAGTGTTAACATTAGGGGGATGAATTATTTGATTTGTTGATGGCCTGGTATCTAGGGATGTCGAATGTTTCATCCACCAACAATGTTAAGGTAGGGGTTCCAACATATACTCTTTCAATCAACTTGGAGGTGAAGTCAACATGTTTTCTCATAGTGACATATTCCACTGGGAGAGCACCTTCATTCATTACTACTCTTACAGCACATTATTAATTGTTATTTTTTAAGTATTTGTTGTTCAAGAACTCTATTGTTGAATAGTTTCATTTTAACACTCTCTTATCTATTTGTACATATTTACCCACAACTATCAACAACAGTATCACTTCTTTACTCTTATTATCTCTTCAATCTTATCGATTATCTTCACTTTATCAATACATGTCTGACTTGGAGAAAGCTAAAAAGATCGTTTGTGGTTCGCATTATTATATTGCTCTTGACTTCCTTACCAAGGTATTGAGATTGCTCGACTATCCCAATGATGTCAGCAACATTCTCCAACTTGAACTCATTGGAATGACCATCGAGCAATACATCCACGCTGCTCTCGCAATCAAACCAACTCGTAAGTACCACGGTGAGAAAAGCATTTCGTCTTTATTACTAACATGTACATTCAAGCTGTTGCTGTTGGAGGTGGTGACCATCCTGGTAAGTACAAATGAGAGTGAGCGATCGAATCTGACATTCTTTCATCTTCAGTGCTCACATTGAACTCTGTTTCTGAGTGGCTTTTTAAAAGATATCCTATAGTCCGTCCCGCCCCAATGATAAGTTATCAAACACTCCATTATCGATAATAATAACTAATTTAATCACCTCAGATGGCCAACCGAGATCTCCCATTTCGAGGAAGAGATACAGAGCTCCAGAATTTCATCTATCTTGTCTCGAGGCGTCTTGACAAGCGTGACAGTCAGGACCGAACAGATCATCCGCTGACAGTTATCGCCAGTGCACCTGGAATCGGCAAAACAAGACTGCTCGAGGAAACATCAATCGTTCTTGCTAATCATGATATTCTCCAAGAGTACTATGTCGTGCAGATCAACATCACCTTTGGCAATGGAACACGAACCACCCTGAAAGATGCAATGCATGGAGGTGTCCACGCGTTGGCCAGCCGTATTCTATTTCGCTTCTTCGATCCACATACCACCTATGACATCTTTGTTCACCAGTTTGAGAGTCATTATGGTGTAGGATCATTCGCTAACATCAGTGTTGCGGTCTGCTTCAACATCATTGAGCTTTATATCCGACATAGTCATCAGTTCCAGGCTCTGGCCAAAGACAAACGGATCTTTTTCAATATTGGTATTGACGAGTTCTCATTGCTTTTGCTCAAAGAGAGCATCCTTGAGGAGAGGTACAAACAACAGATTGATGGCTACTTCAACCAACATCAACGACACTATGGACAACTCAAAGATCAAGAGTCCAACCGAATCAATCGATCCTTCTTGAAGGAGGTCATCTTGGCGATAGTCCCTCTTCTCACCTCCAACTCCAACAGCGCTTTTTTCCATGTCACCATGGTTGGCACCATCATCACACCCCTCAAAGATATCATACATGTCGACTCAGCCCACCCATACAAACGGAACCCCATTGGACTTCTCCTCTTCGATGATACACTTTGGATCAACCATCAATATCTTGGAGTCGTTCATCTCACGGACATCCAAGATGCCAAGCTCCGGAAGGTTCTCGCCTTTATTGGTGGATGGGCACGACCATTATTCAAGTTCATAGAGGCGTACCGCTCCGACCCAGCCAATCGGGACAGCACGCTCGTTGGGCTTCTGTCTTTAGTACCAACCCCTGGGCTGGAATCTTTGCTTCCCGCTGACACGATGGCGAAGCTCGTGTCGATGTCTCTGACGGCCAAACAGACAACAAAGCAAGATTGGAGAACGCCACACCTGGTGTCAGAGGAATCACTGGAGTCACTGGAGAGCAAAGGAACGATCTGCTCCCGCGTCATGCCAAATGGGCATCGTGTTGTCACCCTTCCACTCATTCTACTTCGCAAGTACAGTGACTCGAACGCCTTGCTAGTGCCCGTCAAGCTCATGGTTGATCACCTCATTGTGTGCGACGATCCTAACTCATGGGAAGAATTCTGCTGTCGTTACCTTTTGGCACGAAGATCGTCGTTTTCCATTCTTGGAAAGACGTCTCTCTCGCTCCTGGAGTACTTTGGTGATGCCTCACACACCAAGATGGTCAATCAAGAAGCAACCTTCCTGATTGGTACCAATGGTAAGAATGATCTGGCTACCCATTCATATAATTTGTTGCCTAACTCTCACAATCATCACAAGCTCTGCCATCATTTTCCAAGTTCAAGCAGCAATACCCGAAGAAGTACGAATCGACTGAAAGTGTCTATCGTAATGCTGCGGGTGCACCATTTGACTGGGTCCAACATTTCAAAATGCCGAACAACTACATGATCTACTTCCTATGTGATGGCAAACACACAATAGCAAACGCTTCTCTTCACCTAGCCGAGGTCAACGACAATATCACAGCTTGCACTGCGGCAAAGACAGCGGTACTGTGCAAGAATGACACCTATATTCACTGCTTCATCACCAATCGAGATACAATCTCAAATGATATCTTCACTGATTCACGAATATCGCAGCTGCCAGTGTTGTGCATCGACAAACGAAGCAACTTCTACCCCTCGTCCATACGGTCCTACATCGACAGCCAACTTTGAACGATATTGCGGCAACATTGAACATCATGATTGTTTAATTCCTACTTACTCGACTTTACTTTTGAATAAATATATAAATATTATTTGTATCTTTTTGAATAGGGATTGGCAACCTGGAAGTTGTGAACACCGGTGGTTCCACATCTTTGGTCGTGGTGCACATTCAATGACTGGTCGATACTACTACTAAGAGAGGAAGTTACGTTTATTTATATACATACATGGTATTATTGTTGTTGATTGTAGATGATTATTATAACTTTGGAGGATAAAGTGATAAGGAGTGCTATGTTTTGTGTTTCGGAACCACATTCGGCTATTGTGTTGGTTTGGCGGTAAAGATAGTAATATATAATAAATAATCGATTGATCGATTGATTGGATTGCTTGGATTGATTTAAATATCTAATTGAGTACTGGTAATGAGTCGTATCCATTTGTTGCTGGTAATGCTTCACGCTTAGAGTAGTATGGTTCCAACACTACATCCTTTGGGAAGTTCCTTAGTCTTGGTTCACCTGACATTGGATCAATGGTCAACTGCAGAATCTTTGTGAATTGAGGACACTCTGCCAAGAAGTCTGGCAGTGTCTTCTTTGCGCCGGCAGTGTCATCGGCCTTCACCAGATAATGTCTGATCCTCTTCTCAATATCAGGGTCGTCCACCTTGTATCCAATGGCAAAGTGGCCTGCGTGTCGTTCACTGAAACGGATCAGGAAGGTGCCGTTCTCCTCGTTGCGCAAAGCCTCCTCCACGCTCTGTCGCGAGATGAAGCCGTAGATCAGACCCGACTGCCACATGGAGCAGATGTGGCGTTGGTATCGCAGCTTTTGGAGGCCCTTGCCGAACCAGGTCCAGAACGTGTCAAATAGCGACTGTGTGATGGCGGGACGGCCGCCAAAGAACTGTTGATGCAGGTACATCAGCTCGTGGCGTGCCAGGTATCGCGTGGGCTTGATCGAATCCTGGCGGGTGGCGCGCAGGAAGTGTCTCTGCAACTTGTTGGCGTAGGACGCCCAGGCGATCTCGGCATTATTACCAAAGCTGTCCTTCTTTAGCAGCGTGCCGTCACTCTCTTCGTACTGGCACTCGTTGGTGATGACAATGAACGGGCTGGTGGGCGGCGACTCGATGTTGACGGGTGTGCCGCCAACGACCTGCACCTGCATGCCAAACTTGAGCGTGACAGGGTTCTTTCTCGTGCCGTTCAGGAACTTGAGGTGATACTTGGCCAATCGCTGTGTCTCGTCCATGCTTACGACTTCCGTCTCGATGGTCTTTGGCGTCGAGCTAGTCTTGGAGTTTTGCTGGTTCTCAACAATCATCGTGGCCTTGACCTTGCCAATCAGTTGCAGCTCGGTGCGCGTGCCGCTCAGCAGCTGTACGACGACCGGGTCGTCTTCCAGCGGCTTGCACTTGGTGATGACCATAGGGAATGGCTGCTCAATGACGACGAGCGCGGCGATCGTGGGTGGCGGCGTCTGGGGACGCACCAGCAGTTGCAGCTCCTCGTGGTACAGCTCCAACTGGATCGACTGGATGGTGAGCTCGTGTAGCAGCAGCACAACATTGCGTATCTCGTGCGGCGACAGCACAAAGGTCTGATCGATCTGCTGCAGCGACGTCAGCTCGGCGTCAATCTGTTTCTTTAGGGTGTTCTGCTCGTTGTCCAGCATCTGGAATGTCTCCTTCTGTGGATGCGCCAGCACCTGCTTCTGAACAATCTTCATCTTTTCCAGCTGGTCCTTCTGGGCCAGATGCAGCTTCAGACATTCATTGATGATCTGTTGATGTGGCTGKGGTGGCTGAGGTCCAAAGGGCACCGCTAGTAGATGTGGAGGCAGCGGTATCTGAGGCTGTTGTTGTTGTGGCTGTACTGGTTGTGGTTGTTGTTGTTGTTGAGTCTGTTGTTGTTGCTGTGGTTGTTGTTGTTGTTGTGGCTGTTGCTGTTGCTGTTGCTGAACAACAGACACCACTGCTTGCGGTGCGGGACTTTGGGTTGGGGACTGCTGTTGAGGGATGGGCAATGGTGCTGGATTAGTTTGAACCGGGGGAGATTGCATTGGTTGCATTGGCGGAGAGTGCATAACTTGTTGTTGATACTGTTGTTGTTGTTGCTGCTGCTGCTGTTGCTGTTGTTGTTGCTGCTGTTGCTGTTGGATCATCATGTGTTGTTGCTGTTGCTGTTGCTGCTGCTGCTGTTGGATATCAATCTGCTGAATGTAGGCTGGAGGAGAGAGCACTTGTGGCACAGCATTCTGTTGTTGTTGCTGTTGTTGCTGCTGGAGCATCAGCTGTTGTTGATGCAGGGTGTGTGCGTCGTCCACAGTGTTTGCGCCATTGGTGTAGTACTGTTGGGGAACAGGCGATGCCAACAGCTGCTGTTGTCCATTCGCATACTGTTGCTGTAACTGTAGATTCTGTTGCTGTTGTTGTTGTTGCTGCTGCTGTGGCTGTTGCTGCTGATAGTTTGGCATCTGATGAAGTGGAGCATAAGCGGAATGTTGTTGTCCTGGCTCTGCCTTGACCATGAAGCTTGCTTGTGATCCATTACTATTATGATGATCGTGATTGTGATTGTGATTGGGTGGAAAGATGTAAATATACTTGTTGTTGCCAGCAGGTGTAGGCGTATCATTGATATTCATTCTCATAGCTAATAGTATATATTATCAACACTTGTTGTTGTTGTTGTTATGCGCAACTGATGATCATCAATCATCATTCAATCATCATCATTATGTAATGTTACTGTTACTGGTGTGTACATACTCTAAGAAGGTCATCAGTGACATTAGGTCATCATTGGTGGTGAACCCATCGGCGGAGATGTCCTCAACACCCTCCGTCTTCACCTCGAGGAAGGAGGTGGAGTCGTCTTGTAGTGAGTCTATAGTTCTCTTCTTTGACATCTCGTATGTATGTGTATGATTATGTGTGTGTATGCTCCGCGGGTAGGGAAGGGCAGGGCAGGGTAGGGTATGGGTAGGATAGGGTGTCTGTTGGTTGCTGACTGGCTGGCTGATTGAATGATTGGTTGGTTCGCGTGAAGAGTCGCGTGCGCGTAACTTTATCGGGCGATATAATAATGAGTTTGTTGATGCTGTGCTGATGTTGTTACTGCTGTTGCAAGGTGAGTGAGTGGCAGTGTTTAATGATTGATTGAATTGATCACTTCTATTACAAATAATAGATATGATAATGAGCAGTGCACTTTCTTTCTTGCTAAGACAGTCTATTATTTGAAATGATTACTGTACTAAATAAAAAGAACTGAGTGAGTGAATGAGACTGAGTAATAGTGATGCAAGGTCAACTCAAGCTAGAGTTGAAGGGAATGAAGGAATCAAGCTAGCTTGGTGAAGATGATATAACGAGACAAGTGTGTTGTGTGTGTTAGTGGTGTCTAGAGAGAGAATAGAGAGAGATAAAGAGTTGTGTGTGATTGTGATTGAGTGTGTGTGAGTGATTAGGGGTTAACCAGCCTTTATCTGAATGTTTATAAAATGATATTTGTCAGTTGGAAACACACAAAAAGAGGTCTAATTTAATTTTGCTGAATTAATTTCAATTTACTTCTGGACCAACCAACACCCTTTTGTTGGACCTGTCTGCCAACAACAACTTGTTGGAGTCTAGTCTTGGTTTGGACCATTGGTGTTGTTTGGTGTACACCAGTAACTTACAAATGGCTCGTGTGTGCATGTTGTGTCACCAACATTCACCAAACATTCACCAACATTCACACCGCTCACTTTGTCTCTTCACATGTCCAACTCACACACTGATCCCAGGGTCCAATTGGACCGCGTCTAAGTATCTAAAGTAAATCAACAACATAAAATGAACTCACACATACACCCTCGGCAACTCTTTGAAGCTAGAGAGACTTCCTTTATTTGTCCGTTCTCTGGTCTTTAGTCTTTGTTGTCCTTGTTGTTTGAACTTAACAAGTGGAATTTAAATTCAAGATCTGACAACATCATTTCCATTTATATGTTTCCAGACCGGATATATCTGGTCCCACTCCAATAATTATTAGTTGTCCACCACAAACATTAATAATATTATTATTATTGGTCCAATTATTAATCTATCGATCCAACACGGATACATCTCATCCATCAATGACATTGAGATATATTGGTCATGGATCACTTATTCATCTCCATGCTGTCCTACAAGTGTTCCATGACCAACAATATGATTTGATTGGCTGATTGATTAAATTGATTGATAATGGATTATGTTTAATGTTCCAATATAATGACTATAATGAGTTCTCTTGGAATCTACCAGAGTATGATGACTCTCCCTTTAACTCCAAGAATACAAACTGGCATATCTTTGTTCCAGGTGTCAGCTCCAAACGATTCTATTCATAATATTCAACTTATTAGTATGAGCCTTACTACTATCTCTCATTCACTGACTCAATCATGATCACTAAACATACATTGGTTGTATTGAATATCTCCAAGACCTGCCTGTTCTTGATACCTGGATTCATGAATCCAGCGGATATATGGACAAAGAGACCCATGCGAGCAAACCTTGATCGTCCTTCCAGTAGGCCACAGTACCTTGGTGAAAGTTCCACGCGCTCCTCAGTGATACCAAGACACGTGCTTCCAGGTTCCAACATGAATGTCTCACCAGGTGCCAATACAACCTTTGTAGTGTGATCCTGGTAGTTTGTGGATTCTGTAACCTTTATCGTCTTTGAATCCTTTGGAAACACTCTGAACTCATTGGATAGTGATAAGTCAATCGATGCACATCCCACTGCATTCGGATCATATGGTGTAATCTTTATATCTCTGATATGGTTCGCACATGTTAAGTATGATTGAGATGGAGAGTGAGTGTGTGAGTATCAATGCTGCAGGTACAAGGCAAGATGCCAAGATCAAGGAGGACACCTTGTTTGAATGTATGTTGTTTCAAACAATATCATACCCTTTCTCTATTGCCTTTAGAATCTCGTCTCTTGATAGAACTGCCATTGTTTATAGGTTGATTGTGTTATGTGTTTGATTGAATGAATGAATGATTATTGAAGTTGGAAGATGAACTAAGTAACCTTCTTCACCTTCACATTGAAAGTAACTTGGTGATGTTCAAAAGTGTGGGTTGTTGGGGTTGCGATTGTGGTTGTGTTGTGGACGATCCACAACAAGGTGTTGTTCATGTTGAACACAAAGAGATTGAGAGTTCACGATGCTTGATATTGGAGTTGGCCTAAATTGTCTTTGTATGATCATTACACTATTAATACTACTTTGGGTACATCATACTACATTGGGTAATAAAATGAATCTGATTGGATTCCACGTGAAATTTGAATCATATGATTTGGAGAGTTGCTATGCTCTAATGATTGATAGAATTGATTGAATGATCATCAAGACTTCAAGTGAATGACCAAAAGTTTACGTGTTGTCAACTGTTCATTTATTGGAAAACAGACTTGTCTTTCAAACAAACTCATTTTGTTGTCAGATACAACTTTCAACTTCACGCTTTAGTCAAGTCTATTTTTACAAAGATAGATACAGATAGAATAGAATGAAGAGAATAACAAGCGTAACAGGTATTACAAAGCAGTTGATTGGATATAGAACATCACAATCAACACTTGGTGTTGTGTCAATGTCTTCATCGTCATTGATTGGTGTATCGTCAAAGAAGACTCCAAATGTTAGATATTACTCTGCAACAGAGACATCCCCATCGTCTACACAATCAACAAGATTACATAACAATAAGAAGGTGTTGTTTGACGATGACAAGTTCTATCATGAGGAAAAGTACACAGGCATCTCCAAGGAGCCATTCTCTGAGGACATTGCCAAGATACTGTTGACCGACCTCAACACTGACGACATTGAGATCAAGCCCGATGGATTGCTCTACCTGCCCGAGATCAAGTACCGTCGCATCCTCAACCAGGCCTTTGGTCCAGGTGGTTGGGCCCTCAAGCCTTTCGGCCCACCCATCGTCGAGAATGGCTCACTGATCAGACCGTACGCACTCTACTGTCTGGGTCGCTACGTGTCCGAGTCGATTGGCGAGCAGCCCTACTCAGAGCAGGGCTACATCTCCTTTGCCACGGCCACCGAGGCAGCCAAGTCCAACGCGTTGGTCCGCTGCTGCAAGGACCTTGGCATTGGCTCGTCGCTGTGGGACCCCAACTTTATTCGCGAGTGGAAACAGAGGTATGCTCTGGAGAAGTTCTACGAGCATGCCAAGACCAAGGAGAGAAAGAAGCTTTGGACACTCAAGTCTGGCCCCGCCATTGGTTACCCATGGAAGGAGGTCTCGCCCATTGGAGAGTCCACCTCACCCATCCAAGAGACTATCGCCTATCAAGGTCAAGAGGAGAAGGAGACACCAATAGTATCTGCATCATCAACTTCATCAACAACTTCATCATCATCACAGCCAAAGGAGCAACAACAACAAGGTGAAGAATCAGCAGAGTTGGACATTGATCATTTGGTACCATCTGTCATGAAGAAGTACAATGGCAAGACATGGAGAGAGGTCATCAACGATCCAAAGGGACCATCATACATCAAATGGGCTGCAGGTGCATTCACTGGCACTGTTCAGATGCAAGCAAGAGCAATCTCTGATTGGATTGAGCAGAACCAGCAACACCAACAATGAACATACACAACTCAGTCGACAGTGACTAAGTTGGTTAGTTAGTTAGTTAGAATGCGTTGAACACGATCCTCATCTTCATCATCCTCATCCTCATTCTCATTATCGGTTCTCTCTCAACTAACCTATCTCTCTCACTCTCGCTCTCACTCATTCTCCATTCTCTCTTTGGATTAAACAACACACAGTGTTCTTGGGGGTAGCATCGGTCACTTCATTGAACTAGCTCAATGTGTTGGCAAAGGCAACTGGAGAAGTAGGCCCTGGCAATACAATGAATGGGTGAGCGAGATAGGCCAGCCCCTAGATGACCACCATCAATGATGAATACAGTAAGTATGAGTATCCACCACGTAAAGTTAGTCAGTTACCGTTACATTATATCGATTGATTGAATACAGCATCAAGGTGGATTGAGAAGAAGCCATTTTATGATGTGTGCAAGGTATAGTGTCACAGATTCAGAGTGTGACTGACCCTCTGTGTATTTTAGTTGAATGGTAGTGTTTCATTGATGACAGCGACAATAGAGTAGTTGTAATAATCAAGTTGTTTGTGTGATTGTTCTCAACACTATCCACACATACTACATGTACAACACACACATAAATACACACTACACTTTGATCACTCCAATGATCAACTCATGTGATGGCACCCCTGAGGCCTCGACTTAAGTGTGTGTTGGAGGGTGTGTGACTGGAATTCAAAGTGTTATTATTATTATTGCCATATACCCTTTGAGAGTATATGCAGTCATTTAAGTGATTAAACAGATCGTTTGGTTGGTTGGTTGGATAGCCCTGCGCCTTCCCCACACACATACCCCTCACAGCAATCAATCAATCAAATCAATCAATCATCCAATCTATCAAATCAAAGAAGAAGAGTATGTGTCACCACAATATATATGGAAAGGTAGGTGCTTGCCACCATCAGCATCCTTTGCACCAATGTCTGTTCTGATGGTTGAGGCCTAGAGGTGGTGTGTGTGTGATTATGTGTGTCAGGTATTCACTACTTATTCACTTGAACAGTGTTTCTTAATGTCTACACATGTGTATTCTGGAAAGAGTAGCAAACAATCAATCCATCATCCATCCAACAACTTCCACCATCCATCCATCCATCCAACACAATAATAACAGCAACAACAACAAAGACAAGACATATAACACCAACAACAACAACAACAACAACAATAATTACAACCAATTATCCAATCAATCATCCAATCATCCAATCAAAAATACAAAACGAATTAATTAATTGTAGGTATTATTCCAAATCAATCCAACCAATCATCGTCAAAAATGACAACCCTAAGTCTACAAATATTTGATCAACCCTAACACATTATCTTATTTGTAATCACATGTGACAAACTCAAACTTATCACATTGTAAATCGACACTCTCTCAATATCTGCACTTTGTTTATGATCTCCCCCATAATATTATCAATTATCTCATCTCTTCCATCCATCACTCAATCAAACCACAATCTCAACAATGACCAATGTTAATCAATCGGTGATTGAGTTATCATCTCGGCCGGTCACCCTCGCTCCACCCCATCCCCTACATTCACCAAACACCAACACAATCAGAAACAAGATTCGAATCTTCATTTGGATGATTGTTTGATTGACTGACGTTGAGTTGTCCATCATCAATCAACATTGATCACCATCACTCACTAACACTCACACCAACATTGTCACCATGACACCCCCACCCACCGACAACCACGCACACCTCGGAGTGATTGTGATCGGTCTTGTGTGATTGATTGATGGATGACCATATTGACTTTTCCATAATTTGTTTGATTGATCAATCGCACTTGTGTCTGATTGATTGACTGACTGCCTTTGTCGAGTGGATGGATGTCACTCCCTGCTCTACACTACTACGCTACTCCCTAGCCAAGTGTTTGCGGAGCAATCCACAATTTGTTGTCGTCATTAAATTGTAGTACTGTATGCATGTATGGGTATTACGCAGATGAACAGGTCAATAACTTGTTTGAATTATATATAAATACATCCTTGTAAAGGCCGTATCTGACTACTGATCAGTATGAATTGATACATGTTGTTATCATAGAATTACAGTCATTCGGATCAGAATCATCATTCAATCAAATATCCATCAATCCACAATAATAATAATAATAATAATATAGATATTCATCATTCATCAATCACATTTTTGTCATTGTAGTGTTGCTTGGAAGACTCCAGCCATACCATTGACTTTGTTGTTGACTAATTATTATTATTATTTTTTATAGTTCCCAACTACTTGTAGCTCATCAGAAGTAGTACTATCATTCAATCAAAAGTAAAAGTATGTAAACAAATATCCATCCATCAATCAATCAATTCAATCCAATCCATCAATCAAAAATATTCCAATCAATCATTCATATAATATGTAAGGTAGAGTGTATTTTTGAAACAAATACACTCGATTCCAACAACATCTAGTAATTATTATAAATCATGACGCACGCATCCAATGACTTTGTCCATTTAAATACACCTTCCCTTTAAATCCATACACGCATTCAAATATTCCATTGACATTCTTGTCATTGTTCTCAACACAACCATCCATCAATCACAATCATAATTAAAACGACTTCAAATAGTCGTCGTCGTAGAGACGTAGACGATTGTCATGGCGTTGAAAGTCAACCCAATAATAGATATGATCACACATCGCATCAGATCAATATTTGCCTTACTTAATCAATCAATCAATCAAACCAATCAATCAACCAATAATTATTATTTATTATTCCCATCGGATTCCTTGGATGGGTGTGTGTGTCATGACATGATGGGATCACGGAACACCAATTCATGGTTTGTAGTTGCTGTTGAGATGCAGGCAGCTGCTGTTTGGTTGATGATGCCCTTTAAAGGAAACGTTGTTGTCAGGTCCATCAGGGCAGCCCCATCAGCCACCAAACACATGAGTTGACCCTAGCTCAACGCTGTGACCGTGTCTCCAGGCGACTTTAATGTCATCCATCGTGTGTGTTTATTTGTGGTCCATCTAATAATATTCACACACACACAATCATTCGATCAATCACAACACTTCTCAGCACACTCATCCCCACATTCACACACACTACCGATCAATCAATCAAACACACACACACAATATATACTCATTGATCAATCAACACATCATGCGTCTCTTCAATCAATCACACACACGCCCTCATCCATCAATCAATCAATCACACAAGTAGTAGTGTGTAGTGTTTAAGATGGTGCTTGATGGCACTGATTCAGTGAGTGTCATTGTTCCACTGCTCTGATGGCCACCATCAGCCCTACCACTCAACATCAACACACACGGCGATCAATCAGTCAAGTAAGTGTGTATATGTGTTTATGACTCTCTATCTATGTGTGGGCATTATATACTTTACTAAGTGTGTGAAGGTTAAAGATGGAACATTGTGTGTGTGTGTGTGTTTGTATGAATGAATGATATGAATAAGTGTTACTTACTTACTTTGTGTCTGTGTCTATGTGTATGTGTAAGTGCATGTCTGTTATACATCTTGGTGTTGTTGTTGGGGGCTGTACGACACTTTAAACAAAAGTCTCTACTACTGCTACTGCTCGCCACTGCATCCGGCGTCACCCACCACCCTCTCCTCAGCCCAGCCACAGGCACAGGAACACACAACTATATATTTATATCACCTGGTGTTACTCCCTCAATCCCCAATCACAGTTAAAAGCTGCTTCCCTATCCTATCCTCTTGGCAGTTTAGAAAATATATACCTTCTTGTTCTTTCCAACCTTCCCTTCCTTCTTGTTGTTGTTGTTGTAGTAATATCACTTCGCCAGTCATTCAATCAATCAAATCAATCAATCAATCAATCAATATTTTATTTATAATATATAATAATATAATATAATATTAACCAAAGGACAACTTTATTATTTCCTTTCCGATTCTTCCAGCCAATATCCAGTACCAACAGAGACCTCCAAACTATCTGACCAAAAGTAATATTCATATCCATCGATTGACCCTCATTGTCCACCCTTTCCTTCCATCCATCCATCCTACAACCCATCATTGCCAATATCAAATCGATCAATCAATCTCTCTCGCTTCCACTACACATCGGTGTTGTTGACCAAACAACAGGCATTCATTCCTCATTCAATCATCCATTTATCCAACAATCCATCACATCCAACATCCAAGTGATCGTCATCTCATTAATCAAGTCATCACTAATTCCCACACTGACTGATTGATTGATTGACTGCAGCCATCCACCAACACCCAACCAATCACACGATCACATAATTATACACAAACTCGCTCATTCACACACTCACACACAATCACAATCACAATCACACTTCACCCACCACTCATCAATCACACACTCACACATATATACACACACATATATATACCATTCCAACGATCACCAGTTCACCAATTTATCAAACCCTACCCAAACACTACTGCTACTCTAGTAGGTGTAGCATCCAATTATATATACTTTTCCATCATTGTCCATTCATTGTTATGCGCGCTATCTCTATTCCAAAGCAATCAAAAAAAAACAAAAGTATTAACCATTAGCTCATCCCTCTCTTTACTACTACTCTCTCTCTCAGTAATATCAAATTATATATCCTAAGGAATAATAATCCAATAATCAATCAATCACAACCAAGTATACTTAATATATATTATATATATATATATATATTCTAGATATCCATTAATATCTTAAAGTAAGTTTGAATTAATCACAATTCCAGAATTCTAGAAATAATAATAATCTGACACAAATAATAATATTCCAATTTTAGAAACAAATAATTATTATTAATAATGGATAGTAGACAAGGTGAAGGGGATATTCCTATCAATACCCCCTCGAGTAGTAGTGGTACTACAACGACAACGACCACTACTACATCGACCAGCTCCACCACTTCGCCACATCCACCTCCAATGAGGATGGACAGCAGCAACCATATACTGTCTGAGCGCGGCATGTCCGAGCGATCGGCCTCAAGCCGAAACCTCAAGGCCAAGCAGGGCCAGTCGTCAAGCAATCTAAAGTGGAAGTGGAACAATAAGGACAGTAAGCCAGGCATGGAGCGCGAGATGGCAAAGAAGAAGGCCGGACGCAAGGAGTCGGAGCGCAAGCTCAAGAGCAGCGGCATGCTGAAAAAGAGAAACACCGTGCACGACTTCCACGACGAGGACCTGAACGAGGAGAACATCACCGAGGGTCTGCCCATCACTGAGGGCATTGACCGCGAGGAGATCATCGACGGCAAGATCATGGCGCCACCCACCGAGACCCTGAGGGATCTGTCGGCGCCCCACATGGAGACTCTGATCGACCCGGACATGTCGCCCGCCGAGATGGAGGAGAAGATGCGCCAGTACAAGATTCATCTGGAGCAGCAAAAGACCACGGTTCGCGAGCAGGCCATCATCAAGAAGAAGTCACAGGGGCAGCTCAAGCGCAAGATGACCCCAGGCATGCTCCAGGACGAGTCGTTCGAGACGCTCGAGACCATCATTGGCGAGTCCAAGAAGGATGTTGTCTTCGAGGTCAAGCCATACTTCTCGCACTCGATCCTGCAGGCCACCATGGCCGTGTTCCTCGTATGGAACTTGTTCTACTTTGCCTACCGTGCCGGCTGGACCATGAACACGCACGACGTCTACACGATGGTCTTCTCTGGCCTGTTCTACATTGTCGAGTTCGTCTCGTTCTTGGCCACCGCGCTCCATCTTAACAACTTCACCAACCCGTGCACATTCCTGTTGGTGCTCAACCTCGAGCAGATCTTGGCCATCCGTCGCAAGCGTTTCCCCAACATCATGATGTTCATCTGTACCTACAAGGAGCCACCCTCAATCGTCTCGCGTACCTTCCGTACTGCCATGTCGATGGACTACCCATCAGAGAACTTGGGTGTCTCGTTGTTGGACGATTCGATCAACTTCCGTGAGTCGCGTGGCTGGGCACACTTGCAGTCGGTCGAGAAGAACTTCTTGTTCCAGCTGCTCAAGCGATCGATCTACGCCGTGCACCCAATCTCGGCTCCAATCATGCAGGCCAGCCAGGACCCACACGGAATCCTCGGAGACACCTCTGACCAGATCGAGAAGTCCACCAAGGACGTGATCGAGGCTGAGGTCCAATGGTTCATCGAGTTCTTCTTGCTCAACTCATGGTTCGGTATCAACCAGGAGGAGCCCCGCGAGGCCGACGACGAGGAGAAGACCCTGATAGCCAGGTTGCGTGAGGACAACTTCTCGCCATACCGCAGTTTCTCGATGCAGGAGCGTGAGAAGATCTACCAGTTCTCCAGCGAGTCCCTCCAGTCCTTGTGGCACGGATCCGCCTTCTACCGCCCACTCGTTCGCTCGGTCCTCATCAAGAAGGACTACGTGCGCAACTTCATTGCCGAGCAGAACCGTGCCTTCCGTCTGCGTTTCCTCAACACTGAGGCCCTCGCCATGGCCCAGTACCATGTTCTGATGCTCGGTCGTCAGGAGGTGCCATTCGACGACGTGTCCACCGGTAACGTGCGTGTCGACTTTGAGTCGAGCGGCAGTGTCATCAGCCCACGTTGCACATACCTCCGTCGCCGTAAGCCTCCCATTCCACACAACAAGGCCGGTAACATCAACAACGCCATCTTCAACGAGTCGACCAAGGCCGACTTCGAGTACATGGGACTCCTCGATGCCGATCAGCAGCCACACCCAGACTTCCTCAAGCGTGTGATGCCATACTTCTACAGTGACGACGGACATGAGCTCGCCTTTGTCCAGACTCCACAGTTCTTCAGCAACATCTACCCAGTCGACGATCCATTGGGTCATCGTAACATGGAGTTCTACGGCCCTGTCATGGAAGGTCGTTCATCCAACGGTGCCTGCCCATTCGTCGGTACCAACGCCGTGTTCAGACGTCAACCCCTCTACGACATTGGTGGCATTATGTACAACTCTGTGACAGAGGATATGTACACCGGTATGAAGCTGCAGGCCTCGGGCTACAAGTCCTGGTACCACAATGAGGTGCTCGTCGTCGGTACCGCCCCAGTTGATATCAAGGAGACGCTAGAGCAACGTAAGCGTTGGGCTCAGGGTGCCGTCGAGATCTTCTCGCTTACACCATGGGGCCTGATCAAGAAGAAGCTGGGCTGGAGAAAGATGCTCTACAACCTTGACTCATGTATCTACCCATTCCTCTCGCCAACTGCCTTCTTCTACGGTCTCTCGCCATTGGTCATGTGTCTGTGGACTGTTCCAATCGTCGTCACTGATCCAGTCATCTTCATTCTCGTCGGTATGATCCCAGTCATGGTGTTGCCAAAGGTCATCCAGTACATGATTCTCCGCGCACGTCGTCCATATGAAGCCGGCAAGAGTGGCCCATCTTTGTGGGTCGAAGCCACTGATCTCTGGAGAGCCGAGCAGACCTTCTTTGCCTTTGCCGGAACATACGTTGCCGCTTGGAAGGCCGGCTCAGCGTCGATCGTCCGTCTGATCAAGTCTCGCCGCATTAGCCGTCACAAGCTTGCCCTCTGGAACTGGAGACGTGACTTTGTCAAGCGTCCAGTGATCGTAGAGTCATTCCGTCAGGCCAAGTCGGCCAACGTCACCGAGCAGGAGGAGGCCCGCGGACCCAAGAAGGCCGAGCAGTCCTTCCGTACCTCCAACAAGGAGTCAGACACCATCAAGAACTCCCGTCTGTTCCTTGCCAACCTGTTGCTGTTTGGCGCCAACATTGTCGCCATCCTGCTGACCATGCTCCGTTTCAACTGTTTCCAGGACGAGATGTGGCTGTTGGTGGTCGTTGCTGGCTTTGCCTTCTCGACCTGCTGGCATCTGTGGTCATTCATCCCAATGGCTCTGCGTCAGTCCGAGAAGCAGTGGCCATACGCCTCATCCTACCACGCACACAACATCCTCATCTTCCTCATCCTTGGTTTCCTCGTTCTCCTCTTCGTCAAGGTCAAGGTGTGCATCCCAAGAGTTGGCTAAATCAACCAATACTCTCCCATCATCATATTATTATTTATATATTATTATTACACTATCAATCAATCAATCACATCACTCAATCAATCACTCAAATTATTACATCATGGTTGGACAATGTATTGATCCCAATAGATCTTTACCTATCCTATCAACTCTACTTCTTCTTTTCCACTTCAACAAGCGTATCATACTCCTACCCTACCTACCTCTACCCTCTTTCACCAACTAGTAATACTGTATACCCTAAATAAATTCAATCAATTTGAACTCTAATCAAATAACTACTTTAACTTTACTACTTCTGTTTGATTCTTACTCATTAAGTATGTCCACGTGGACAGACATCATGATCAATACACAAATTAAAGTCCCCACCCCATTACCCGACGACGGTGGACCAATCATCGTCTTTTTGTCCTGGTTTGTCCCTCCCCAATCACTCGCCAAATATTGTTTTGATCACAAGTCTCTCCCTCAAGTTGCACCCACCCCATCATCAAATGCAACAAAATGGTTGTTTCATTCATTCAATCACACTTTCATCATAGTTATTGACATTATACACAAGTATTACTACTACTACTACATCTGCAACTACTTCTACAATATATAACAATTGTCTAGAGTCTGACTGACTGTTTAGCTGTTTAACAACAAACAGGTTACCTAGGTAGCATCGCACTACGAACGATAGACGTCTGGCCTTTCATGAGCAATGCTACTGAACAACACCTTTCTGCTTCAACACCATCACCATCCCAAACATCAACTGTCGCGACAACAACATCATCATCTATAACAGGTGCACCTCACCATCTCTTCATCCCTACTGCAGTCGATGAGTTACAGATCAAGCGATGGATACAGCATGTAAGCATTGAATGATTGATTGATTGAATCATTGATTGAACGATTGAACTGACTTCTGACTTCTTGATTGACTTGACAGAAATGCCCAACATTGTCCAATGACTTCCTAGAGATTGACTTGCTCGAGTCGTTACAGACCGGCACAGTGCTGTGTAACCTCATCAATAGTATACGACTCGGTACTATTCAGAGAATACATCTTAGTCCATCACATCTACAAAAGATTGAGAACGTTCGCAACTACCTCAGAGCATGCTGGTACCTTGGCGTGCACTCCAAGTACATCTTTCTGAGTTCACAGTTCCTCTGTGAGCCTGAGCAATGTCGTAGACAGGTATGTATATTGCTGCAATGACTGGATGAACAACGAGTGTCTCTAACAACATGTATGTTTAGTTGGTGATCAATCTCTTTGAGTTGTCCAAGATATCTGCGATCAAGGTCAAGTCGAATGGGTCATTTCTTTCATCACCGCCACAACCATCTCATGGTCATAGTAATGCGATACAGTTGCAGTTGTCGCCGCCGACGGCATTGTCCGCACCTGCCTCAACAACAACATCGGCACAGTCAACTCCTGTGATGTTACATGCTTCACTGGCCAACAACGCATCATCACTACCTGGCAAGTCACGAACGGGCAGTACACTTGGCATCAGCAGCGGCGGCAGCAACAATAAGAAGAAGGGTGAGGATAGTAAGAAGAAGACATCAAAGAAGACAACAACAAAGAAGACTAAGAACGATGATCTCGACAACTCATCATCGGACTCGTCTGCCTCATCGGACTCATCATCAGACTCATCATCTGACTCGTCAGACTCTGACTCGGAGGATGGTAGCACAAGCAGTGGCAGTGACTCAATCAACAACAAGAGTCAACCAATGATGTTTGGAAACAGCATTTCGTACAAGTCATTTGTCAAGGGTATGTAAGATAGCTTGCTAGATTGATTGAGTGGTCATGGACTAACGCGGCCACATTCAGAGCTGCTGCACTTGAAGGACAGGATATCAAGACAGGACAAGACTATACAGGTGCAGAAGGAGAAGATTGAATCACTTCAGAAGGAGCTGGAGATTGAACGACAGAAGAGCAAGAGGCTGAGCGACATACCTGTATGTGTAGTCTGAGTAAAAGAGTGTTTGTCGTGCGCACGCCATGGATATTGACCTCCCCTCCCACCCTCCCTCCCGCTCCATAGCTTGACATATCCAAGTACATTGAGATCCCAACCGACCCCAATGGAGCAATACCTGTGTCGACACAGGCATTCACTCGTCAGATACAACAGATACAACAGCTGCAGGCGGGCAACACCAACCTGAGCTCACAGATCACAATAATGAACGAGCAGCTGTCGGACAACATCAAGAAGAACTCACGTCTGGAGAACGAGCTGCTGAACGCAGAGACCGAGCTACTTACACTGCGCATGAAGTACGCCAATCAGATTTCCGACCCGCCCAAGTCCAACTCGAGTCTGTCCATCTCCAAGAACCCAATGTCTCGCACAAACTCCAACCTGCCATCTCTCCGCAAGTCGGCATCGCACACCAACGTCACTCAGGCGCACAGTCAGTTCCACTTCACCAGCCCGACCACCACTCCCATGCTGCTCAACTTCAAGCTCAGCTCGTCCACGCCACATTCCAATGCGACCTCTCCATCATTCTTTGGATCATCATCTTCGTCATCATCAACTGGCTATGGTAGCAACAACAACAACAACTACAATCACAACCAACACCATAACAGTAGCCAACAAGCCAATCCACCTGGCAATGTTGAGCCCGACTTGGATCGCGACCTCCTCGACTTTGGCAGAAAGATCGTCTCTGCCCTCATCTCCTCGAGCAATCACGTCGAGATGACCGACATCTACAAGATGAGCAGTCTCTTCTTGAACAACTACTCTCGTCGAAGCATTTGCATTGCTCTCGACGAAGAGACCAAGGCCAACGTATGTGTCCAATCACACTCAATCAACTCAACTCAATCAATCTAACATCGTTAACCTCACAGCAAATGAACCTTCCAATGAATGACAACTCATTCGAAGTGGCATTATATCTGTTCAACACGATACTACAGAACCTGTATGAGGCGCATGCCAAGGACTACTTTAGTTGCAGGCTGATTATGGACTGCTCGAGGATACTCAACAGGAAGAAGGTCAATGGCACTTGCGAGTTCATCCAAGAGTTCATCAAGGATCACCTGACCTGGAAGGATCTCTCCTTCTGGGAGGAGCTCTACTGGGATGAGCTGGTCATGAAGCACGAGCAGTTTGGCTACACCGACCATGTCGATATAGACTCTGAGTTGGTCAGCACTCTTCTCATCTCCTTTGGTATGTACATCTCCGTTCATTCAATCATTCATCCAGAGTTCGCTAACATGCTTCCAGTATATAACCTCCAGGGATGGGGCCTGGGCAAGAGCGAGGTATGCGATTTCACTAGGTCAATGGCAAGGAAGTCGTTCTTGAAGGACGACTTGTTGGAGAAGCTGATGGATCAGGTGCGCGCCATCACCGACCTGACGTACAAGTCGGACGGATTCAAAGGCTCACACTCATTTGTGCTCAAGAACTTCAAGAACATCTCTGAGTGCAACTATTGCAATCAGTACATATGGGGCGTTCGCGGCGTAGTTGCGCGCGAGGCACTCGAATGTGTTGGCTGTAAATATAAATCACACAAGAAGTGTCTCAAGATGGCCTCGGACACTGGCTGCAGCTCGCCCAACGTTGGAGCACCATTCAATGTGAAGCACGAGATACACGTTGGCCTGGCCCTACAAGGTATACCCGATCAATGGAAGACACTACTGGCACAGTCTGGCTTCCAGGATGGTGAGATCACTCAACACACCGACGACGTACTAGACGTGTTGGAGTTCCACCATGTATATAGCGAAAGGTATGTGATGATGGCCAACCCATCAATCGATCGATCACTAACTTACTCACTAACTCAATCTATCAAACAGAAACCACTCACTCAGTAGATCTGCCACCACATCCAATCATGAATCACTGAGCAACAACAATAACAACAATGTGCCGTCCAGACCCATCTCTCCAACGTTGGGTGAGGACAGCCAACTGCTGGCACTCGAGGAGCCATCGTTCACTCTTAAGGATCTGGTCAGCCCAGAGAATCCACAAGATATATACAAGGACATTGTAAAGATTGGAGGAGGCTCCACTGGCAATGTCTACAGCGCCATCAATGTTCACACCAACGAGAAGGTGGCCATCAAAAAGATGAAGGTCGACAACAGGAACCTCAAGAACGTCATCAACGAGATTTGCACCATGAAGAACTGTACACACAAGAACCTCATCAGATACATCAACTCTCATTTAGTCATGAACCATCTTTGGGTATGTTTGGCCATCCATCAATCAATCAATCTAAGCAATTACTAATGAACACCTAACAACAAACAATTAGCTCATCATGGAGTACATGTCGTTTGGATCGTTGACCGACATGATTGGAACGACCAAGGAGACTGGGTTCAGCGAGCCACACATCGCATACATCTGTCTCCAGGTGTTGTTGGGCATCGACTACATTCACAAAGGTCATCGTATTCATCGCGACATCAAGTCGGACAACGTGCTCATTGGCAAGGACGGCAGTGTCAAGATTGCCGACTTTGGATTCGTGGCCAACCTGACACGATCTAAGCTGCAGCGCAACAGTGTTGTTGGCACGCCATATTGGATGGCACCAGAGCTGATTCGAGGCAATCAGTACAATCACAAGATTGACATTTGGAGCTTGGGCATCTTGGCCAGAGAGCTCTCTGAGGGTGAGCCACCCTATGCCAGGTATCCTCCTGTTAGAGTATGTTTGATACAAAGTTGCAACGACACAAATTACTAACTTGGCAACCAACACTCACTCGCATAGGCACTATTCCTTTTGACATTGGAGGGAGTACCAGACTTTAGGGAGCCATCTCGATGGTCACCAGACTTTATTGACTTTGTCAGTTTGTGTTTGAACTTGGATGACAAACGAAGACCAGACGCACACTACCTTCTTCGACATGTGTTCCTAAAGAAGGCTTGCAGTACAAAGGAGTTTGCAGACAAGTTGGAAGAGATTTCATTGATCAAGCAAAGCAGCTTCTCCGATATCAATATATAAATATTACTTTTCGTGTCAATAATAATTAATTAATTAATGTGAAGTAATTTCGACCTTTGGTAAATTTTGGTCAGGACAGAGTAAATTGTCTGGTAATAACAAAAGTATTCATTAATAAGGAATATAATTTCAGGTGCTTTTGTTTAAAGCCGACTCCCGTCCTACATTGAGGAGAGCCGCGATGTTCAGTTTATTTATCCCAGGGATAACTATACGATTGTTTTCGTTGTTTGGACATTGTTCAGGATGAGTCCACTGGCCTTTTGTAATTTCAGTTGGCAATTTTTTAGTAGTTGTTATGATACGGGAAGAAGTGAGGAAAAACGGACAGCTTAGCCAAGTGGTTACGGCGTTTGACTTGAAATCAAATCCCTTCGGGGGCGCAGGTTCGAACCCTGCAGTTGTCGAAATCTTTTGATTGCCAAGAAAAAAACAATGAAGATAAAATCCAATCTTGTGAGTGTGCTAATTGGATCTCTGTATTTTGATACTAGAACTATTCCAATAATAACAAGAATTAAAATCAAATCAATCAGGATTAATTAATTAGTAAACACACTTTACTTCTCACTGGAGATACTGTATGTATCTTTTGTATCATTTATTCATCAATATTGGAAAATAAATACCTGTCAAGTGAAGGAACCCAAGATAGATCTAGAAGGATATGTTATGTTAACAAAATATCTAGTTAAGATGGCCAATCTTAAAACCCATCAAGATATTTTTTTTTGATTTCGGTTATGTTGGGTCTCAACCCATCTATCAGAGATTCGGTGAACGACATATGGTCGAACAAATCTGTTGTTATCCCTCTTGATTTATTAAACAAGTTAGTGTCCTTTTATCATTTGTTTTTATTTAATTATCAGAATGAATTATCTATTTGTATTTACTATTATTATTATACTAATATCCTCAATTAATGCTGTAAGTTATTTAAATTGAATAACTACTAAGTTTAGAACTTACTAACTCAATCAATTAATCAATATTCCAGTCCACTTTCGGAAACTCGTTCGCCGGTACTCTGTGGGAGTCACTCGGAAGTGACTCAAAGAGTGTTGCCCAGTTCACACTCACTGAGATTGCCGATGTGGTCAGTATCAGCGCATATCAGAAGGGTGCTGGCCGTTCTGGTACTCAGAAGTTACGTACGGTGATCTACTCTGACAATGGAAATCAACCAGGTGGCCTTGTCGTTATCTCAAATGAGTTGTCAGTATCTGGTACTTCCACTGCCAAATGGGTCACTTATACCTTGGCATCAAGTGTCAGATTGAATCCTGGAAAGTATTGGTTGGGTCACCTTGTAGGCTCTACCAATCAACTCACCAAACGTGCATACAGCTCGAGCACTGTCCTCGCCGCTTGGAATGGTGACTCATATACCGACGGAGCTACCAACCCATTTGGTAATCCAGAGGCATACACTTCCCAGTTTTCAATCTACGCCACCTACACAACCCCTACTACCTCTCCTTCTCCAACACCTTCTCCCACTCCTACTCAAACTCCTACTCCAACACCTACTCCAACTCAAACCACTACTCCAACACCAACACCAACTCAACCACCATCTGTCAACGTCTCCAACGCCAACTCACTCGGACAGTTCTACCTGGACTACTCTGAAGTCTCACTTATCACCCAACATGCTGGAGTATATGCCTGGGAGGTGATACAGAGCTACATGAGAGACCATGTCAACATTGCCAACCTCAAGGCAACCAACCCCAAGATGCGCCTATTCATGTACTTTGAAACTGCCGGTGCATACGCAGAGACAACGGATGCCACCTGGCCATCAGGTATGGGATATCAATGGGTCAAGGCCAATCACCCAGAGTGGATCGTGAAGGATGGCAATGGCAATGATATCACCTTCTGGGGAGGAAGTCTACATCTCTATGATGTAGGCAACCAAGCCTATCAAGACGAGTGGGCAACTCAAGCTATTAACTATGCCAAGACTGGTGGATTCCACGGTGTATTTGGTGATGATGTGAACATGGGTGAAGCATTCCTTGACTCATGGTCAGGTACCTCATCCAAGTACCCTACATACCTATCATGGACTCAAGCAATGGAATCATTCCTCAATCGTGTTTCACCCAAACTAAGGGCAGCTGGTATTGGATTCGTACCAAATGTAGCCTCCCAATGGGATTCTGATCGTGCTACCCAAGTCAGATGGGCTCAGGCTGCTGGAGGATACGCTCGTGAGCATTATGAAGCTTGGCAAGGAGACACTGCAACCGACATACTTGGAGGAGCAGAATGGAAATGGATGGCTGAGCTACATCGAGATATAGTAGCGGCCAAGGTACCATTCTACGCATTCCCCCATGCCGGAAAGAAGAATGTCAACAAGATGAGATACACTCGATGTTCATTCCTTCTCTGGCATGAGCCAAGTGTTGGTGGAGCATACGCCTTTTCAACTGGAGGTGGTCCAGATGCTGGTTCAGATCCTTACGATTCGGCATGGACCTTTGACCTTGGAAGTCCTTCAGGTCCAGCAACCCAACAATCTGCTGGGGTATGGACAAGACAATTTGCCAATGGTAGGATAACAGTTAACTCAAATTCTAAAACAGCAACAATTCAATAATTAAACCTTTGCAATCTATAAATTAATTTAAATTTTTGATACCATGTCTTTATGTTGTTATTTGTTAAGAGTGAGCAAGATAAGAGATAGAGGTATCAATCAAGATAAATAGTTTGAATTCTATACGATGGAGGGAAGGGCAAGAACATCGATACACTGAGGAGAAGTGGACACTCCTGGAAGATAACGATCATATTCCAAATTGATAAATTGGGTGTCTTATGTTTGATACTCGAGTAATACCTGCCCCTTTCAATCCATTCCATCCAAACCAATAGGCTCTAAAGTTATGGATGCCTGCTAATTCAATAAATTCTCATCCCCAATCTTGGTGGTAAGTATTGGAGGTGTATCTGATATATTGAGAGCAGGAGAGCTTTCCAAATGGAAACGGACCTTGAACATTGATTGTGGTTTAGTAATATTACACTAACATTAATGATACTTGGAACATTGTAATTTTGCACACTAGGAGTAACTTCAAGTGTGTGACCAATTCAAGAGGAAAGTGGAGTCGGGTCTGAGTATGGTCATGAAGGGTCAGGAAGGGTCAACTCTTCAACAATGAAATAATCAATCCTACTAGTTACTTCAGGGGCTAAAAAATGACTTTGTCATTGATTACGATGTATATCGATGTGGGATGATATAACACAATGAAAGGTGTGAAATCAATAGGCCCACCAATCCTATTGAACAGGACTGAAGTGGAAGTTACATTCTCAGTAGGAATTAATATGATTAAATGTATAGTAGAATTTTTCAATACACTAAAAATTTCATTCTTACCACGATCAGTGTGTGCACATTTGTAGGTTTTGGGTGGTGATGGCAAGGGGCATGAGATAGAGGAGGAGGGGGGATTGGTGGAGAGTCAACAACCAAGCATATTAGACTCATCATACTATTAGGAATAATAGTGCGCCAATGATGGAAGGAAGGTATATAATAAATTTTTCCACAATCATTGTAATTCATTAATCTATTTCCAAGTTGCCAGAAGAGAATGAAGAATATTTCTTTGGTAATTTTATTATTATTTATAAGTTATTGTTTGGCTGACAATGGTATGTACTTTATATATTTTGAAAGGATTAAGGGAATTATTACCTTTTGGAATCCAATCTAACGAATTTTTCACATTTCAAATAAAGGTCGGTGTGGACAAGTAATTTGTCCAATTAATCAGATCTGTTGTGGCGGCCAACAACTCGGACTACCTGAACGTTGTTTCGACAAATGTTTGTTCAGGAGATGTCCATGTGATACGGAGTGTCAAGTCATCAATGGCAATGCAGTTTGTGTTAGCCAAACGACTGCCTCGACAACGTATACAACAACAGCCACAACTACCAACACCCAAGGCAGCTCCATTGCCTCGACAACCGTGAGCACTGCCTCTCTGACGTCAACGGTTGCCTCCACAACAGTAACCACCGCGGCGACAGTTGCCACAACTACTGCCTCGACATCTGGCATTGTTACTGCTACAACATCCGGAGTCGTCTCAACAGTTGCGACCACCACAGTGTCGACTGCATCGACCGTTGCTAGTACCGTCGCAAGCACTGTCTCCCAGGTTACGGCAACCACAACCCAGTCCACTAGTGCAAGCACTACAGTGTCCACCACGTCAAACCCAACGTCAACAACAATATCTACAACTGCTTCGACCACCGTCACCACAACAGCCAGTGGATCGACAAGTGCAACAACCACCGTCTCTACTCAATCGACCACTGTTTCTACAGTCGCCACAACCACAACGTCTACGATACCCGTGACAACAACAGTGTCAACTACAGCCTCTACCCAGTCTACCACTGCCAGCACTGTGGCCTCCACTACTGAACAAGTCTCAGCATCGTCCACCTCGGCCACAACAACAGTATCCACTCAGTCTACGATTGCCAGCACCACCGCTACCACTACTGCCGGTCCAACATCGACAACATTTACCACCACTGTTTCTACCACTGCCACGACCACTGGTAGATCATCAACAATCACCCAGACCACATCAGCAACGACTACGATTACTACGACCGCCACCGGAACCGCAACCACTTCAGTGTCAACAACCGTGTCCACTCAATCAACTGTTGCCAGCACTGTTGCCTCCACTCGGCCACTGGTCCAATCACATCCACCGTCGCAACTACMACCGTGTCCACTCAATCAACTGTTGCCAGCACTGTTGCCTCCACCACTGCTCAGGTCTCAGCATCGTCCACCTCCGCTACCACAACTGTTTCTACCACTGCCACGACCACTGGTAGATCATCAACGATCACCCAGACCACATCAGCAACGACTACGATTACYACGACCGCCACCGGAACCGCAACCACTTCAGTGTCAACAACCGTGTCCACTCAATCAACTGTCGCTAGCACTGTTGCCTCCACAGGTTCTGCCTCGGCCACTGGTCCAATCACATCCACCGTCGCAACTACCACMGTGTCTACAACCGAAGCACCAACGTCAACTGTTGCCACCACAACTATGTCAACCTCTGCAACTGGCCCAGTTACTACTACAACTGCGTCAACGGTATACCATGATAGTACCACAGTGACAACAGCGCTACCCACTACCGCCACCAGCACCACGGTGTCCACTCAGTCTGCCACCACGACCGCCTCGACTTCCTCTGTCCCAACTACCACTGCTAGCACTGTTGGTACTACCACCGCTTCTACTACCTCTCCAGACGTGTCAACGATCACTCAATCAACCACTGCCACCACGACTGCAACAACAACTGCCATCCCAACGACCACTGCCTCAACAACTGCTTCGACAACATCCCCAAACGTGTCTACGATCACCCAAACCACCACGGCAACAACMTCRGTYCCAACKACWACTGCCAGYACTGTTGGMACCACCAYTGCMTCAACTACTACGCCWGACATWTCYACRATCACTCAGTCCACCACGGCCACAACTACTGCTACCACATCCATCCCAACGACAACTGCCTCAACGACAGCTTCAACTACATCRCCRGACGTGTCTACCATTACCCAGTCTACCACGGCCACAACCTCAGTCCCAACGACGACTGCATCCACCACCGCCTCGACCACCTCGCCAGATGTATCCACTATCACCCAGTCCACCACTGCCACTACAACAGCCACAACCTCTGTACCAACGACCACAGCCTCCACTACAGCCTCTACAACAGCCTCCACCACTTCGCCAGATGTTTCCACTATCACTCAGTCCACCACGGCTACTACTGGCACAACCTCCACCCCTACTTCGACCACGGCATCGACCACTCAGGTCATCGTTATCACAACTTCAGTTGTGAACAACAGGTTCTCCATTGCTGGTTACATCTGGGACGCCACCGGAGATCCAGCTGTTAAGCTTGACAAGACAAAGGGCCTCAGAGGAGTGATGAAATTGTTTGATATTGATGGAAACAGAGTAGACGAGATCACTTCCTTTGCCGATGGATCCTACATGTTTGTAGACCTTGCTCCAGGTACATACTGTATCCGTGGACCCTCCGACATTGCCAACTACAAGTATGCCCCACAAAAGGGTGACAACGTCTTCCTCAATGGCAAGGTCTRTGTCACTATTGGTCCGAGTCTCAACAACGTGCATTTGGCCATGGTTAAGGATGAAACCTTCTCAGTCAGTGGTATGTTGATGGATAGCCTGCAGATCAATCATCCAACACACTTGGTACTAACACCAACACACAATACCACATTAAAGGTTTCGTTTGGGATGACTCTGAGGATGACCAAGGCATTTTGGATTTGAACAAGCCTGAAGAAATGGGTTTGACACTCCTGGATTCCAATTCCAATGTGATCAGTGTGTCCAACTTCACAGGAAACTACACATTTGACAACCTAGATGCTGGTGACTATTGTTTGAAAGCCGCCCAATCCACTTTTGACAACTACGTCAACGGATCCGCCAAAGGTGATAGTGTCTTCAACCAATCCAAGTATTGTTTCACTCTTGGACCAAATATCACCAACGCCCACTTGCGTAAGTTATTATCACAATCCTAAACATCATTTTGTTCTAATACAAACTTTCACTACAATCAATCAATCAATCAATCAATTATAGGTATCACCAAGATGGTCCCATTCTCTGTAAGAGCATGGGATGACTCTGAGGTCAATCAAGGAATATTTGATGAATCAAAGACTTTAGCTCACATTAACTATACTTTCATCAATTCTGATGGTGTTGAACCATACACAGGTCTCTACACACCTTTTGCCAAGTATCTCGTAGCTGCCCCCCGAGGACGCACATGTGTCAGTCTGTTACCACCATTTGTGGCCAAATACAGCAGAAAAAATTTAGAATTAACTGCTCTCTACACCCGCTCTACTGTGCGCAAGAATGACAATGTCTATTTCGATGACAACAACCAGTTCTGCTTCGACCTCCAACCCAACAAGACAATCACCGACCCGCTCGATCCAAGTGTATTGGACATATATGCAGGTATGTATATTGATATAAGAATGGCTTGATAAACTTGAACTAACCACATTTGATCAATTCCGTCAATTAATCAATCAATCAACCAATAACAACACCCCCTCCTTCATAGCATTTATCAACACAAACACAAAATTCAAAGTTTCTGGATTCGTTTGGGATGACTCTGAGGATGACCAAGGCATTTTGGATTTGAACAAGCCTCAAGAAATGGGTTTGACACTCCTGGATTCCAAATCCAATGAGATCAGTGTGTCCAACTTCACAGGAAACTACACATTTGACAACCTAGATGCTGGTGACTATTGTTTGAAAGCCGCCCAATCCACTTTTGACAACTACGTCAACGGATCCGCCAAAGGTGATAGTGTCTTCAACCAATCCAAGTATTGTTTCACTCTTGGACCAAATATCACCAACGCCCACTTGCGTAAGTTATTATCACAATCCTAAACATCATTTTGTTCTAATACAAATTTTCACTACAATCAATCAATCAATCAATCAATTATAGGTATCACCAAGATGGTCCCATTCTCTGTAAGAGCATGGGATGACTCTGAGGTCAATCAAGGAATATTTGATGAATCAAAGACTTTAGCTCACATTAACTATACTTTCATCAATTCTGATGGTGTTGAACCATACACAGGTCTCTACACACCTTTTGCCAAGTATCTCGTAGTTGCCCCCCGAGGACGCACATGTGTCAGTCTGTTACCACCATTTGTGGCCAAATACAGCAGAACAAATTTAGAATTAACTGCTGTCTACATCCGCTCTACTGTGCGCAAGAATGACAATGTCTATTTCGATGACAACAACCAGTTCTGCTTCGACCTCCAACCCAACAAGACAATCACCGACCCGCTCGATCCAAGTGTATTGGACATATATGCAGGTATGTATATTGATATTAGAATGATGCCTTGATAAACTTGAACTAACCCCACCTCATTTGATCAATCAATCAACCAACCCATCACAACTACTTAATAGCAATGGTCAGACCAAGGATATCTGGCTTCGTTTGGGATGACTCTGGAAAGAATGATCAGAAGGGAATACTCAATGTGTCAAATCCAAGACCAGACATCACTCTCTCTTTGCGCACAAAGGATGGAGTTGAAGTAGCGAAGAAGACAGTGACTGGAAACTACTCGTTCACTGATGTCCCAGATGGAGATTACTGTATCTGGGCGACCGGCGCATACGCAGATTGGGTATATAATCCTGCTATTGGAGACAGTGTGTACAACGCATCTAAATACTGCTTCACATTTGCTTCAAAGAATATCGACAATGTTCATCTTGGTATGTGTTTGTTGATGTGACCATTCATTAATTCAAAACATTCACTAACAATACCCTTCCCTACCCTTACAATACTCTCAGGTGTCACCAACCTAATGTCCATCACTCTTAGAGCTTGGGATGACACATCAGTCAACCAAGGAATATATGATGATGTCAAGGTACTTGCTGGAATACAATTCCATGTTGTTTCATCAGATGGATACATCAGATATCCAAATGGTGCAACAATATCTGGTGTAATTATATTGAACTCACCGCAAGGTCCTACATGCTTCCAACTCGATCCCATTGATGGCGCATATGGTTTAAACAGAGAATACATCCAATCCTCCATGTTCCAGAACAACAACACTCAATTCGATTCCAATGGAAGGTACTGCTTTGACCTACAAGTTTACATTCCTGGTGAGGATCCCAATCTAACAAGAGCACCACAAGATGCTAGAGTTGGTAAGTAATCGATCCATTGAAAGAAAGCATGAGTTATTGATGAATATACTTACTTACAATATATATATCTACCACACTTCATAGCTATGGTCAAGAAATGAAAGTGAAAGGCAAGTCTCACTTCAAGATTGGGTAGCCAATCAATCAATCAATCAATCATCAAGTTAAACAAATAATCTAATCAACTAAAAAATAATAATAATAATCATAATAATAATAATGACAATAAATCAATTAATTAATAACCCAAGATTATGTTGGAATCATTCCAACAAGTCCAATGACTAAAAAAAGTTTATTACTCTATGATTGGACTGATTAATATGAGCAACTTTTGTCAAAATAAGCGTGGGTAGCCAGCTTCTCTTGTCACCATACAATGAGGCATAGCATTTAGCAACTTTGAATTAATTCATTTTTAGAGTCCCATAAATCATTTATTATTAGCCTGACCTACCTTCTGATGGTGGTGATCATTGTGTGTTGAGTATTATATTATTTGTTGTTCATTCATACATTACTATATTATTACATGACTATATATAATGGAGAAGAAGCGTGTATTGACCTCCTCATCTCAAGAGGAGAATGAGACAAAGCGACCAAAGAA